TATGTTGAGTGATGGGCTGCCAGTATAGACAGAGTGCTTTCAGAGAATAACAAAGGAGTGCATTCTTGGCAGGGAGATCTAACTGGTAAGATTTTAATTTTTAGATTAAATTTACAATACAGGGAAATACACAAATCTTAAATGTACAATTCAATGAATTCTGACAAATGTACACACTCACATAACCACCACTGGAGTCAAGATATAGAGTATTTCCATACCTCAAAAGCCCCTTTGCGTCCCTTCCAATCAATCCTACTCCTCAAAGGCAACCACAGCTCTGTTTTTTTCCACAATAGATTAGTTTTGCTTATTTTTGATCTTCGCATAAATGGAATCATTCATAATGTCCTCTTTTTGTGTCTGGCTTTCATTTAACATGGGTGGCGGGTTCTGAACTGAGCCTCGTTGCTAGGATTGAATAAGTATCAGTGCGGGCAGGGGAGGGAATCTGAGGCAAAAAGAATAGCCTGAGAAAAGGCAGGAAGGGAGAAAGACAAACATAAAGTGCTTTGGGGGAGGTGCTGTGACTAGAATAAGGGGTACTCAATGGGGAGTAGTAAGAAAGAAGGATGAAAAGGTAGGTTGGAGTTTTATTTCGCAGGGTTTTAAATGCCAGGTCACGGCATGTGGACTTGATCCTGAAGGAAGCAGGTTGCCACACAGGATTCCTGGACAGAAAAGTGGACTGATGAGATCTGGGTTTTGAGACGATATATACACAACAGGAAGCATAAAATCGAGTAGGAAGAGTCTGGAGGCCAGGAGACCAATTATTTGATCATTCATTCATTCACCCAAAAAGTACTTATCTGATTCTGGGCTCTGGACTTTGATTATTCTCCAGTACATTCCATCCCTGGCTCTGGTCCTTGGAATAGGAAGTAAGTGCTGTAAACCCTGTCTGCTGGTTGTTTCAAATTCTACTCCTCCTCTTCCCAAATTCTGAAAAATCCCTGATTTTTTTCTGAAAGTAGCATCCTCATCAAATCTTAAGAGAATCTTCATCCCCATTTAGTATGTAATTCTCAAACACCCTACTGAGCAGACATCACCTTAGATTATTTTGCACGTTAGACTAGCCCAGAGAAATATGAAGGTCAATTTTATACTTTGGTGGTGGGCTGGGGGTAGCATTTCTCTAAGTGTGTTCCACAAAGGATCACTGGTTCTATGGGTTTTATAGGTATGTGGTGGAGATGGGGGCAGGGGGAGATGATTTCATGGTCATCTCAGTTTGGGAAACCTTGGGTTGAAAAAACAAACAAAACAGGATTCCTAATTGCAGAAATTTTCAGACACTTGATAGCTGTAACTGTTAATTTCTAATAAGAGCATCTGGTATGAAGCTTTTCCCAAGTATTTCGATCCCAGAACCTTTTCCGCCTGGAGCATCTGTGGCATTCTTGGGTCTCCCAGAATGCATTTGTGGGATTCCCTGACATGACTTGAGGGGACTTGGAAGCAGTTTGGGTCCAGGAGAGTTACAGAGCAAACTGCCCAGGAAGGTTGAGCCAGAGCAGGGTAGAGCCCACGGCTGTGAAGAAGAGGGAGCTACTTCCTCAGGAAGGCATAGGGAAAGGAGCAAAGGAAGTGGGCTTGAGCTGGGCCTAGCAGTTACACAGAAGTAGGAAGAGGAAAGAAACTTCCAGCTAGACAAGGAACTGGCTCAGGGCTGGACTGGAGCCTGGAAAGGACACCCACACTGCAGAATTCTCACAGAAACTTTATCTTCAAAACTGGCTGCATCTGGACTCTGCATTTGCTGGACAGGAGGAAAAGGACCATGGTTACTGGCCATTGGACATGACAGTGATCAGGAAATAGCGTCCCCCATCGCAATATCTATCCCTAGAACCAGCCTCTTTCCCACAGACAGAGGAGCCCTGAGCTGTCAAAGGACTAAAAGATGATCAGGTGTGTCTTCCAGAAAACCGAGTCTGAGATTTCATAAAAGGTGAGCAGATCTCTGCCTGAGCAGACTTCACCAAGAAAGCTTCTTTTAAGTTTGCACACTGAAGTCATGGCTGCAGCAGATGTTCTGCAATAACACAAGTTCCAGCACCACCACTTACTCTAAGCAAATCACCTTACTTCTCTGGACCTCAGTTTTCTCACCTGAAAAATTAAAATCATATTTTTTCCCCACAGTGAAGCCAATATTTTTTTTTAAGTAAGATAATGGGTATAAGATGTCTGGTACGATGTTGGGTACTCAGGGCTTCATAAAAGATACCTCTGTTTGTTAGTTACCACCAATAAATTCCTCTTAGGCCCACCGTCTCTGTAAAGGGAAATTTGTTACGTTAAAATGGTTAAGTGATGTTTTACTATAGAGGGTAAAAACTGGTAGAACGAGTTGAAACCAATTGCTTTTCATTTTCTGCAAATCCCACACATCTCATCCCCCTGCGGGTTCAAACAGAGCATAAGAAAAACTCAGTGGGACTCTGCACTAACGGAGACACAATGGGGAGGGACTCTTAGGGATGCTGAACGCCTCCTCCATTCCCAGCATCTGTCTCCAGCAGGGGGTGGCTCAGACTGCTTGGGGGGCCAAGAAGGGGGGTAGTGTCAGAGGTCACTAGACCAAAAAGAAAGCGTTCTAGTTCCCTGGCGGGCCTGTTTTATGACAGATCAGAACATTCCCAGGCTCCAGAGGAAACATCCCTCCCTTGCCATAAACTAATCCATTCTGGTAGAGTGAAGGGTGATGCTTGCTCAAGGCACAGAAGGGTAAAATCCCAGGGTATGATGCTGGGGGCTGGCTAGTTCATTGCGATGCCTGCTTTGCTTTCTACACGGAGTCCTGGCTGTGGCTCTAGAAAGCATCTTGGGGTCTTTTTAACAGTTCCTTGGGTCGAGAAGCTTCAGCCTAGAGGCTGCTGGATGGGGCGGCTTTTGAAGATGGTGTCAAGGTCCTGGGATTTGTGAAATGTAATCTTGGCAGATAAAGGCATCTGCTACTAATTCTTTTTTCCTTTCTTTTTTTTTCTTTTTTTTTTTGTACCTTCGAAGTCACAGTTCACAGATCTTACACAGCTAGAAAGAACCCAAGTGACCTTCAAACCCAAAACTTTCATTTCACAGTTGAAGAAACTGTGGCTCAGAGAAGGGAGTTAACTTGCCTAAGGTCAATACAGTCAATGAGCAGCAGAGTTGGAACTCAAACCCCAATCTCTTGACTCTGGGTCCAGCACTGTCTCCCCCACTGCAAGACAATAGTACTGATAACAACTATGTGATGGGCACTATATTAAATGCTCCACATGCATTTAACCCTCATAACCACCCTATGAAGTAAATACTTTTATTATTCCCATTTTACAGATGAGGAAACAGACTCTGAGACACAAGTTATGAAGCTCAGGGTCCTAGCTAACAAAAAGCTGAGCCAGGTTTTGAACCTGGGTCTAGGGCTCTAGAGACCTGGAGCTTGTCATCATTAACACTAAACTATCTAATGCACAATTAAGTCTTTAAATTGAGAGCTTTAACTTTCAACACCCCAAGCCCCATAGGCTTCAGGGAACCCTCAGGGACTGGAGAGTGGAAGAGAGTGAAACGTAAGCTCCCGAGTTTGTCCCATCCAGACAGGGCTGTGTCTGAGATGCCACTTAGTCCAAATGAAATACTGTGACCCTCTATTGCTTCATAAATCCAGAGGCCACTAGTAGTTTGGAAATATGTACAAACAGCCAAAGCCACTGGCTAGAGAGTCAAGTCACTGTCATCTGCCTATCAAGACTCTTACCTCCACAGAGGTTTCCCTAGGGCCCATCAATGGGTAAAATTGTGGGTATCTGTACATGACCTCGGAGGGTACGAATGACTGAGTTTATTGTGAAAGGGGAGTAGGTTGAGGCTGAAGGAAATCTCTCTTTAGGGAGAGCTGTCAAGCTGTGACTCAGATTTCAAAGGCTCCTGGGCAGAGGGGAACACTTATGCTCACATCCCCTGTGAGGCTGGGGAACCTGGTGACTAACTTCCATCACCAGGCACACCTGCCCTGGGCTGAGTGGCAGGAGCAAAGGAAGAGGCAAGAGAGGAACTCACTGTTTCACTGGGGAGGCCAGATAGGCCCATCCCTAATGATAGCAACAATAGCTCACTTTATCAGGACTTAGTGTACAAGAGTGGTGTAAATGTTTGGCACGTGTGGGCTTCCCTGGTGGCGCAGTGGTTGCGAGTCCGTCTGCCGATGCAGGGGACACGAGTTCGTGCCCCGGTCCGGGAGGATCCCACATGCCGCGGAGCGGCTGGCCCCATGAGGCCACAACAGTGAGAGGCCCGCGTACCGCAAAAAAAAAAAAAAAAAAAAAAAAATGTTTGGCATGTGTTACCTCATTTAAAACCCTACGGGGAGGGGGGCGGGAAGGGTAAGCTGTGACAAAGTGAGAGAGTGGCGTGGGCATATATACACTACCAAACGTAAAATAGATAGCTAGTGGGAAGCAGCCGCATAGCACAGGGAGATCAGCTCGGTGCTTTATGACCACCTAGAGAGGTGGGATAGGGAGGGTGGGAGGGAGACGCAAGAGGGAGGAGATATGGGGATATATGTATATGTATAGCTGATTCACTTTGTTATAAAGCAGAAACTAACACCATTGTAAAGCAATTATACTCCAATAAAGATGTTAAAAAAATAAATAAAATAAAAATAAAACCCTACAGGGACTTCCCTGGTGGCACAGTGGTTAAGAATCCACCTGCCAATGCAGGGGACATGGGTTCGAGCCCTGGTCCAGGAAGATCCCACATGCCGTGGAGCAACTAAACCCCTGTGCCACAACTACTGATCCTGCGCTCTAGAGCCCGTGCGCCTCAACTACTGAGCCCGCGTGCCACAACTACTGAAGCCCGTGCACGTAGGGCTCGTGCTCCACAGAAATAGAAGCCACCACAATGGGAAGCCCGTGTACCGCAACCAAGAGTAGCCACTGCTCCCTGTAACTAGAGAAAGCCTGCGCACAGCAACGAAGACTCAAGGCAAACCAAAAAAAAACCAAACAAACACTACAAGGTAGGAGTGACTTTAAAGGTGAGGAAACTGAGGATCAAAGAGATCAAAGGACTTGCCCAAGGTCACACAGGCAGTAAATAGTAGAGTCAAGATTTGAACTCAAGTAGTTCATCTCCAGAATCTAAGCTCTCAACTAGATGTGCTCTGCCGTCTGTGCGTGTGTGCGTGCATGCGTGTGCATGCGTGTGTGTGTGTGTGCTGGGGCAGGTGCTCTGCAGTACAGACTCCTGCATCACCTGGAGGGTGAGATTAGAGAATTCTCATGGAATCCTCCAACACACATGAATCCGTGAAATTCGATAGCAAAAAAGATTGAGCAAAACTCCAGTTGTAGATAGAGAAACGAGGAAAGGTTTTCCCCAGTAGAGGGATTTGATGAAGGTTCACCCACCAGGCTTCCTTGTGGGCAGAAAGAGACAGTATCCGTTTCTCTCCGCAGCACGTGGTACACATGCCTGACCAGAGCAGGTCCTCACTAAATTTACTGAATGACTGCTTGCTCAGGCAACAGAAAGTGGTGGTTCGGAAACTGAGTTTTTGAGGCAAACAGCCTGAGCTCAGTTCCCAGCTTGGTCACTCTAGGGCCGCGTGACATGATGAGGTTCCTTAGCCTGTGTCCACACCTGTAAGACAGAGGTGATGGCTGTAACGAAACCTTTGGGCATTTGTGAGGATTGAGTGGAACAGGGTGGGTAATGTGCTTAGCACAGTCTGGCATATAGTTAAGTATTAAAAAAATGAGAGCTACTCATTAAAGAATACCTTTTTAAATAAGTATTAAAAAAATGAATAATGTGTGAACACAGCTGGGTCAAGAAGTGGAGGAGGTTCCAGAGCAATTGGGGAATGCAACGGGGCGGGGTGGGTGATGGAGTCAAATAAATGAGCCTAGTCTGGGAGGGAAAGCTGGCCACAGCATGGCACGTGCCCAGGCAGCGTGGGCAGCCTGTCCAGACACCAGCTGAAAGGTGAGTTGGGGCAAGTGAGGGGCGGTGTATGGTTGGTGACCTTTGAGTGACCGCCTTCCCAAGGGCAGAGCCCGAGGGGCCTGATCCTGGTGTAAGATATGGCTCTTAGGCCCCTCTAGGCCACAGTTTCTAAATCATTCCCCTTTCCCTTCCCTACTGCTTGACCACCTTACCCCAAACTGAGGGACTTAAAATTCTTCTGGGCAGGCCAGCCGTGGATTCAGAAAAACCCTCCCCTGAATGCCCAAGGTCCAAGGTCAAGCACTTAACCTCTGACCACATGGCCTCCGCCTTCCGCAGAAGGTACTGAGCTCAGAAGGCCCTAGCAAATCCCTTCCCCTCCTACCACATCCCCCTCCAGTGAGATCAGATCTAAACAAACACCAGAGGCAGCCTAGGAAGGAAAACCCTTAAGGAAAAGGAAGGGACCTTATGCATTAACTGTGCCTATTTGAACCTCCCTGAGCCTGAAGCAGGCCACACCCATCCCATCCACCCCACCCGACCGCACCTCACTCTAACCTAGGAAGGCAGCCCTGACCCCAGACACTCACTTCTTCCATTCAGCACTGGGGTACCAGGACCCGCTCCGTCCAAGCCAGGCCTTGGACATTTTTCCTCTGTAGTTCCGCAAGGAAATCCTCATCTGAATCCCCAAGTCCCCAGTTTGACTCCTTCAGATAGATGAAAGAGAGGGGGAAATACATTTTTAGCCTTGTTGCCAGGGTGGTAGGGATTAACAGGTGTTTCTCAGCGAAGCTCTCTTATTTGGAAGTGGGCAGTATCTTGTTTAATGGCCCTTTTCTGATGCAGGCTGATGATGGCCCACAGTAGCAGGTGGGCTACTAGGGTCTGAGGCCAGGTCCCTGGAAAGAGTGGACCTCAGGGGCTGAGCCAGCTGGGTTCTGTTCTTTCCAGTGGGTCCGCTCCTTCCAGGATTGAGGCTACATTCTTCCTGGCACTCCTCTCTCTAGCTGCCTCCTGTTCTGTCTGGTTCCTGGCAACAGAGAAGGAATCTCCAGACAGCACTCTGGCCTCTTCTTCCTTCTCAGCTCAGGGGTAAGCCTTCTCTGATTTATTACTCTTTAAAACTGTAAATAGTTTCTTTTTTTCTATTAACGGAAGAAATAATGTCGACAGATAAGCAAAAAGAACAAGCTATAAATCACCCCTGATCCTATCACCCATGATATTCTCTGGTGTGTATCTTTCCTCTTTTTTCTCTATTCATGTAAATGGATTTTAAAAATAGGAATGGATTGGGCTTCCCGGGTGGCGCAGTGATTGAGAGTCTGCCTGCCGATGCAGGGGACACGGGTTCGTGCCCCGGTCCGGGAAGATCCCACATGCCGCGGAGCGGTCTGGGCCCGTGAGCCATGGCCGCTGAGCCTGCGCGTCCGGAGCCTGTGCTCCGCAACGGGAGAGGCCGCGACAGTGAGAGGCCCGCGAACCGCAAAAAAAAAAAAAAAAAAATAGGAATGGATTAATTTACTAAAGGTAGAGTAAGTGAAAGACTTAAAGTAAGGAATCAGACCCAGGTTCAAGGCCAGCTCAGAGACTCCCTGGAAATGACCCTGGGTAAGTCACTTCACTCCTAGGCCTCACTTTCCTCATCTGTAAAATAAGGATAATGGTACTTACTTCACAGCGTTGTCTTGAGGATTAAATGAGATTAAACAACTGAGCCCGGTGCCTTGCACACAGCAAAGACAAAAATGCTAACAATTGTGCTGTAAGTGTAGGAAGTAATTTCCATGGTGCTAAGGGGCCTTCTGTAGCATCCTTTTGAACCATGACTCAGTATCCAACTACAATTCAAGTACCTTAATTTACTTCACTGAATCTCTGCTGAAGGGTATTTATATTAATTCTAATTTTTCAGGATTGTAACAATGCTCTGACGCATATCCTTGCAGATAACTCTTTGCATACAGATTATTTGCGTAGGCGAAATTCCTATGAGTGAAACTGTTAGGTCAAAGGATGGGCTAAAATCGAAAGCCCAAGTCTGGACTGATTCACACTCGCTGCAGCAAGGAGAGAGCCTGTTTTCTCTCACCCTTGCCAACACCAGGGCTCAGCATCTTTTCTCTCATCTTTATCAACTTGATAAGTGGAAAAAACAAACTAACAAACCCTGCCTGTTTGCTTGTTTCCAGGGTTTTCAAACTTTCTCTTGGTTATTTTCAGGGGAGCTTCCAGGATGGCTTTAGACCCCATGATTCCTCATGTCCTTCCATTCCTCTAGAAGGAATGTAGGTCATGTTATTGGCAGAACTGTGATAAAAATCTAAAGTACAGAGTGTAAAAGGGCCTGGAGGCTGCCCACTCCTTGTCCTGACTCTTCATGAGCACAACTTCCAGGTCGTTCCACGCCTTCAAATCAGGGCTATATTCTCTATGTCTGGTGTGTGGCCTATCCCTCCACTTAAGTCCAGTGACAGGGTAGAGAATATTAGGATGAAACAGACCTTTAGGTGAACATCCAGGATGGTACTTACGGGACCCACAGGATCCATAATGGTGTCTACGGTAACGCTTTATCCCAAACTTGAGGTTCCAATCCAAACTCCTTTGCTTAAGTAGGGGTGCTTTCTCTAAACCTCAGTTTATGTATCAAATGGGGCCAGTAATACATTGTGCCCCCACCTCTCTGTGGCCTTATCAGAGGAGATAAAGCATAGGAAAACACTTTGTAAACTGAAAAGAGCTTTACACATAGAAGGGGCTCTTTCTAAGGGAGGCTGAGTGCTGAGTGCTGTGAACTAAGCTGTGTATTGAGGCTAGAAATAGGTGGTGGCTGGGGACCCCTTCCTAAGCTGAGTGCTCACCTATAATACCAGCTACCTACTACTCCTTGCCATTGGCTCTACATTGAGATCTTATTTAATCCTCAGGTCAACCCCACTAAGGGATGATGGGGACACTGAAATTTACAAAATTGAGTCACTGGCCCAAAGGTTTATGCTAAGAAAAGGGCGGGCAGGGATTCAAACTTTGGAGGTCTTCCCTGTGGGGTGGGGTAGAAGGCCACACAGCTGATTTGTCCAGAATGATCTTGTGTAAATTATACACACTCATTTTTCATTTATTCAACAAATATTTACTGAACACTTGTTGAGATCTGGGACAGGTGCCATATGAGATTCATTTTTCCTTGTAGAGTTTCTGCAGTCCAGAAGCTAACAAATCCTTCCTCTCTTCCTTCCTTCCCTCTTTCCTTCCTTCCTTCCATCCATCCATCCATCCATCTTAGGCTTTGTTCCAGAAAGGAACTCAGGAGACTGCAAGGACCGTTTCCATGGTTTTGGGGTCAGGTAGAGGTTGCTTTGATCCTATCTCTGTTACTAAGTAGATAGCCAAGTGACCTTAGATGAGTTACCTCGTCTCTCTGAGTCTGTTCCTCTTCTGTAAGATGGGGGTAATTACGACAAACTACTCCATAGGACTCAAGAGAATTACATGATACACAATAAAGCTCCTGGACTGTGTCTGGCACGTACTAAGGACACTGGGTTATCTCCTTTAATCCTCACGGTGATCATGTCACTGAGGAGGAAACGTGGGTAACGAAGAGGTGAAGTTGCTTGTCCAAGGTCTCGGGCAGTTGACTCCAGAGTTACTCCTTTAGGAACCTGGTCAGTCTCCAGGAGTTTGCCAATCTCTGTCTGGGATGAATTATGCGACCCCATAATGCAGGGAGGAGTGAGATAAAGCATCTAAAGACAGTATCATAGAGTAAGTGCTCAGCAAATGATAATAATTCTAATTAAGATCCGATTTCTGAGCTGACTAGAGCCTGCAGGTTGGACAGCCCCCCAATCTCTATCCACGGACCTCACAGGGAAGCTCTGAGCAAGGACTGAATTTTTACTATCTTTATCTCCATCTTTACTCCAGGAAGAATAGGGACATGATGACCATTGAGTCAAAGGGCATTTATTTTGCTTTAACGACATTTACACTGGGGCTTTGTTTAGAATTCCTAATTACAAAAGCACCATCAATGCAGAAAATTTGGTGGGAGAGGGGAGATAGGGAAACAATTAAAATCCTATCATTTCAGCACCCACAGAGAAGCACTGTTGACATTTGGGTATTTGTCCTTTCTATATTTTTATATATGCCAACAAATTTTCATTAAGTTTGGGATAATCATGAAGTTTTTTTATATATATATAAATTTATTTATTTATTTATTTCTGGCCGCGTTGGGTCTTCGTTGCCGCGTGCGGGCTTTTCTCTAGTTGTGGCAAGCGGGGACTACTCTTCGTAGCGGTGCATGGGTTTCTCATTGCAGTGGCTTCTCTCGTAGAGCCTGGGCTCTAGGCGTGTGGGCTTCAGCAGTTGTGGCTTGTGGGCTCTAGAGCGCAGGCTCAGTAGCTTTGGCACATGGGCTTAGTTGCTCCGTGGCATGTGGGATCTTCCCAGATGAGGGCTCGAACCTGCATCCCCTGCATTGGCAGGCGGATTCTCAACCACTGCGCCACCAGGGAAGCCCAATCATGAAGTTTTAATGTGGTAGAAAAGGAAGGGCTGTTAGCAGGACCATCATGCCCAATAGTGCAAGTCTCCTGCTGTAAACAGCCCTGTGACTGTGCAGTGCACAACCTTCACAGATGTACAAAGCAGCCCTGGCTCTCAGCACTCACTTAACTCAGTGGTCCTAACCTTTACTCCTCCCCAACATGCCAAGAATGTCACACTCTTTTGGAACAGTGGCTCACGGGCAGTCACGACCCTGGAAAGCAGAGGGAGGAATGAAGGACTGTGCCACCCTCCAGGGGGGCAGATCACGAAGTCTGGAGGAGGAATATTTCTTTTCCAGAACTAATCTAGAAAAGAAAACCTAGGTGACGATATGTACCTCCGCCCTTACAGTGATTCACTAATCTTATCTTATAGAGAGGGAAACCAAGGCTCTGAGAAAAGAGATTTACCCAGTCACACAGCTAGCTGGCAAGCGGCCAGCGGTTGGGCAGAACTTGAACCCAGGATAATTCCTAACTTAGTCTAGTTCTACAAGAGTGGAGGCAGAAAGATGTGGGTTCAAATCTCAACTCTTTCACTTAATTAGCTTTTGACTTTTGACAAATCATTTAACCCCTCTGAATCTGTTTCTTTGCCTGTAAAGTGAGGTAACAGCTTCCTCACTGAGTTTAAATGCGAATTAAATGAGGGGAAAAGAAGCTTTCCTAACAATTACTGAGTGCTCTGTGCCAGGCGCTGCACAATGCACTTCACATACATTATCTCATTTAATTCTCACAATAAGCCCATGAGGGGGATACTATTTTTATAACCATTTACAGGTGAGGAAACAGGTGAGGAAAGCTTAAGTCACTTGCCCAACATCACACAGCCAGTAAGTGGCTGGGCTGGGATTTCAACCCAGGTCTGCCAGTCTCAGAGCAATACTATCAGACGACACAGGTAACTCTTAGCACTGTGTTTGCAAAATGCAAACATGAAACGAATAGCAACCATCATTGTTTACTATTACTGTGAATATAATTATTATGTCACATAGGATTGGATGGTCTCTGTTTTCAATCTCCTCCGCCAAGAAACCAAGAACGGGGCCAATCTGAGAAGGGGAAGAGATGCCAGCCCAGCCAAGCCCTGGGCCATGCCCATGCTACAGAGGAGAAGGAGAGGGCCGAGAGCGGGAGCGAAGCTTGGGTGGTGTCTAAAACCTTGGCGTCTCTGAGGCTTTCAACGAAGGCCTACAACAGCCAGTACCTCCATATTGGGAGGCTCAGCTCCTGCTGGAGGGGTCTGGTGACCTTATAAACTGGCTCATGGTACCCTGCCTACCTACCGCAGACCACTAGTCCCTCCATCTCATCCAGGGTGCCTTCTGGAGCCTTCCGTGTGTGGAGACATAGAAGCCCTGTGCCCCATGATTTGGGCCTCTGCTGATCTCTGCAGATGGGTGCGGGTGATTAAAGACGCAAGATCCAGAGGTAGATGGAAAGGACCCATTTTAAAGAGCCCAGCGAGCACAGACACGCTGCCTGGAATACCAGCCTCCACCTGAGCCCAGCCAGCATGAGTCACCCCCATGGCCCTTTACCTGTGAGTTGCAACACAGCTGACAGAAACTCCACAGCCTTTCAGGAGGTGGGCGGACAGGTACACAGACAAGCGTGCCATCCCTTGGGCTATAGTAAGCTCTGCAGTTACAACTGGCACCAAATGGCCCTCCTGCCACCAGTAACCCCTGTCCAGTGCTTGGGTACCCAGGCTATGCTGTCAGATCAGATCCCAGCTCCAGCTCTACCACTCCCAGGCCCTGCAGCTTGAGTAACTTATTTAATCACTTCGTACCTCAGTTTCCTCATCTCTAAAACAAGCATAACAGAAGTGCCCATCGCATAGGGTGGCTGTAAGGATTAGATGAGACAATGTATGCAAAGGCTTAGCACAATGCCTGACGCAGGCGGTACACTGAACGCCCACCATGTGCCAGACACTGTGGAAGGCGCTGAAGCTACAACAGTGAACAAGACAGACAAGGTCTCTGCTCTTATGGAGTTCACACTCCAGAAGAAGGGGAGAAAGACAATAAACAATTAGAAACATGTCCAAAAGTCATAAGGGGTTTGCAGAGAACCAAATTAAGTGGCGTGATACAGTGACTGAATGTCTGCTTTGACAAGGGTGGCAGGAGAGGCCTGCTCTGAGGAGGTGGCTTCATTAGCAATTATTATTTGCTATTATTTGTCACGACCCCCTTGGCTATCCCCAACACAGCCTCCAGTGAGAAACCAACCTGACAGTTCTCAAACCTGGTACCCCCTTTCCACAGGCATGACTGCACCCCAAGGGGGCTGCTCTGGATCCTTACTTTACCTTGAAAACCTCCATCAAATTGGCAGGAGTAGCTGAAACTCCGCCTTTCCGTGAGAGAGAAAGGAGTGGGCCAAGGTGAGGCTCCCAGGAAGACAGAGCAAAGAGATAATTTGCCAAAAGGGGGGTGGTGGGGGGAGAACAGAAAGAGAGAAAGGAGAAACAAAAGATACCAAGATTGGCTTAGATTCAATTTCAAATTAATCCTGGTGGAAGCTCTAAAAAAAACCTCTAGCATTCTCCTGTGTTTGTGGACCTTCTGGGTTTACCAACCTTGTTTTTTACAGGAGACAGCTCATGGCAATCATTCACAATTACTTAGTCTAACGGGCAACTGATTTCTCCTGCGTTTCCAACACAGAATGAAGCACTTATTAGAGTTTGTGAAATGACTGGCGAGCTAAGGCTTTGGAGGTGACTGACTTCGACTTTTCCATCCCTTCTGTGCTGGCTGGAGGTATGTGGTTTGCTCACCCCTCATTGAGATCTGTATCACACCAAATAACAGGCTGCCTCCCACCCTACTGCCCCCCCCCCCCACACCACCAACACCCGCCCCCAGACTATAAACTCCTCTAAGAGCAGTGACCCTGTCTTTTTGGCCTCTGTCACCTCAGAACCCAGAGTAGGGCCTGGCACACCACAGGTGCTCAATAAATGTCTGCTGAATTGTGGCCACTGACTTCAGCTCAAAGGGAAAGCCAAATTTGCAGTGAGATGACTGAAGATTCAGATCTGGGCTCTGACACTCACTAGCTCATGCCCTTGGGCAAGTCACGTTACCTCTCTGGCTTCCATTTCCTCACCTGTGAAGTGTGTGTATTGGGGAGGAAGAGAGCGTGATAATCATAGCTACCACAGTGGGTCACTGTGAAAGTCAAAAGAAATCACCTGAATAACTGAAGAAGACTATTCAGAAATAAGATGTCGTTATCTTAAAGGGAAGCTCTAGGAAAAAGAAAGGGAACTTTTACAGAGACCCACAGGGGAAGATCTGCTCTCTCTTTTGAGAATTCCCTGGTGGCTGTGAAGTAGTTGATGCTGGGTAGAAGAGGGGCCCAAGGAATTTGCGGGGGTGGGGGGATGTTCCGGGGTATCCAGGATACTAACTAGAAACAGGAATCGAGGTTTCCTGCAGCCAAGTATCTGTTTGTCCCTGTACTTTTCCTCTGGCTATCTTCTCTCCAACATTTTTCTCTCCTCCCTCCTCCTTAATCTCCACCCCCCACCCCCTCACCAAGGAAGGAATTGGCCAGCTCCACCCATGGCTCCGCCCCCAGCTCGGCAGGCCAAGAGTTAACAGCTGCACCTGTTGAGGTATACCTGCTGTCGCCGGCACCTGTACCTGTAGCCAATCAGCGGCAGAGCTGCCGGGAACCTACCTGTCAGCAGAATCCCGACACTGAAACCTCAACATAAATCAAACACTTCCCTGGGCAGGGAATGTCTGTGTCAGGCAAGAATTAGAGACGAGCGGTCAGCAGAGCCTTGGTGCGCGGTGCCGATCCATCCGTCAAGCCTGCGAGCCTGGGAGCAGGAAGATGTCGAATGAACTTGAGTGAGTAAACACCGGTGGATGCCTGGCGCGCTGTGAGCATGGAGTCTGGATGGGGTTTCTAGAAGGGGAAAGAGCAGGGAGGCTGGCGCCAAGATTCACAGAGCAATTTGTAAGGGTAAATGAATGGGCTGACGATCTCATCTTGGCGTGCTGAGGCAAGCCCCGTCTCAAGCTAGAGCTGAGTGTTTCCCTGGGAAAAAATTTTTTTTTTCCTTTCTCTCTCTGCTGAGCAGTTTCGAGCCAGGTAGGGAAACACAGAACTGAAACTGTGAAGGCTTTCAGCACCACTTTCTGATACTGTGAAGGGGGCCTTGGAAATCAGAGACAGCTCCAATCCCATCTAGGCTTTCTATCTTCTTGCCAAAAGGAACTTCTTTGAGGTGGTTCTAAGAACTGTCTTAGGCAGAGAGTTGGGTTTCTCTAAAGGGACTTGTTTGTTGGGTTGGAACAGTCCCAAGTGGGAAGGTGAAGTGTGCTGGTTAAACATATGCACTCTTTAGTCAGCTTGACCTAGGTTCAAATCCAGGCTCCATTCCTCATGGGCTGAGATCTTGATTTGGGCAAGTCATTCAACTGACCTGTGCTTCATTTTCCTCATCTAGAAAATGGGTACAAGAATGTTTTGTAGGATTCTTGAGAGAGTTGTGTGATAAAGGCTGTAAAATGCTTAGCACAGAGCCAAAGTCTGAAGATGCACTCAAATAACATGTGGTTGATTTCATCCAGAGGCGGTTCTAAGGCTGAGGAGGCTGAGATGTGGTTTTCAGTGAGGTCATCTCTATTGCCTGACAGGACACAGGTGCCTTCCTGCCCATATCTGGGATTTAGAATCCCCGCTGACTGATGATGACTTTCACCATGGACCCCTGGCTTGGGGTCCAGACCTCAGAGAAGGTGGGATGAGGCTGGGATTCTGGGCTGCCGTAGCCTGGGTTTGGGAAGCTGGCAGAAGCCAGGCTTCTAAAACACAGACTATCCTCTTCCTGCCACCCTCAGAGGTGAGTAGGCAGAGTCAAGGATTGAACAATCTTTTTTTCTAGCTACTCCTTAATAGACTGTTTTAAGAACTTGAAGACCTGAGAGCAGAGCAGTTGGTGGGTCCTGACCGCAGACAAGTTTCCACGATACCAGTCAGCTCTTGGATTCTCTGGGGTTAGCTAACTATGTTCATGGTACAATCACTGGGCATCGGATTTCTCTTGAATGGGCTCCCTGGGGCTGATAACATGTTAACAACTAGGATAAGAACAGGGGCAGTGGAGCCAATACCTGGGTTCAAGTTCCAGCTGCCACTAATTAGCTGTGTGACCTTGGCCAAGTCACTTCACCAGTCTGAATGTCAGTTTCCTCATCTGTAAATTGTGGCCATATTGGGACCCACTTAATGGAGCTGCTGCGGTATCCAGTAACTTTAGACAAGCAATTGACTTAAAGGCTGGTAAGGAGCAATCTAAGATAGCCTTGTTACTTCATACAGAAATAACCAATCAATGAGCATTTCTGAAACTCTTGCCTTCTATTTTTCCATACTTTGAAAACAAAAAACATCTTCTGATGTGTCTCCATCCCACTCAGATCTGTTGGTTAAAACAGCAGAGGCTGCGGACAGAAATGTATTCATTGGTGCCCCTTAGGGGGTAAATGTCCTGAAGCTGGGTTACTTGAACAAAAAGGTTTCCTGCATTTCTCCTCCTTAATGATTTGAGTTTGAAGTCAGAACTCCTGACAGTAGAGGCTTCTCCGGTTGGGGTGGGGTGAGGGGAACCTGTGCCTGCTGTGTAATTGCTGGCAGACTCTGAAGTCACCACTAAAGATTACAATGACAGTGTCTCAGTGCCTGGGGGCTCAAGTGCCTTTACTGATAAGGGGGGTTGAGGGGTGGAATCCGCTGCTTGGCTTGCAAGTTTTGAGCTCCTGCTGCTGCTGCATTCCCCCCAAACGTGTAGAATTAAGAGGACTGGTCCTAGCATCCATTTTGATCCCGACAGAAACACCACCTCTTGCTGCGCCTTGGCGTAGTAGGAAAAGCCGGACTTGCACATGACTCTAAACTCTGCCACTTAGCAACTTCAGGGTCCTGGTGAATCTCCTTCTCCTCCCTGACCCTCAGTTTCCTCCTCTGTCCAATAAAGATTATAAACACCCACCTGGTCAGGGAAACAGTGAGCTCCCGTATGTAGGCCAACCGGCCCGGAGGAGAAGCTCCATAAACGTGAGCCCTATTACTAGGCCACTTCGAAGGCCGCGCTTGAGGAGCATGGAGGCCAAGGTGGTGGAGTTAAAAGCCAGCTCGAGGCAGCTGGTGGGGGGAGCGCACGGGACTTTTATGTGGACGGGCCGGGAGCATCTGCCAGCCTCCAGGACTCCGCAAACCTCGTGTACCTCCATCCCGCTTTCCTGGGCGCCTCGGGGGGGGGGCTAAAGCCGGTCGCAAGGGATCCTGGGGCGGCGAGGGCGCAGGAAGTCGCTGCCGGACGCCCACTTCTCGCGGGAAAAGAGCTCCCAGACAGGGCGACGGGCCCCAGGCTGGCCGCCATGTTTAGAGTCCCATCTTTAGAGTGCGCGAGGGCCTACTGGGTGCCTGGCCGGCCTGCACTGTCCCGTCCAGCCCGTCGAGGATATGAGGGGATTAAGATTAAGTGATCAGCACGTAGTAGATCTATCGAATGGACGAGAGAGAGGGAAGTGAGCGAGGCGCGCCAGGATTCCCCTCTGCAGCCCCGCTCGGGCCGCAGTCTGGGCCCCCAGCCGCCGTCTGGAATCATCTTCGTCCCCGAAATCTTGGAGAGCCGAAGCGGAGGGTGGGAGGGGGACCCGACCCATCCACCGCTCCACCCAAGCTCCGGGAGCGCTGAGCTCCAGACTGCCTGCAGCGCTGAAAGAGTTAACTAGGAACGCCTCCCGCTGTGGTTTTGTGGTCGAAACCGTGATTGCCAGGAGCAAATTTTTGTCGTGCAGGAGGTGTGTTATTAAAAGTCGGAGGTACGCTGCTGGTGAATGAAAAGTTAAAAATCCTCGTTAAGGCTGGGCTGTAAAACAGGCGGACTGGGCCCCGGTCCGAGAGGTCCCTCGACGACCCAAACGGCGGCGGTCCCTGCCACTCGGCCCGCTGCCCTCGCCCAGGAGGCCCGGTCGGTGCCTGGAGCCAAGAGGGTCGTCAAGGGTCCACATAGAGGAGGAGGAGGGGGAGGAAGGGCCGCAGGGCTGAAAACACAAATAGCATACCCTAAGCGCCCTTCGGTTAAAACAAAAATAACAGCCAAGCCTTTTCTTGAGCGCTGACTCCACAGCGGACACAGTGTCCGGTACTTGATAAATACATCATCTCCTGTAACCCTCCCAGCAATCCACTGAAGGATGGGAGTATAAATTTAAGGATGAGGGGATTTCAGCTTGCCCCAGGCAATATCTTCCCAACATCTCACTGAAGAGCTGAGATCTTACCAGGGGCCACAAGGATGCCCACACCAATATGCTACCCTGCTTCCTACCAGCACAGATGTTGAAAAAAGACTAAGAGTTATAACAGACTGCTACCAGTGCTTATTTCTGAGCAGAGGAATGCAGGTGAATTCTAGCCTCTGCTTCTAATTTTTCTATATGTTCCATATTTTATATACTGTGTTTTACAAATCTGGGTTACTTTTGAAATGAGGAAAGGAAGGAAAGAGTCATTATTTTTAAAAGAGAGAATTACTGGTTCACCTGATTAAAGAAAAAACGGTGTTCTCAAAGTGTGGTCCTTGGACTAGCATCGTCACCCGGGAACTCCTTAGAAATGCAAATTCTCAGGCCCACCCTAGACCTACTGAATTAGAAACTCTGGGGGTGGGGTTCAGCAATATGTGTATTAACAGGCCCTCCAGGTGATTCTAATGCATGTTCAAATTTAAGAACCATTGGGGGCTTCCCTGGTGCCACAGTGGTTGAGAGTCCGCCTGCCGATGCAGGGGACACGGGTTCATGCCCCAGTCCGGGAGGATCCCACATGCTGCGGAGCAGCTGGGCCCGTGAGCCATGGCCGCTGAGCCTGCGCGTCCGGAGCCTGTGCTCCACAATGGGAGAGGCCCGCGTACCGCAACAAAAAAATAAAAATAAAAAAAAGAACCATTGGCCTAGAAGACCTGGCAGAGGATTGGAAGGCAGGAGATTCCCAGATCTACCGCTGACCTACAGTGTAGTAGCTGAGTAGGCAGGCTGAGAGCTTTGCTATGGGGTCACACCTGTGTTTGAGCCCAGCTCTGCCGCGTAGGGACTGGGTGACTTGGATGAGCTCCTTAACGTCTGTAAGTGTCAGTTTCTGCATATGTAAAATGGTGATAACGCCCACCTCACGGCATGTTTGAGAACGAAAAGGCACAAGGCCTGACGCATAAAATAACTTAGCTCCTTTCCTTCCCTTGTCTTCCCTCCCCTTTCTGGAACTCAGCTTTTCCATTTGTAAAATGGAGCAAATAATCCTGGCTGGCTGCCCCCTTCTTCTATTCCTTTTGCCTCCTTAAAAAGGTCAGAGCAACTGATCTAGTGAAAGTCTTGAAGGGAAATTCTCTCACAAATATTTGATGTTATTTCACTGGGCCTTCCTAGGAGGTCAGCAAGAATTGAGAACTTTTGAGGGTGGGGACAGCATGATATTTACCTTTGTGTCCCAGTACCCAGCACAGGGCCTATTCAGCAGAGTGAATGAATGACTGAAAGGATGTGGTGCCCTGGGTCTAGAGGTAGATTGCAACTTCTTTCACATCTCAATTGAACAATAGAGGAAAAAAATAGGAAAATTGGACAGGAAACCAAGAGGAGAATATAGCATGAAAGAAAAATTCCCATCGAGGAAGGGATTTTCAAAGGGGAGAAAGTGAGTTTGTGGTATAATTAGAAAACGGCATATAATTAATTTCCATGCAGCTAGAGGTGTTGGCTGGAGCCTGATGGCTGTCAGTCAGCTTGCCCACCTGGATCGAGGTGATGGAGCTGGCAATGCGTGCCCCTCTTTACCTGGGAATCTCCAAGCATCAGGTCTCCTTCTGCCGCTAGTAGAAGGAGAGAGTGAGGCTGTGAGTTGTCATGCAGTTTTCTGGGGGCTACCCCACAAAGTGAGTGTTAGTAGCAATAGTTCATGTTACTATGTGCTGGCATTGTGCCGATCACTTTGCCTCCATTATCCCATGCCTCCATTATCCCATTGCATCTTCCAACAGTAATACTTCACAGAGTTCTAAAGATTAAACAAAACGATGACTAGAAATTGTTGGGCCAGCACCTGGCACTTAGTAAGCCCTCAGTGAACAATAGCTATCATAATAACTCTGTGAGGTTAGTGCTCTCATCGTCCCCCATTTTTTTACAGGTAAGAAAGTTGAAGCACAGAGAGGTCAAGTTGCATAAAGTCACACAGCTAGTAATAGCAGAGATGAAACTGGAACCCAGATCAGCATAGCTCTGGGGCCCACCCTGTAACTATTAGTTCACACTGCCTCATTCAAACTGGAGTCATTATAGAGCCATGCCCTAGGCGCTGCCATTTCCCAATTGAGGCCCCCAAGTGAGCCCCAGCATGTGATAAGGCACATTTCACAACCTGTGCATCCAGAAACCAGATGGGCCACTGTCAAGCACAACAACCCCGGAGTGCTCCTGTCATGCCCAGGGAACACCTTCCATGCGGATGACTGAAAAATGATTCCTCCGTGAGCAGCGGTGGCAGGGCCTCCCTGTGGGTAATTAGTGAATGTGATTGATCACTGCTGATGAGGCTGGGTGGCTCACAACAGGGTTTGACAAGTCATTGGGTGTATCTGGGTGTCAACACCCAGCTCAGGCAGCCCCTGGAACTCTTCCTCCTCAGGCTGGAGGGAAGTGGGGCCCAGGTCACTGGATCTGTCCTGTGTCAGGCACCTCCTTTGGTGGGGTTTGAGGCTGCCCCCTTGGTGGTGAGTTTTCTTCCCCCATCTGTAAGATTGAGTCAGAGGCCTTACTTTTCCATCTCTGAATTATTGAAATGCCTTTGAGATAAGGTAGTGATTGAGCTGAGTACTGGACAGGAAGCTAGGAGACTTGAGTCCCAATCCAGTTCTGTGCTGTGTGTCCTTAGGCAAGTCACACCTGCTCCCAGAGACTAGATTTCTAGGGAATTCTCTGGCGGTCCAGTGGTTAGAACGCAGCTCTTTCACTGCTGAGGGCCTGCGCTCGATCCCTGGTCGGGGAACTAAGATCCCACAAGCTGCGTGACACAGCCCAAACAAACAAAACTAAAAAAAAAAAAAAAAAAGAGAGAGACTTGATTTCTAAAGTCTCTTTGCACCCTAACTGGAACCCCAAAAGTCTCAACTAATGGCTGAGACACATTGACGTACTCTCACTGGGAGTTTTAAGTGGCTCAGCCAGAATGCAGGGAGCGCTGGAGTCTGAAAGGACTTGGGATGAAACCCTACTTCACCACTGTAGGCATTTCACCACTCCAGCTTCTGAGGAGGCAGCCTTGTGAAGGTTCTTGATGATGGAAGACAGAGACCTCTGTTCTAGGCCTGGCACCATGAGATACCAGCTGGGTGGCCTTAGGCAAACCAGTGGCCTTCTCTGTGGTTCATTTTATCCTGCTATCAAATGGGGATAGTCATACCTTCTCTCCCTACCTTACAGGGGCGTTGCAGGATCAGAGGTGATGACAAATGTATGAGAAGCATGTTGAAAACTATAACACGCTATGCAAATGTGAGGGATTATCAAATCTCAGACTTGAGTTTCCTTCTTAATGGGCTGGCCTTCCTTGAAACAAGGCAACATATGCAAAAAACCTGGCTCACACCTGTCACACAGTAGGCAGACAAGCTCTGGGAGCTGTCCCAGGCTTCTGCCTTTGTCTTGCCTTTCACCTGGAAAGTCCAAAATCCTCCCCACCCATCTTCACGCCCCTCTCCCCCTCCACCCCTCTCCTCAGCCAACATCTAGTCATTCTCCAAAGTTTAGGCAGGTCAGAAGTCCTCCTGCTTCTTTTCCTTCCTAGCTTTCTTCACCTGATAGTAGCTGTCCATTTGTTTTTGTGGTCACGTCTGCCTCGGCTGCCGCTAAAATGCAACCTCTATGACAGTAGGGATCTTGTTGTCTTGCCCGCCTAGGACAAAGCCTGGCACATAGTATAATAAATACTGATACATTTTATTAAAGTGAAGCATAGATGGTTAGGTGGATGGATGCCACCCAGATTTATTGGTTTTTCCCCTCTCTTCTACATCCCTTCTTGGAAACGAGTGGTTGGTGGAAAAGTGACTAGTCATGGAATTAGATTCCAGGAGTCTCGCTTTGTACTCACTCAGCCAGTCCCCTGGAACAGGTCACCTAACGTCTCTTTCCTTTGTCTATTTCCTGGTCGTAAAGTAGAGATAATAACATGTCATGTATGTCGGGAGGCTCCACGAGATAATGAATGTGAAAATCGAGGCAAGGGGTTATTACACTGTCTCTTTTGTTTTTGATGTGGAACCTGGTTTGCAAACAGGAGGCTTGGAGAGGATGTTGGTTTAAGAGCCTCGGGCAGCGTCTCCGCTTTACTGTCATTTGGGGGTTCTAAGAAGATGGTGATCACGATGATGATGATGACGGTGATGATGCCAGTTATTTACTAAGCGCTGGTTCTCTGGCAGGCTCTGGGCCAAACACATTTCTTATGTTAATGTACTTAATTCTCCCAACAGCCCATGAGATTATCCCCACTCTAAAGTAGCCAGCCCTGGTAACTCCATCACATGACTGTGCTCTAATTTTCTTCACAGCACTTATCACTAACTAAAATTAACTCATTTATCTACTTGTTTACCGTCTGTCTTCCCCAATTAGATTGCAAATTCCAAAGGGAGAAGAGCCTTATCTGTCCTGTTCTTGGCGGATTCCCCAGTGCCTAGAAGAGTCCCTGACTGGCACACAGAAGACTCTCAGTAGACCCCGTTTAACAGATGAGGAAATAGGCTTGGAGGGGCTCAGTACCTGACCCAAGGACACATGGTTACTCGGGTCTGTCAGGCTATGACCCTGTTGCTCCTTCCTCCCATGGTGCTACAGATTCTTCTGTGCTGCGGCCTGGTGGAGACCTGATGGCTAGAAGGCTGCCCAGAGCCACTTCCTCTCCCTATACCCTCCTCCCCCGTTCCCCTTTCACCTTCTGACGGCTGAGGAGTTTGGCCTTGGACAGGGACACCAACAGAGGGTTTGTGGAGGCCCTCGGGGAAGGTGACCACATAGGTTCCAGTCAGCTGGTTTCCCCTCTTTGTTCCGGCTCTGTCTCCCATTAGTAGGGCTCCCTCCTTCCTGGAGCCCTTTTCACATCCTTACCCACTGGACCCTCAACTCTCAATTCTAACCTTTAAGAGAACAGGGAGCCAAGAGTTTTTGGATCCGTGTTTGGCACTGAGTCAAGGCTAACTAACCTTATCCGTAGCCAAGACTTTCTAGAAGCCAGATGCGTGGTCTTGGAACGTGACGCTGATTGGTAGCATACTTGGGAACCAGGACTCTAGAGCTCCCAGCGCCCGGCCAGAAACTCTTCCACTCATCACACTTCCTCACTCAGTCCCTCTTGACTTGTGTGGGTGGGAAATCCCTTTCTGTCTTGCAGTGGAGGATTGGTTCAGTTTATTCCAGAGGAGGGGAATTGCCAGAATAAAAGAGGCAATTGAAAGGAGACTAGCATGGGGTTAAGAGCTGCGTCTTGGAGTCCAACAAGTCCAGGTTCAAGGTAAGCTTCTGCCACTTACTAGCTGAGTGACCTTGAGCAGGTAATATCACCTGAGTCTCAACTTCCCCTAAACCCATTGTGCAGAGTAGATAAGATGATGCAGAATAATAGGTGGAACAGTGTCTACCTATGGTAAATTCTTGAGGTATGGTAGCTGCTGTGTATCAAGGAATCAGACTTTGAGATCCCAACAGGATGGATTGGAGACCACTGTAGACCAGAAAAACCCTCAAAATGAACAGCAAACATTGCCTGTCCTTTCGTTTCTGATGTGACTTTATCATTGTCTTCTAAAAATTAACTTTTGAATAGGGTAAGATAACTGATAGCTCATCAAAGCCGATAATGGTCATTCCACCAGAGTCAGCAAATTGGGGCTCCAGGCCCAGATCTGCCAGTGACTTTCAGGGTGACCATGTCTTGTACCACGTTGCAACCCTTTGATGTCTAGCTCCAGGCTGGGCCAAGAGCACAATTTTTTTTTTTTTTTTTTGGCATATTACTCCTTTATTAGAAATTATAAATGAGGAATTATTTCAACACCTGAAGACCAAACTACAGCATAAGATTCCATGGGCTCAAGATTTTTGACATTCTGGAAAGAGTGTTCTGTAAAGTATATCCTTTCCGTGGCATGGCAACATCATTCTTTTTGTATTAAGCACTTGTTATGTGCCAGAGACAGTTTTAAGCATTTTTCCCGTGATGTTGCACTCAATCCTCATCATCCTACATGGTGGGTGCTTTTATTAGACACATTTTATAAACAAGGAACAGTGCTAAGCACTGGGATTCCCTGTTGACCCAAGGAGTGGTCCACCAGGCCTTCCCCTGTTTCTCCTGCGCCCCCTTGGTTTCGCAGTTCCATTCAGGCTGATACTGGGAGGGGCTGGGGCAGCCACCTGGGCTTGCTCTGTAAGTTCCTCTAACCCCAGGCCCAGGAGGCAGCTGGGAGGGGCCTTTTCTCGCCTCTCCATCTTAAGGCCCTTGACTTATAGAAGCAGAAACTTGAGGTGTGCCTCCCTCCACATGCCCCTGGAGCAGGAAGGTTTCTGTCATCTCTCTTTCCTGATAGCTCCCTCTCCCTCCCTTTCAGAGCCCAATACCCCACACCCTGGAGCTCAGTGAGATGGGAGACACTGCCCTGGAAGAAGCCCCTGGGAGAGTGCCACCCTCGGCCTGTCTGGGTGTGGCCTGGCTGCTGTTCCCATTCTGTGTCTGAGAATGTGGGCTTGAGCCACCGGGCAGCAGGAGGGCACTTCCTGTGCTGTGATTTGTGAAGGTCCTTGCCCACCCACCAGTCTGCCACAGTGCCTGCAATTCCACAACTAGAGCATTTTTCTGTTGTGGTAGGGATTGCCCTCTTGCACTATGGTAAAGCTGTGTGGCTTAGTGGAAAATGTGTGGCTTTGGTACTAGACAAGCCTGGGTTTAAATCCTGGTTGTGTCATGGACTAGTTGGGTGATTCGGGGGCATTTTCTTATCTCCTCCAAGTCTCGGGTTTCTCCATCTGTGAACTGCAGCAAATGGTCCTTACCTCTGAAGTTCTTGTAAGGAGCGAGCTGATGAGTGGAAAGGGTTCATATATAGTATAGTAAATGGCAGCTGGCATTATTCCTTTGTCTCTAACATTAGAGAATCTATGACTCACCTAGAACGGGGGGCACCGGGGCACCAGGACACCAGTCTCAGGAGTTCTCTTTTCTCAGCCTGGCTGTCCCCAGCTTCTCCCCTACCAGTATCCTTCATACATTCTTTGCTCTAAAGTGAACATAACCAGAACTTTCCCACCTCTATGCCCTTGCTCATGATTAAGAGCATGTTCTACACCAGTGATTCACAAAGTGTGGTCCCCAAACTACCAGCATCAGCATTACCAGGGAACTTAGGGGTGGGGCCTGGAAATCTGTGTTTTAACAAGCCTTCCATGTCATTCTGTTGCAGTGGAAGTTTGAGAACGCTATTCTATATTACAGCATCATCCTGCTCAAGCTTGAATCCCCTCTGGGCCACTCACTAACCCACTAACTGGGACCTTGGGCAACTCCCTTAGCTTCTCAGAGCTTCAGTTTCCTCATGTATAAAATAGGAAAAATAATAGTACATGCCTCACAGTGTTGTTGTGAGAATTAAATGAGATAATCCATGAAAAGTGCTTAGCTCAGTGCCTAAAACATGGTCAGTGTTCAATAAAGATTAGACGTTATTTTCATCATCATCATCATTAATCTGTATTATGTTGCTATTCCTGGGACACTCACCCTACATATCTGAGTGATATAATCCCCCGTGCTGAGGGTTCCCAACTAAAATGTCTGCCTCCTCCAAAGAGGAGGTACAATGCCTTCGTGGGCCCCTAAGAGTACGGTGGGCCTATGTGGCTTGTATTTGTCCAAGTTCTCAGCGCAGCGCCCAGGTTCTGCCTGCCTAGGGGTGCCCTGCAGCATTCCACTCCAGTTCCTGGCATCTGAGCAGCTGCTTGGGCACTCTACAATAAATGTTGATCTGAAAAGCCATTTCCCAAGACCAGGTTCTGCCTATGGGCTTCCTTGCTGTGGCTCTTTCTGTCCCTCACCACACTCTCTAAGTTGAAATGATCTCCAGCCTTCTGTGTCTTTCTCTGTCTTGAGGAGAATTTCATCAGAAGAACTCATGCTGAGTTACCTGGAAATTTTATTCTTTGCAGCTTGTCATTGTTATTTCCCATCCTTGTTACACTAATTCCCCTTGAATAAGTATCTACCATGGGAGCATTTTACTGAATCTTCTCTGAAGCCTTGCGAGGTTGGGATTACAGTCTTCATGTTGTAGATGAGGGAACTGAGGCCCCAGGTCTACAGCTTCTACATGGTAACATTTGGTGGTGACCCAAAGCATCTGGCTCCAGAGTTTGGATACATTCTACTGTTCCATCTGCCCAATGATGACAGAAGAAGCAGTTTCAAGTTTTCAAGGCTGGTAACTCTCTGAATTCCTGGGTGTTGCTCTGAGGCTGATCATTCGCGGAACTTCTGCTGGGACAGCCTAAATTTGACCTTCCTTATTTGCCTTGCAGTTTCAGATCTGTACGGCTGCTAAAGAACGACCCAGTTAACTTCCAGAAATTCCCCTACACTAACGAGGATGAGGCCTGGAAGACCTACCTTGAAAATCCCTTGACGGCGGCCACAAAGGCCATGATGAGAGTCAACGGAGACGATGAGAGCGTTGCAGCCCTGAGCTTCCTCTACGATTACTACATGGTACATTTGCCACCTCTGGGCATGCCCCCCTCTAACTGACTGTGTGTCTTCGCTTTTAGGCCTCATGGCTCACTAGCCCACCATGACCACCCCTAGCCCCTCACCATGTTCTTTCACACCTCTGGGCCTTTGCACATGCTGTTCCCTCTGCCTATACCCTCCCCTTCCCCCTAGCTAAACTGTACTCTCAGCTTTGGGCCTCAGCTTCAATGTCAGCTCATTCCACCGGAGGTGAGGAAGGCTTTCTGGGGTCTCCCATTCTGTGCCTCCTCTGGGCACCCTCAGCAACCACCATCCTTTTCCTTGAAGCTATCCTTAGAAACTTGCTGTTTGTGCATTTGTTCCTCCATCTCCCCCCTGACACTGAGCTCCTGTAGGGCAAGAGTCATGTCATGATCATTACCGAGCCCCTAGCACCCCATACTGCCTGCCACACATTGCTCAATACATATTGATTGAATGGATCAATGCCTTGGCCTTACACACCACAGCAATACCCCCAACCTACCGTCTTCTTTCTGCCCCTGTACCTTAGGTCATTCCAGTTGCCCTGTCATCCCCACCTGCCTATTCTAACCTCACCACCTAGAACATGCCTTTTGCTCTTGAATCCATTCCCTTCTTTCAGGGCCCTTCCCAAGGCCCACCTTCTCTTGGAAGCCATGCTGCCACATCACCTCTCCCTCTCCTGAGTGTCTCACTGTCGTTCATACCCTCGCTGCCATTATATGCATTGTAATACCTCCTGACAGACCATCTTTTATTGTTCTCTAATTGTTTCCTGGGCCTTGGCCTTGACTCTGGGAGACTTTCAGTTCCTGAGAACAGGAATTAGGCCCTCTCATATATGATGAGTGTGCTTAAACCTGTCAATAACCACAAGTACATAACACATGACATCACCCCTCTTCCAGTGCCTGTGCCAGACATTGCTAATGGATTACAAACTGTATTCTCACTGAGGGTATATGAGGACACAAAATCTTTTCCAACCTAGTACTCCAGGCAGCCACTACCCATCTGTCTGAATTGTCATACAGCAAACTTTCTTACTCTTCCTAGGCTGGGTTATTGCTCCAAGAGACTTTCCCAGATACCAGGCTGGGGGACATGAATAGCTAAATGTTGTGATAACTGAATCTGAACTTGAAGATTTAAAGCCACCTTGTAAATAAGCCATCAAATTCACAGGCCCAAGAAGTAGTTTATCTATTCTACTACACAAAGGAAGGTAAACTCTCTGTAAATTCAGAGGCCAAGGGGGGAAGTGGCCTCAGATATGAGAAAGCCCCAAATTATCTCTCTGGCTTTGGTTCTCATCCTGGAGTAGTATGGTTACCCTACCTTACCTTCTCCCCAGCAGACTGATAACATCCTCATAGCATTTGATGGAAAAGAAATTGGAACTGACTGCCTCAGCCTGGGGACATGGTAGGAGCCAGAATTCTAGGTCTGAGCTTAAACTCCAGCCTGGGATATATAGCTTGAGGTTGGGCCATAAAATAAAATCTAGCAGCATCTCCCCTGGGCCAGAGGCCATTCCCAGGGCCAGAGTGGTGGGGACAGGCTCTGAAGGTGACGCTTGCAGTGGTTTATTGCAATATAGTGTTCCGGTGAGATACACCTGGCCCCCTCTTCCCATCCCAGAGCATGTTAGATTCAGAGCAGCACTGTGTATAGTAAAGACATGATCTAATGGTGTGGAAAGAGCACCAAGTTGGGAGTTCGAGACCTGTTCCTACCACAAGCTGGCAATGTGGCTTTGGGCAATATAGTCCTAAAGGTGACCACTTACCATTCCTTACTGAATGCTGGTTACTGTGCCGGGCACTCTTCCTCATGCTCTTCCACGGGGTGAGGCTAAGAACCCAGGCACTGGAGTCACTAGGCTGGGTCGGAGACCTTGTTCTGGCTTTATTGGCCTCAGGGAGAAATGACTTGGATGTTCTAAGATACAACAATATTATGATCATAATCATGAAAGGTAACATTTACATAGTCCTCTCCACGTGTCAGGTGCTGGTCTAAACACTCACAACAGTCCCAGGGGTTGGTATTACTATTATTATTCCTGTTTTACAGATGAGAACAATGAGGTGCAGAAAGGTTAAGGGACGCGCAAGATCACACAGCCAATATGTGGCAGATCTAGGAACTAAATCCAATAAGTCCACACTCCTAATCACTAAGATGACGGCTTCTCTTGGCTTCAGTTTCCTCATCCATATAATGGGGATAACATTAGTAGACATCATAGAGTTGTTATAGGGATTAGATTAGAGGACACAGAGAAGGCACATAGCACAGGGTCCAGTGCATAGGAAGTACTCCATTAAAGAACAGTGAACATTATTTTTATTAATAAATCTTCGCAATCCCTTTGAAGTAGAGTTCATAATCCCCCACTTGACATATGAAGAAACTGAATCTCAGAAAAGCACAGTCATTTATCCAGAGTCACACAGCACTTTTAAGTGGTAAAGCTAGAACTTAAGCTAGGCCTGCTTGACTCCAAATTCCATGATTCCTAACTGCTAATCTTGGGGTACTTCTCCCCACTCTGTAACTTGGGGCTCAGACTAAAAGATGGCCTGACAATTCGAAGGACTGGTGGGTTTTCTCCCAGTGACCAAGGTAGCTACCCTGCCCGGCCAAGTCCCCCGCAGGGGGTTGAGGCTCCTAACAGCCAGATCTTACCCAAGAGCTATGCATAAATCCTTGCTTCCTCTCCTCTCAGGGCCCCAAGGAGAAGCGGCTACTATCCTCCAGCACCGGGGGCCGGAACGACCAAGGAAAGAGGTGAGGCTCGCCGGCGCCACCATCTCTGGCCCTTTGCCCTTCCCCACCCCCACCTCTAGGCCCCTTATCCCCTGGGCACAGGAGGTAATCTATTTTAAAGTCAGAAGAAAACAATGAATATAATCCAACCTGGGTTATATTTGTATTTATACCAATGCAATTGTAAAAGGTTTTTAAAATATTTTTATGGAGGAAGGGATCTATGAAGGCAAAAGAGAGTAGGGCCCACAAAATCATAGTGAGACCTTGCCTGAACACACAGACACACACACACACACACACACACACACACATATCCTAGGTGCCTGTAGGCCATGTGAGCTGGAGTTTACTGAAAACAAACTTCAAAGCCATAGTGGTAGAAAAGCCCTGATGGAAGCTTTTCTGTCCTAGCTCCAAAACCCTCCCTGCAGCCTCAAAGGGAGGGGACACCTATGTTCCCGTATTTCTTTCCCTTGGCTCTCTTGGGCCTCTGCCTGGCATTAGTGCCTCGGGGCACTGATGTTCCTTTTCTTGTAGAAAGCAGCCCAGGCCGTGCTCATGGCCAGATGGGCACTGGAAGGGCCCTGCCCCCTTTCTCCATTTTTCCTTTCCCCCCATTGGGCAGGGCTTCTGATGGGAAACCTTCTGGTCTCCTCTCTGCCTTTGAGAACATCCAAACTGCTAAGGCAGGCATTGCGACTCTGGCAGCTGCCTCAGGGCCCCTCCACTGCTAGAAACTGTAGGCTTTGGTTCAGGAGACTTTTCTCAAAACTAATTTTTTAAAATGTTGTTAGCTTTTCTGATTATAAAATAATACCTACTTGTTATAAAATATTCAAACTCTGTAGAAACGTATAAAGTGAAAAAGGAAGGAAGGAAGGAAGGGGAGGAGGGAGGAACGAACCGGTGGATTACATAATATACTTGTTCATCTGAAGAAAATTGTTTATAGGTGTATGACAGTTTTAGGGAAATTATGAATAGACAAGTAGAAAATTATAAAATGAAAAAACTCGTTAATATCATAATTCCAATAACAACAAAAGTTGTTCTAAGAAAAGTTATAGTAAAATATTTGACCAGCCAGGAAACAATATTTATATAATTATAATAATTAAACTACCTATTGTTGTAACTACTTTTAAATTTAGTTTACTTTTTAAAAATAAATTTGGTGTAGTAACAAAATAAATATCCAGGGCTTCCCTGGTGGCGCAGTGGTTGAGAGTCTGCCTGCCGACGCATGGGACACGGGTTCGTGCCCCGGTCCGGGAAGATCCCACATGCCGCAGAGCGGCTGGGCCCGTGAGCCATGGCCGCTGAGCCTGCGCATCTGGAGCCTGTGCTCCGCAACGGGAGAGGCCACAACAGTGAGAGGCCCGCGTACCGCAAAAAAAATAAATAAATAAAAATAAATATCCATGCTGGGGCTGGGCATTGAGAAACAGAAGTATGGTGGTGGGAATGGAAGACTGGCACAATTAAATGAGAGCACCCACTGGTAATAGAATCATCTTATTATAAGGTCTGTGTGTTCACTCAGTGTCTCTGATTATGTGAATCTCTGGGCCTTATGTGTGAAAATAGTCTATCTGGCTCTTTTTTTTTTTTTTTTTTTTTTTTTAAATTTTATTTATTTATTTATTTATGGCTGTGTTGGCTCTTCGTTTCTGTGCGAGGCTTTCTCCAGTTGTGGCAAGTGGGGGCCACTCCTCATCGCGGTGCGCGGGCCTCTCACTATCGCGGCCTCTCTTGTTGCGGAGCACAGGCTCCAGACGCGCAGGCTCAGTAATTATGGCTCACGGGGCTAGTTGCTCCACGGTATGTGAGATCTTCCCAGACCAGGGCTCGAACCCGTGTCCCCTGCATTGGCAGGCAGATTCTCAACCACTGCGCCACCAGGGAAGCCCTATCTGGCTCTTTTGACAACCAAGTGAGGACCATATGTAAAAATTCTTTGGATTCTGTAAAATTAAATGCATTAAAGACACTGTTATTTTTGCTAAAAAATAAATAAAGTAAAAAAGTAAGTTTCTTGTAATCCTACTTCCCTGCCCCCCTTAATAGTTTGGGGTATATCCTTTCAGACCTTTTTCTCAACGTACATTAACTGTACTCACAAATACCCACTCTTGCCCACACCATGGATGACTCAATACGGTTTTTTTAGTGTGGAGACATTTGACTCTGGATAAGAAATAAATAATTAAACCTTCAGTTTTTTTAATTACCAAGTACTGTAACGGATAAAGCAGACATTTGCCCCCTGAACTCTGAGCCTGTACTTGGTTCCATTCTTGACACCCTCCTCCCTGCTTATCCCTGTGACACACTGGCTTGCTGCAGTATCGTGTTTCACACATGTTGGTAAGACCTAACATTACAATGGATTAAAAGAGGTCAGTATGTCAGTGTGATGGTCACCCTCCAATCTAGCCAAGGAACCGCCGCCTCTCAGAGAGAAGAGGTGCACGCACTTATCCCTCCTGTCTCTCCTCAGGTACTACCATGGCATGGAATATGAGATGGACCTCACCCCCCTTGAAAGTCCCACGCACCTCATGAAATTCCTGACAGAGAATGTGTCTGGAGCCCCAGAGTACCCAGATGTGCTCAAGAAGAATAACCTAATGAGCTTGGAGGGGGCTGCACCCACACCGGGCAAGGCAGCTCTCCTCACTCCAGGCCCCAGCAAGCTGGAAGCTGGCTCTGTGGACGGCTACCTGCTGCCCACCAGTGATGTGTATGATAATGGCTCCCTCAGCTCCTTGTTTGAGAGCATTCATGGGGTGCCTCCCACACAGCGCTGGCAGCCTGACAGCACCTTCAAAGATGACCCACAGGAGGTGAGGGCCCACCCCCATATCCCTCACAGCCTCCCTGGGTCTAGTCACACGTGTACAGAAGGAGAGAAGACAGTGAGGCGGTCAGAGCTTTGGAATCCATGGGAGAAAGAGTCCTTGAGCTGAGGCAGGGCTGCCATGTACTGTTGTCCAGGTTGTACACTATACAACATTCACAGTTGTATGCAGTGGCCCTGGGCTGAGGTCCCAGCAGAACTGAATGTGGTCATTTATTTTCTCTGGATTGTGTTTCTCTGCAGTCGCTGCTCTTCCCAGATATCCTGAAAACATCCCCGGAACCGCCATGTCCAGAGGACTATCCCAGCCCCAAGAGGTAAGTCAGCCTCCCTGGACCCTTGGCCACCTGGGCAGTGGGCTGCAGAAAGAACCTACTGTCCCCAGAACAGGCATCGTCAGAGAATGAAAAGAGGGGAGTGAAGGCACATAAAAGAAGAGAGTCATTTCTACATCCCTTTCCTGGGCTGTGACAAGGACCTCAGAGCTCAGCACCCTGTTAGAAAACCAGGGTTCTGTTGTCCTAGTCGTCCCTATAACTTTGTCACCCCTCAGGGGTCTCTGGTTTCCATTAGTCATTATTCAGGAGGATTATGGCTCAACAAAGCCATTAAATAGAAACTCTGAAAAAGAGGAAACTGAGGCCCCAGGAAGTAAAGTGATTTACTGAGGTCACATAATAAGGCCATAGCAGAGCCTTGGGCTTCCTGCCCTACTGCCCTTTGGGATACTCCTGGCTGGAAGCCCAGCCTCACTCTCCTCTCCCTCCTCCCCACAGTGACTTTGAGTACACCCTGGGCTCCCCTAAAGCCATCCACATCAAATCGGGTGAGTCACCCATGGCCTACCTCAACAAGGGCCAGTTCTACCCTGTCACCCTGCGGACCCCAGCGGGCGGCAAAGACCTTGCCTTGTCCTCCAGCAAAGTCAAGGTACTTGGGCAGTAGGTGCGGGGGTCGGGTCAGCCCTGCCTGCCAGGGACCCCAGGGAGAGAGGGTGCTGTTGTATGACTGCCCATTGCCACGGAGTGGGGGAAACTAAGCCAAAGGGCCGGGCCACTTGACCCGGGCTCTGGCAAGGGATGAGGCTGCCTGGGCCTCTTCTGAGGCTGGGGTCACAGTGACTGCTGTGTTGCAGAGTGTGGTCATGGTGGTCTTCGACAACGAGAAGGGCCCGGTGGAGCAGCTGCGCTTCTGGAAGCACTGGCATTCCCGGCAGCCCACCGCCAAGCAGCGGGTCATCGATGTGGGTGAGAGCCCGCCCGAGCCCTCCGTCCCAGTCTCCCTTCCTCTGTCTCACAACACACATACACACACACACACACAAACACACACACACACACACACACACACACACCCCACTTAGGCCTTGCTTGCTGTGCCACTTTTTCCCAGCCCCCTCTGACCTCTGCAGGACTTATTTCTGACTCCAGCCGCCTGCCTGGCCCCTGTCTCCAGGTCGAACGCTGTGAGGTTTGCAGGGATTTGCATCTGTTGGCTGGAAGCAATGACCTCTTTTCTGTGTTGCTTTGGGGTAAACAGGACCCTGGGGACCCTAGTAGTGTCAGATATATACACCCCTGGGATGCTGACCTGCTTGTCCCCATCAGGGGGCTTGGCCGATTGAGACACAAATGCATAACAGTGCAGGCAGTGGGTGATTTGGAAGGCTTGAAGCACAGTGCAAGGGCAGTTCTGCCTTGGAAGCTGGAACCTTTGGGCTTTGTCAGAGGGAAGGGGACGGGGGAAAGGCCTTCTGTGTGTGCCACCTTGTCCCGGGCCCCGAGATGAGTGGGAGGCACAGTCCATCCTCAGATCTCCAGGCTCTGGCTCTATCACTCTCTTCCTGGCTGTGTGACCTGTGTCACCTCCCCTTCCTGGGCCTTGGTTTCTTCAGCTGTCAATTGGGAAAACGGCAGCTGCCCTGCCTGCCTGCAGTGCTGTTTCTGCCTTGGAGCCACGTGTACTAGAGAACATAATACAAATAGGGATGATTCAGATACTTATCTGAGAGGCCAGTTAGTAAAGTGGTTAGGAGCCTGGGTTCAGGAGACAGACAGAGCCGGACTCCAGTCCTTACTCTACCTTTTATTAGCTGTGTGACCCTGGGCAAGTGACCAAACTTCTCTGAGCTTTATTTTCCTCATGTGTAAGCTGAATATTCATAGCATTGTTGTGAGGATTAACTGAAGGCTTGCCATATTGTAAGTGTTCAATAAATGACAGTAGTACCATCATGTATTTAATATGACTAGTTCAATACTAGTAGTACTGGTACTACGACTGTTACTATGGCTATTACTACCACTATTACTGTGATTATTACTACTACTACTACTGCTTTGTCTGGGAGATGTCCTAAATCACAATCCCATGAAAAGTATAAGCTCCACCACAAAATCATGAGGGCCCTGGCCTAGCTGGCAAAGTGAAGGAGTCCCTCTGGAGTTTGGACAGATCTGCTTCTCAGGCTGGACCTCAGTTTTTCCACCTGTAGCCCAGGGCACAATTACTAATTTCCTCCCTGCATTGAAGCATGGTCCTTGGGGGAGAGGATACAAGTCCCTGCCAAGAACAAGGCCCACCCCCTAAATGACCCCTCCCCATGGGGCCCCCAAATCCCTTCCCTTCTGACGCTCCTTCTGGTCTCCTGTGGTTTCAGCTGACTGCAAAGAAAACTTCAACACTGTGCAGCACATCGAGGAGGTGGCGTATAACGCACTGTCCTTCGTGTGGAACGTCAACGAGGAGGCCAAGGTCAGTGCTGGGGCCATGGCCAGGACGGGGCTAGGCTGCCAGGAAGTCCCCATCCTGGGAAAAGGCCTTACCTGTACCTAGGATTGTGGCAGCTGCTCCGATGAGGGCACCAGTGGAGGAGGCAGGATACATAGTGGTGGAGAAGCCAGAAACGCTAGGCCCACTTCCCAGCTCTGTGACCTTGGACAGATGCCTTAGCTGAAAATTGGGGTGTAACCATAGCACCAACTGATAGGTTGGCGTGAGGATCGGGTGAGATAAGGAAAAGGTAGAGCACAGCCTGGCACATGAGCAGTGGCAGTTGTTAATTAATCCAATCCACCTATTTACCAGGTAGGAAAACTAAGCCTTGTGCGTGGCCACACGGCAAGCTGCCGCTGACGCCGGGTCTCCTGACTTGTGGGCTAGTGCAGAGTGTTGCAGGAGAAGTGCTTTGGAGTCTGGTAGATGAGGGCTTAAACCCATGACCTCACTTCTGAGCGCATAGGAAGGGAAGAATAATCTGCCTCCTAGAGCTGTGGTGAAGATCCTATGAGATCACGCACGTCAAAGAGACAGGCACGATGCCAGGCCCATCGGACAGGCCTGAGAAATGGAGCCTCTGGTGATTCTTTTTCACACCAGTGATTAAGCCGTTTAGTGCTTGAGACCAGACTTGAAGTCACCTGTGCTGCAGTGTCCCTCTGTGTCTTGGTTTTCTGTTTGGACAAGTGGCATCATGGAAAGAGCACTAGTCTGCGTGTTGGGGACTCGAGTTGGGTAACCCTGGGCCTGTCCCTTCACCTACCTGGGCCAGACTTACCCCATCAGACCAAGGTTGGGTCTGGCTCTTGGCAAGGGCCTTTCTGGCCTAGAAAAGCTGGGGACCTAATCCCTGTCTCCCTGGTTTGCCTCATGGGGTGGCCCAGGCTGCCTGGAGAAAATGGAGGTGAAGGGACTCTGAAAACAACAAAGGGAGGCACAAAGGCGAGGGATTATTATTATTCAAACAGACACCAGGGACTGGGGGAGGAGCTGGGGCCTCCAGTTCAGGGAGGGGGGGAATGAGTTTCGTGGGAAGGGAGAGGTGGGTTTCGGTTGGGATTTTCTCACAGCCTCTTAAGCCCCCAGGCTTGGGTCTTTCTCAGGCGTGAGCTGGGTGGGGGCTGCATTAGGGCTGAGCTGGCTGAGGGGGAGGTATGTCTGGCATGCACCTGTGGGCCTGGCCCCCCCAGCCAGGGAAGGAAGGGGGTCTGCTCAGGTACCACACCCCACCCCTACTTGTGCAAGTCAGGGTCATTTCCAAGGGAAATGCCCCAAGGAACAGGGGCCAGCCTGGAGTGGGGTCTGGCCTAGGGTCCCACAGAGGAGTCAGCAGTAGGCAATCACTAGGTGAGCTTGCCAAGTGATGCCCAACTAAGACTGACCCCAGACTGCCATTAGCTGCACATAGGCTTCAGGTTGAGACTCCAACTGTCCCACTTACAACAACAGTTACAAAATATCCAAGCCCCCTAGGTGTTCTGCCAGCCTCACAGCCACAAGAGGTAGGTTTAATTGTCCCCATTTTGCAGATAAAGAAACTGAGGCCCGTGAGATTAAAGGACTTATCCAAAGCCACATGGCTTGAGTGGCAGAGGTCTAAGTGGCCCGATGTCCAGGCTCATTCCACCACGCCGCCCTGCCCAACTCCCTGTGGAAACGTTAACAAGTCACGTCCATGCTCAGAGCCTCCATTTCCTCAGCTGTACAATGGGGGTGCCTGGTTCACCTATGGCTAGAGCTGGTGGTTGCCGTGCATACGGGCAGTGTCTCACTCGCTGTGGCCCAGGGCCAGCAGGAAAGCGGTCTTGTGGAGCTGGCGGGGAGGGAGATTTGGCCGTTCTCTACCTCCTTGCTCTGAGTCGCAAAAAAATGGGCTCTGGATTTTAAGCTCCTAAAGGACCCTTAGTCTCCCTCCCAGGGCCTTGATCCTTTGGGCTGCCCTTGGCAACCTAGTGAAAGCTGCATTGTCCACTGATGAGGACCTGAGCCCAAACTCTGGTTCCCTTATACATTCCCTGTGTCGCCTTGGGACAGCTGCCACCCCTCTCTGAGCATCAGTTTCCCCGTCTGTAAAAGAGAGGTGGTGATGTTTGCCTTCCAGGGGCGTTGTGAAATTAAGGGTGACCGCCGGGCACACAGTAGGCTCCATAATTATACAGGGTGGCCTGGTGACCCAGGTCAGCTGTTTAGCTCCCTCTTCTGTCCTCAGGTGTTTATCGGCATCAACTGTCTCAGCACAGACTTCTCCTCGCAGAAGGGGGTGAAGGGTGTCCCCCTGAACCTGCAGGTCGACACCTACGACTGTGGCTCGGGTACTGAGCGCCTGGTACACCGAGCTGTCTGCCAGATCAAGATCTTTTGTGACAAGGTGGCTGCGGTGGACCCTCTGCTGGGCCCTGGGGGGGAGAAGGGCCAGCCCCCACCTGTGCATCCTCCCCAGCCATTCTGGGCGTGTCTGTCTCTGTTTTTTGCTCTCTGAATGTCTCTCCTGTGTGCTTGTCATTCGTCTGTCTTGGTTTCTCTATGTATATTTTCCTCTGCTCTCTGCATTTCTGTCTCTCATCCCTTCCTCTTTCTGAAGACCTCTTTCTAGATCTCTGTAAATAGTTCTTCAGGTTTCTTTGTGTCTGTCTGTCTTTTTCACATTTCTCATTCTTCTTATCTCTCTCCGAGTCCCTTTCTCTTTTCTGTTTCTCTCTCTGTTCCTCTCTCCCCACACCTCTTTGTCTCTCTCAATTTCTTCTTTCTCTGTCTTTCTATTTCTCTGTCTCTCATGGTCTACCTGACCTCAGGGCTGGGCTGCACTGGGCTGGGCCGAGTGCTGGTACCTTCCCATCTCCTGGTCTCACTCTGGGGAGAAAGCAACACCAGAGGGCTGGCCCACATTTAAGAGGCAAAGCAGCCAGCCCCTCCCAAGACCATTGGTGACCACCTTTCCCTTATCCCCCACAGGGAGCGGAAAGGAAGATGCGGGATGATGAGCGGAAGCAGTTCCGGAGGAAGGTCAAGTGCCCCGACTCCAGCAACAGTGGTCAGTGGGGATGGGTCACAACGGGGCAGGGTTGGGGTTAAGGGTATAGGAGACTAGAGGGCAGTGGTCGGAGGCATAAATGGAGGGACTTCACGGGACAATGCCTTCCTTTTCCCATCAGGCATCAAGGGCTCCCTGCTATCCGGCTTCAGGGGCAATGAGACCACCTACCTGCGGCCTGAGGCAGACCTGGAGACCCCGCCAGTGCTGTTCATCCCCAACGTGCACTTCTCTGGCCTGCAGCGACCTGGAGGGGTGAGGGTCTTGGGCTGAGAGAGGGTTGTGGCCCCTGGGTGGGGTTGTCTTAGCACAGACCAGCAGGGAGCAACCTGCTACTCAGCCATTACAGGCCAATTTAGATGTTGATAGGTCCTGATATCATCAAATTATCTTTATTGAATCCCAGGGAACTAAAAAAATGTATATATGGCCATATAACTTCAGTGACCTTTTCTACTGAAGAGAAGAATGTTAATAAAGAAATGGACCTCATACCCATCGAAATGTTCACTCCTGGAGCACACACAGGGCAGGTTTCTAATATCAGGGTCCCAAGTTAGACTGTAGCCGCATCAAAGCTGGGTGGATAATAATCGTCACAGCAACACCTGTGAGCGCTCACTTTCCTCCAGGCGCTGCTCTAAGTGCTTTCCATGCATTATCTCCTTTAGCCCTCACTACCTCCCTGTGTTGCTAATACAATTCTCCCTGGATTCATGGCATGGAAATTGAGGCTTTGAGACCAAACTTACATAGGACGTGGCAGAGCCAGGATTGGGACCCAGGCAACCTGGCTTCAGAAACAGTGCCCGTTACCATGAGTTACACCACCTCTCAACACAGGGAGCCGTTTACCAAGCACCTTGACCGGCCCGCGGTGCTGGGCCCAGCCTTTTGCTGCATTGTCTCATTTCCCCTCACCTCACCTGGGCAGCCCAGCCCAGCCATCCTTTGAGGTAGAGACTGCTATTCCCATTTTCCAGGCAAGGTCACTCAACAAGTCAGTGGCAGAATCAAGACCCCAGAGCCTGTCTGTGAGTTTGCTTCCATATTAAACAATCTGACTGTTGCCTTCCACTGAGCTCCCACCGTTTAGGTGGGAATGTTTGCAGAAATGGCCCTCGGTGTACGGATGTGTTCAGTGCAGTGACTTCAAACAATAAGATAGATTATGGTGCTGAAAGAGCAGCCAGTCCTGAGGTCAGCCCTGGCTCACATTCAAAGCCTCCTCTGTGTCTGCTGCACCCCCTTCGCTGCCCTGAAGTAGTTCTGTGGCCCCCACAGCCCAGGAGGCTGCATTAACCCACTCTCTCTCCCCAACCAGAGGCCTCAAGTAGGGAGATGACCACTTGGGCTCAAAGCTCCCTGTGGGAGGAAGAAGTGGGGCGCCAGTGCTTGTGCCTGTGAGCCTGAGAGAGGGCACCAGGGGTGTGGGAAGGCAGAGAGCCCGGTTCTGAGCCACAGTTCTGCCCCCATGGTGGTCCCCCAGCGACCCTGCCCTCTCGGGGCCTGGGTGTCCTACCTCACGGGGCTGGTGATGGCTGCACCAGGTAGTACAGTGCCAGGCACACATGAGGGTTCAGAAAGACTGCCTCTTCCCCCTCCACTTCTTTTGCCTCAGCTCCAACTACCTAGTTACCAGCTGCAGGACAGTCTGCAGTTCCAGCCCTTCTGGGCCTGCTGGGGCTCAGATGGGACTCGCTGATTCTGCCACCCTTTCCTTAGCACCTCGTGTGTCCGCTGAGTCCTGACTCATCCAGCTGGGGCTTGGCGCCTCCTTTCAACTCAAGGTCTCGGCTCACTTGAGGGCACACGTCTGAGCAGAATGAGCTAGAAAGCCACTGAAGCTGCATTCCCCCGTATCTAGAAAGCCACTGAAGCTGCATTCCCCCGTATCTAGAAAGCCATTGAAGCTGCATTCCCCCGTATCTCCCCACAAAGATTGTTCATCCCAGAAAGCCTCCAGCAGCTGAGGGCTACTCTCATCTTCCTGTATGTGATGGAAAATGTCTTTCTCTTCATTGCAGGCAGTGCCCTCAGCAGGACACGGCACCTCCAACAGGTACGGAGAGAAGCAGCCAGGGGCCTCATCTCCCGGCCTGTCCCCCCTTTACTGCTCGTAAGCTCCCAGCCTGCCCTTCCCTTTGCTGTCCCCCAAGCCAGAGGCTGGGCCCGGAGGAAGCAGCCTTGAGACTCTGCCCCCAACCCCCAAGCTAGACTCATGCTCCTTTCTCACTGAAATTGCCTGAGTTTTTATGGGTTTGTTTTATTTGAAAAGTTGGAGAATCTTTGGCGAGACACCTGCTTGTAAAATGGGAAAGAGAAAGCCTCTGAGATGGTGGTACAGATTCGGAGAGTAGGGAGGGGAGCTGTGTGGGAGGACTTAGGGGAATCAACCCCGTGTCCCCTCCCCCCACACCCACCAGACTCCAGGAGGCCAAGGGGGTGGCCAGGGCCCCTTGGCCCTTCAGTCCAGGATGGACCTGCACGTCCCTCCCTCTGTCAGCCACAGTCCCTTCACCTCTTCAAGCCTCAGCTAGAAATCTGTCAAAGGAGGAAAATGGCCTCATGAGAATGAGGCAGATGTGAGAAGCGGCATGTAACAGAATCTTTGTAAATGGGAAAGTACTTTATGAAGATCGTGTATTGTTGATATCAGTCTCCTCCTTATAAAGAAGAAGTACTTTTCATAAGGTTCTTTCACACCAAATTATGTCACTTATTACCTCACAACAGCTCCAGTGAGTCAGGCAAGCAGGGGTTATTGCTCTACTTTATAGATGAGGAAACTGAGGCTCAGAGGAAGTGAAATGACTTGTCCAAGGTCACACAGCTTTTAGGAAGCAGAGGCAGCCTGGAAGCTAAGTCTGACTTACTCTAAAATCCACAAGCCTCCCTCCTCCCACTGACTCACGTCCAACTTGATTCTTTCAAAAAAGAATACTATTGATGATGAAACAATAGTCCATATTTATGGAGGGCCTACCGTGTGTCACACACTGTTCTAAAAGCAGTGTGCATTATCTCCTTCCGCCTCACAACTTTATGCAGCACCCTGCTATAGATGGGGACACTGAGGGGCTGTCACCCTGCTAGTGAGGGGCAGGGCTGGGATTTAAACCCATGCAGTCCAACTCCAGAACCTGCTCCTGTAACCTCTGTCCCACTGCTTTGTGCCCACCCTCATAGGGTCTTCTTCACCTCTGGGGCCCCTCAGACTCTGGGTTCCTCACAGGTCTCTCCCTGCCATCCCCACAGGCTGCCTCTGAAGCGTACCTGCTCACCCTTCACCGAGGAGTTTGAGCCTCTGCCCTCCAAACAGGCCAAGGAAGATGATCTACAGAGAGGTAGCCTCACTCCCACCCCGTCTGTCCTCTGATCCCAGCCCCAGCCCTCCATGAGGCCTCCCCAAAGCCTCAGACTGATTCTGGTCCAGGCAGCCAGGGCAGTGCCCACCCCAGTGGGGAGAGCACGAGGGGCTGCTTTACTCCCTGGAGTTTGGGTCTGGGCCAGGATTTGAGTGAGGGGTGGAGCGGGTAAGGAGGGCATCCAGGGTGCTTGGAGGGACAGCCACGGAGCTGGGGGGCTTCTGCCTCTGACCTTGTTTGAACGTGGGCATCCTGGGGCAGCTGGTAAGGCAACAGGCTCATGATGTTGGGCAGGTCCTCCCCACTTTCTCTAATGGGGGTAGGAGTGGGGTGGGTTTTCAATACCTGGCTTTCTGTCTTTGACACAGTAAGTCTGTGACTTCCTGAGAGAGGGGTGCTCTAGCTGACCATCAGGAAGAAACCAACCAGCAAGCAGGATCAGAAGCTTCCAGCAGCCTGGAACTGAGCCTTGCACCCCACTTGGTGTTCTATCAATACTGCCCACAGCAACTCTGTGAAATAGTGGGCGGAGCTGTCTCCATTTTCCATCTGGAAAAAATGAGGCTCAATGATATTAAAAGAACTTCTTCAGGGTCACAGAGCTGGCAGGTGGCAGAGCAGGGATTCAAACCCACCAAAATCAGCAAAGTCTGAGCAAGTGTGTGGGACCCGCAGAGCCAGGTGGGGTGTTTCCCAGCTGGGTACACACCCTCAGCAAGGATTTGCTCTTTTTGCAGAAATCAATCTTAGGTTACAAATAATATTTTTTAAGATTCTCCCACCCCCAGATGTTCCCTTGCACCACTAAAAGCCACCCCTTTGCTTCTCAGTGCTGTTGTACGTGCGGAGAGAGACTGAGGAGGTGTTTGATGCCCTCATGTTGAAGACCCCGGACCTGAAGGGCCTGAGGAGTGCGGTAAGAGGCCTTGTGGACCCTGGCCGTGGCCCTCTCTGCACTCCCATCTCCCCCGACTCTTCGCCATATAGTTCCGATTTCCCACAGGAAGACTCTGGGAAGGAATATGCTGGAACGCTGGCTTTCTGGTGGCCCATCCGTCCCACCCATCTGAGGGCGCCTGTGGGGCCCGGCTGGTGGAGGTGTGCCTCTGAGATGTTATCTCCCAGCCAGAACCCGGGCTCCACCCTGGGAGTCGCACACACCATAAATCCTCCTTAATCTGATGGCTGCTGTCTGACAGGCCAGAGCTTTTTGTTGGCTTTGCAAACCTGTTTCTATTTTAATGGGAATGAAACCCCAAAAGGCCAGGCCCCAGAGATACCCTTTTTTCTTTCCCAGAGGGCCTCATTCCTCCAGCTTGTGGTTGGACGGGGGGCGCTGGCTGGGGCGGCTGAAGGTGGTGTCTGGTCAAGGAGACCTTCCCCAACCCCCCAAACCGCCAGAGAGCAGGTGAAACAGCCCCGAACAAAATCCACGGCAGCTTTGTGGTTCAGCTAAAAACTGAGCAAACACAGCCTCCGCCAGGGCCAGCTGTGTTTCAAGGTCGAACCACACAGAAAAGCCAGCTGGTTCTAAGATGTCAGGTTGGGGAAGGGAAAATGAATCAAGTGATAACATAGCTATCTTTTATTGAAGCCCCACTACGTGTCAGGCATCTTGTCAGGCGTGCTGCATTCGCTAGCTCACCATATTCTCTTAACAGCCCTGAAAAGTGGGTGCTATTAGGTCAGGTGACTTGCCAAGGTAACTAGAAGTGACAGAGCTGAGGTTCCAGCCCAAGCTCTCTCCACTCGGCTGTGTTATCCTGTTCTCTTCACATAGCATCAGCCCTGCTTGGCACCAGCCCCAGGAAGTTGGGCTCGCAAAAGGCCATTAATGTCACTAGAACATAGACTCAGAATCTTTGGGTTGGACAGTACCTTAAAGGGTCAGCTCCCATCTGGTGCCCCAGCTCTCTCCTCAGTGGCTCTTCCAAGTGGGCACCCACTCTTGACTTGCATACTTCAGGGGTGGAGAGCTCATCGCTTTGGGGACAGCCATACAATGCAGTTGTCTTTGTACAACATATAGTTAGGAAGCTCCTAAGTTCTTGCTTAGACTGACTTGAGATCTTCCTGATAGCCTCTAGCCACATTGCCTGCCATTAAGATAAGCAGTCTAAGAACTTTTCTTGCCTGGAGAGATCTCTGTCAAGGCAGAGACCGGTTGAGGAGCTGAATCGGCTCCTCTTCCTGAAAGGCCCAGAGAGGACAACCTCAGCCTGAAGCTTGTTGCTTGCCGCTCCCTGCAGCTCCAAGGCAGCCAGTAGTACTAACCAGCGGCATTTGACCGAGCTTTCCCCAGGGATGGCGCTGGGCCGGGCCCTTGACGTAAGCGTCTCAATTCCTGTGCAGAACCACCTGTGTGTACATCCCATCATGGCGCCCATTTTACACATGAGGAAACTGAGGCTCCATGAAGTAAGGTGACTTGTTCAGAGTTCTGCAACCCCAGGTGGTGGAACTGGAACCAGACCAGTTCTGTCCGCCCCACGGGAGACTTCAGGAGGTCTGGGGAGAAATGGCTGACTCTGTGTGAGCTCAGCCAGGTTGCTGAGGCCTCTGAGCTGCAATTTCCTCACTTGTAGACTAAGCTCCAATGTTCTGGGATGTGATGGGGGCGGGAAATCTGGGTTCTAGGCTAGGCCTTGTGTGCATACCTTATCTTCTTCAAGTTCAGCACCCTCACCCATCAGATGGGGTAAATAATTCCTGCTAGAAAGAGAAAGTGTTTGGGTTATCCACCCCTCCCCCCACAGCAGGACAGGAGCATCCCTGTCGCACCACTTCTGAAGTAATAATGACCATTTATTTGAGCACTGACATTTATTTAGTACATACCAGGAACCGTCCTAAGTGTTTTACATAGACCAATTCATTTAATTCTGTCAACAACCCTATGAGCTAGGCACCATTTCCATCTCCACGAGTGGTTTGCACAGCTGGTCAGCTAGCTGGTGAGTGGGGAGCTCCCAGCACTGGAACAATCCAGTCTGATGATAGGCAAGGATTGAGGGAAATGGCAGATGACCTTTGGAATAGTTTACGACCACCAAACATGCTGTTGGTCAAGAGTTTGTTGTGATATGGGAAGGCTTATAACATACAATGATAAGTAAAACTATCTACGTGGGATATAAAAATACCCGTGTACATGGCCAAAAGACAGGAAGGAATACACTCAGATGTTATTAGTGTTTATCTCTGGGATACAGGATTATGGATGAGTTATAATTTTCTTCACTGTATTTTTCTACAATATGGGTATATATTTTATAATCAGGAAATTAAAAGTCATGATAGAAAAGACTGGTATAAACCCAGTTTGGGCCGCAGATGGTGAATCTCCTGTCATTCTCTTCCAGATCTCTGAGAAGTATGGGTTCCCTGAGGAGAACATTTACAAAGTCTACAAGAAATGCAAGCGGGGGTAAGTGCCCAGCACACCTCTCCCTCCTCACATCCCCACCCTGCCCCTTTCCCTCTAAAATGTTGGCTCAGGGAGCTCCCAGAAGGTTCGCCCTGCCTGGCAGAGGCCTGCTGCTCGGAGCTGAGCTGTGTTTGTACTTGGCTTTGTGGAGAGGTAGAGGCGATGTGGAGTTGGGGTGGAGAGCGCCCTATCAGGCCAAGGCCACCTGCAGAGACCAGACACTGATCACTGTTGGGAAGGAAAGGAGTGGGAGCCGGATGCAAGGGTCTTCATACGCCACCTACTCAGGGGGAAAGGGAAGCACAGGGCCACATGTCAGGAATAACCAAGGTAACCAAGTCATTTGACTATAATGGTAATGATGAGGGTGACGACTATCTTCACTTAACCACCTACTACGTGCCACATACTAGGCTAAGCTTATCTCATTATCTCATTTAACCCTCATGGGTTAAACCCTCATTTAACCCATACCGTGAGGTAGATACCATTACACACATTTTACAGATAGGGAAGTTGAGGCTCAGAGGTGATAAGCAATGTTCAGAGGGGCAGGAGCAGTGGAGGAAAGACACAGAAGCAGAAGGGCCCAGCAAAGTTGCTACCGGCTGAATCAGAGGGTCCGAGAAAGAAATGGCTGGCGATGAGTCTGGGAAGGGAACTGTGATTGGATGTCATTTTTTTTTTTTAATTTATTTTTGGCTGTGTTGGGTCTTCATTCCTGTGCAAGGGTTTTCTCTAGTTGCGGTGAGCGGGGGCCACTCTTCATTGCGGTGCGCGGGCCTCTCACTATCGCGGCCTCCCTTGTTGCGGAGCACAGGCTCCAGATGCGCAGGCTCAGTAGTTGTGGCTCATGGGCCCATTTGCTCTGCAGCATGTGGGGTCCTCCCAGACCAGGGCTTGAACCCGTGTCCCCTGCATTAGCAGGCAGACTCTCAACCACTGCGCCACCAGGGAACCAGGGAAGCCCCCTGGACGTCATTTTGAGGGAGCCCAGCCAGGGATGCTCCACAGGCCTCCTCCATCTTCAAGTCTGGATAAGGCAGGAAGGAGTAAAGCTTTACCTTCCAGGGGGCTGGGCAGTGACTGCCACCTGCCATGGGCTCCAGAGGATTAGTGCTAAGGACCACAGTAGCCTCTGCTTTCTGACCAGGAGATCTCTCCTTGGCAGGGGTGGCATGGGGGGGTGGAGTTGGAGGGCCACGTGGTGACGGCCCTCCCAGGCTTCCACCCCCCGTCAGAGCCAGTGAGCCGGGCCTCTGCAGCCCTTGCTGCCTAGGTCGCTTCACCAGCCCAGCATGGGGGCCCCTGTGCAGTGAGGAATCATGACTGCCATTACCTGCCTAGAGGACCCTGGACTAGGGCCCTGGGAAACACGCCCAGCCCCTCCCCGCCCCCAAACAGCTTGGACTGACCCTCCAGCTCCGGACAGCCTGAGACTAAGTCCCCCTGAGCTCTTCCTGGAAGGTGCTCAGGCTTTGCCCTGGGGCTACTGTCTGTGGCTCTTCTTTCAGGGGACTGCAAACTGACGCATGTTTTGTACTCAAGCTGAGGGCCATCCAGTCAGGCCCAGGGGCCACCTCCTTCCTCACAGACAGGCCTCCTTCCCTCCCCTTTTTGGCTCCCACCCAGCCTCCCATAGAAGGGTCGGCGGTGGGGGGAAGGTGTGCAGCCCTGCAGCCCCTGGGAAAGGATCGTTTGGTTTTGGTTGTATGAATGTCTAGGGTTCTTTGTGTATTTTTTTCCTTCCAAGTTTCGGTTTCAAACTGGGAACTGGAGCTCACATGCTCTGTGGAGCGGAATCCACCTCATAGCGGAGGGCAGGCTCTGCTTTGCCCAGACAAGCCCAGCCCCACTTCCCCTTTGGTGCCAGTGTCCACACCCCCTGGCTGCCACCCCACCTGCCACTGCCGTCCTCTCGTACAGTTCCCACCTCAGGCTGCGCTGAGGGGCTGGGAAATGCCTTGTGTGTGATTGCGTACAAAGATGCCCCATAGCCCCACTGGCGGAGCTGCAAGTCTTTCCCTTAAGCCCCAGCCAGATATTTCAACTATAATTATGATAACTTCCATTTGTGGAGCACTTCCTACATGCCACGCGCTGGGTTAAGGAACTCCCAAGCATCATCTCGTTGACCGTTTGAATTTGGTATGATTATTTCTACAGATGAGGAAACTGGGGTTCGGGATAGTCCCAGGGTTACAAAGTTAGTAATGGCAGGAGCAAGCATGGCCTGTCTAAAGCCCATGCACGCACCCACTGTTTTATCTTGCCTCCTGCTTGTTCCCTTAACCGCTAAGCAATGTGCAAATAAAGGCTGTGGCCAGGCCAGCAGATTTATATTTGCCCAGCTCTATAGCCCAGGGCATCACCCAGCGGCCCTTCAGAAGCACCCACACCCCATACACACCCCAGCTATGAAACCTCAGGCCTAGAATTGTCTGCGATGCCTAAATGAGAAGAATCCCCCAAAAAACCTGTTGGGAGAGCAGAGGCAGGCTCATCTGCTGCTTCCCTCATCTGAGGAACAGGAAACTGTAATCACTGGCTTCGTTTATTTTCACAGAACCCTCCAGAAAGTCCTCTGGACAAAGGTAGATACAATCAGCTTTACAAGCACCACTGAGTGTGCTTGAAAGATTAACAAATACATTGTTTTTGCTGGCGGCTGGCCAGGGGTTCTATGCGAACTAGGACAGAAGACAGCCAGAAGCTGGCAAGTGACAGGAGGCCCCATTCTGGGACAGCGGCTCCTGACAAGCCCCTGCCTCTAGGGCCCGGTTGTCATTGACCTCTGAGAGAAACGGGTCTGTGGGCCTGTGTGGGATCCCCTGTGCGCGGGCATGCGCTCCGGGCCTTCTGGGAGGCCCTGCCTGAGAGTAGGCCTTCAAGTTAGTGCACGTAGGGCACTCAGTAAATGCCACTGTAGGAGACGAACAAAAGCACCATCACCGACAAAGCACCCACCCCTCTGCCCCAGCCCTGGTCTCCTCTGGTCTGTTCCCAGCCGGCAGCTCCCAGACAAAGATCCCTCTGTGAAATGAAGGCACTGCACACAGGACCCAGGGAAGCAGGATCTTATAATTAGATGCTGGCAGTCAGCACCCAGGCCTTGGAGCCTGAGCCCAGACCTCCTTCCAGAAAGCAGCGGCTGCTTGGTGCCACTGCAGAGACGACTGGACATGGGCCGCAGGCTTCAGCCTACTGCTGTCTCCATCACACCTCCTGGTCTGGGGGATGCGGGGTGGGGGGACAAAGCCACTGCCTCTCCTGGGGTCCCCGGGGAAAGCAGACGGCTGGCTACCTGCCAGGAGTAGTAGTCTGGGATTCTCACCGCCCTCCCTCCCGTCCCACTTAAATAATCTTGCCTTATCTTGAACTCTTCCCCAGCCCTGGATTTTCCCTTCCTTTTATATGCCACTCCCTAACTTATAATTACAGGGTTTTGGGTTTTGTTGTTGTTTTTCTAAAAAAATGATGCAGTGGAAAGAGACAAAAGTCCAGATTCAAATTCCAGTTCTGCCGTCTCTTAACTGTGTGATCCCAGGCAAATGACTTTGCTCAGCTGCCCCGTCTGTGAACCGGGCTAATACGGTTATAAGGACCCATTCTCCCGGGCCCGAGTAGATTCAAAACTCCTGGAGGGCGGGACCTAGGATCTCTATGTGGCCCTTGTTTTTGTTTGGAGCAAGGTCTTGAACATGGAAAGACCTCAGCAGATGCTGGTGAAGTGGATGGAGGGGTGGATGGAGGAAAACACCTGCCCCATTACAAAGAGGAAGCTGCTGTGCTCAGGTCAGGTCACAGCCCGGTGGGTCCTTCACTGGGGAGGCAGCTCCTAGAGGGGTGCCCTTGGCTACACTATGGCTTTGACCCTCTGCAGAGGGCCACACCCACAGAGGCTCTGTCCCTCTCAGGTTGGCCTAGGTCCTTGCCTGAAGACTGTGGGGGGAGAGAGCCAAGCCCCTCAAGTCCACGATGCCATCCCTGAGATTTCAGCTTCCTGGGGTGAAACCGAGGGGGCCTTGCGTGGCACCTGCTTGTGGGTCAGGCGGGCACATCTGAGTGCCACATCGCAGCCTCCTGCTGAACCCAAACCTCACGGGTCCACCCGCCATGCCTGCTGCACTTGAACTCACTCCGCGTCCGAGTGGTCAGTCTGGCCTGGTGACTAAGGCGCACTGCGCTGGTTGTGTCCGCGCTCGTGTGTGTGAGGAGAGGCAATCTGGTGCAGTAGGTGGGCGTGGCTGCCAGCAGGCCTGGGTTTGAGTTGGGCTCGGCCACTGGGAATTGTGTCCTTCCCTGTAAAGTGGGACAGTGAGTGCCCACCTTGTGGGTTGTTATGAGGGTCAGAGAGAAAGTCCAAGAGGTGCCTGAAGTGCTGAGGCGCCCGATAGGTAGCAGCCATTACTGTCCCCCTTTACTCAGAGGCCCTGTAAACAAGGGGCCCAGCCCATTCTACACACACCTTCTCTTCTCTTCCAGAATCTTGGTCAACATGGACAACAACATCATTCAGCATTACAGCAACCACGTCGCCTTCCTGCTGGACATGGGGGAGCTTGACGGCAAGATTCAGATCATCCTTAAGGAGCTGTGAGCCCTGGGCGCCCACAGCCTCAGACCTCTCGAAGTGGACCCCAGGCGAGGAGCCAGCTGGGAAGTGGCCCCGCGCCACACACAACCTCTCCGCATGCCTCAGTGCTGTTACTTGAATGCCTTCCCTGAGGGAAGAGGCCCTCAAGTCACAGACCCACAGACGTCAAGGCCAGGAAGGGACCTGGGAGGTGTCCTGATCCGAACCCTCATCTCATGCTTGAATCTATTCTCTGAACTTCCGGCCAGGGCCTGCCCAGCCAGAGACAGTGTCATGTTGGTTAACAAGCCCAGCAGGCTGTTTCCTCCTCGGAAGACCTTCTCTACAGCCCCTCTCCTGCGGGCTGCCGTTCAGATGGGGGAAGTGGGCCCTGTCTCCCCAAGCTGACTTCACTCTTCCCGTTCTTGACTCTTCCATCAACTTCAGACCAATGAGTCCTCACCCTTTGGTCAGTTGTTAACTTGAAAACACTTGATTTCTAGTGCAAATGACTTTTGAAAGACACTGTAGTGGATATACTCTCCTCATAGATGTACTTCCTCAACACCAGACAGCAGTCAGAGCCGGCCGACTGGAACGAAGTGGCCTCGGTGTCAAACGACCGCCATGCCTGCTCACTACTGTATACATTTCTTATTTACAATTTTCATTTATGTTTTATATATATATAAGTATATATTGTATATATATGCAACATTTTATATTTTTCATGGATATGTTTTTATCATTTCAAAAAATGTGTATTTCACATTTCTTGGATTTTTTTTTTAGCTGTTATTCAGTTATGCATTTTGTATACTCGTATGGTATTTAGTAATAAAATTCTACGTATGTATTACTTCAAATGCTACACTAGTTCCTTTTGTGAAAGTCTTCCAGAAGGAGAGGGTGAAAGTAAACAAGGCCTCTCTCCTTCTCTATCCTGTAAGTGGTTTGCCTCGAACTTGAAGGGTGCTGGTAAGTGCTGGGCCCTGGTGAAGCAGAGATGCCGCCATGGAAGGCGGCCGAGTCCTGATGCCCAGCCTGTCCTGTGCGGCCCGTCCTGTGCGGCCCGTCCTGTGCAGCCCGTCCTGTGCGGCCCGTCCTGTGTGGCCCGTCCTGTGTGGCCCATCCTGTGTGGCCCGTCCTGTGCGGCCCATCCTGTGTGGCCCGTCCTGTGTGGCCTGTCCTGTGTGGCCCGTCCTGTGTGCTGTCCTCTGTGGCCTGTCCTGTGTGGCCCGTCCTGTGTGGCCCATCCTGTGTGGCCTGTCCTGTGTGGCCTGTCCTGCGTGGTCCCACAGGCTGAACGTTATGACGTCAGGATCACTGACTCTGGAGGGGAAGAAGTCCCAGGATGCCCTTGCCAAGGACCTCACAGCTGGGGCAGTGGGCAGAGCCCAGGGCCGGGAGCCGTGTGACCACACTCTCCTGCCAGTTCTGCCCCCATGCTCTCGACCAACTCACTTTTCCTGTTGCCGGCTCCTACCCACTCACAGACGCGATCCAGCCGTCTCTCCCCGACTCTGAGGTCAGTGACGTCCTGTCGGTATGTTGGAGGGAGTGTTTACACCGCAGGAATTGACAAATGCTACAAGTCAAGGCCTTATTTTCCCTAGAGAACAAATGGCAAGTCAGAGCTTCCTCCCTCCCTCGGCCCTTCTGGCTTACCAGCACCCCACCAGCTCTAGTCCTCAGCTTCTTTGGCTGTAAAATGGGTCATCGGGTAGCTATCATCTTTGGAGCCCCACGGTTCACTGGTGGGTCTCAAAGGCCCCTACAATGTGGGGGAGGAGACAGCAGGCAGCCCTTAGGCATCCTCCCCAGACTCAGTCATAGCAGCTCTGCTTTCCTTCGTTTATACACTAAGATTTCTCGTATTAACTTTTGTCTGAACTAAACTTAAAAAAAAGAAGTATGAAGACCGTGGATGTCTCCAAGGGCCTTCCGGCTCTGATAGGAGGTCTAGAGTCCGAATTCTCAAGGCCCTGTGGCCAGGACTCAGGTCAGGCAAGAGAGGCCCTAGCCTCAGGCACAAAATTAAGAGGAGCCAAAGAGCTCAGTAACCAAGTTAAGTCACAGTCCAATGCGATGCTTTTTGAAATTAAGGCCCAAAAAACATGATAACATATCAAAACTTTGACGTGAGGGTCAGTATTACTGATGTTTCCTGTGGTCTCTGACTCCAATACAGCTTGCCCGGCACTGCTGGAGCGACCCCATGGAGCACCCAGAGCTGCTCTGCCCACTCCGGGCCTCGCTGCTACGTCCCCCTGGGTGCCGCATGAGGGTGAAATGGCAGAGCATATGCAGAGTACCAGCACGCGGCCAGTTACGCAGAGGTGTTCCGCGTCTGTTCGTTTCCTTCCAGAGCCTCCAGAAGCAGGAAGGCGATCTTCTCAACCTTGACTGCACGTGGGAATCACCTAGGCAGCTTTCATCCCCACTGCCCAGACCACACCCTGCAGCAATTAAGTCAGAATTTCTGGGGTTGGGGCCCAGGCCTCAGTGCTTTTCAAGCCCCCCAGGTGGTTACCATGTGCACTCAAGGTCGAGAACCACTGCTCTATGGCCGTCGTTCCATAGGCCTTGCTGCCTTTGCAACCTGCCAGTGTCTGGCTGACTAATGCACACAGGGAACTATGGGGGCCAGTGCAAAGCCTGCTGCCGAGCTCAGGGGTGGGGCCTGCAGCTCCACATCCACCTCCACCCACGGCCTCCAGCCAAAATGCCAGGGCCCGCTTCTCTCCCCTCCACACGAGCAGACAACAGATGAGGCCGTCTATGGCTAGGAAGGCCATTTGGACCTCAAGCAAAGAGAGCTCTGAAAGGCTTGAGGAAATTCTGTCCTGCCCTCAGAGAAGGTCGGGGAGCAAAGGGCAGCTCCTGAGCCCGACAGCAGCCATGCCGGGGTTGTCCTTCTTCAAAGAGTGGAAAGGTGAAAGGAGTGAAGGTAAGTCCTTTCCAAACGGGGGTCACTACAAACGCAGCTGGTGGCTGGAGGAATTGCCATCCCCTGCCTGCAGGTAGCTTTGCACGGTAGACAGCGAGTGAGTGAGGGGAGAAAAGGATGGATGAGGAACGCAGGAGTGAGGGAATGAACAAATAATGAGGAGAAAGAAGGAGGGAGGGAGGGAAGGCTAAATAGGTTGACAGGCAGTTGGATGAACACACGGAGAGCCAGATGAAGAGCTCCACAATCAGGTGTGTTTACTAGACCTTTGCTGCTCTAAGTGTGGTCCATGGGCCAGCAGCATCAGCATCACCTGGGAGCTTGTTAGAAACACACCTAAAACCAATACAATGTTCTATTTCAATTATATCTCAATTTAAAAAAAAAAAGAAAAAATACGTAGACTCTCGGGCCCCACCCGAGATCTTTTAATAAGATCTCCAAGTGATTTGTATGCACATTGAATTTAGGAAAATACTATCAGTACATCCTAACCCTAACTAGACACTTTGCAATCACACCAAGAATGTTAATAAAGATACCACTGCCCAGACCCTACCTCAGATCAGAACTTCGAGGGTCGGGCCTGGGCAGTCTCTATAACAGCTCCCCAAGTGATCCTACCATACAGATGGGGCTTGAGAACCACAGGGCTGGACAGGGCTGTGAGCAGCCTATGACATCTTCAGAGAGGCTGGGTACAACCCAGACAGACCCTCTGAGCTCAGGGCCTCAGCTCCAGCCGTGTCTTCTATGGAATACCCCAATTCCGGCTGGCCAAGAGCAGCCCGGCCATCCTCTTCCCAGACTCTCCACTTTCCTGACCCCATTTGGAGGGGTTTCTATAGAGACAGACCCCACCTGCTGGTGCTCAGCCCAGCTGCCCCAGGGAGGAGCGGCCTGTCTTGTTTTCTATGCAGTCCTGCCAGCCTCTGCCTGCAGTGATCCCAGGGCCGGCTGCTTCCAGCCCAGTGGCCTGCTAAGGTCTCCTAGGGTCAGAGGGACCTAAAAGCCAAGGCCTTCAGGTCTGGCCCTATTGTCAAGAGTCTGGGTTCAAAGAAAGGTGCAGCTTCAAGTGTCAGCCTTAAAGGGGTCTTCCAGAATTTCTAGCGCCGAAGTGGATAATTGATGGTTAGCAGAAGAGTTTCCTTTAGCCCGAACAAAAAGTTTTTAATTGAAATATGGTTGTTAACATCTCCAATCAAGAAGTTTCACATTTTAAAATTTCCCAGGTTCTTTTGAAAAATCTGCAGATCTGGCAATAGGTAGCTGGCCTTTAGATGGGCAGCCTCCTCAGCTCCTGGACCTCCTCTCGCCTCACCTGTTTTGCTCCCTTGCCTTGCCCACCCAACCGTGGAAGTGCTTGACCTTGAACCTCCAAATTCGGATCCGACTCTTGACCTCTAGGAGAAGCTAAGGGCCTGAGCAGACTCAGCACAAGGTGTCCACCTTTAGGTCCAGACCTTGGTCGCTCTTGGCGCCATGCTCCAGGCTGCCTCCCGCTCATCCCAAAGCAGTGGGGATATGAGGTTCACAACAAGGCCAGTTTTTGTGAGAAATGAGAACTCTGTTTAACTGGACCCGTTGTGCCATCCTTCTCCCTCCCTCTCCCTCACCCGCCCCTCCCTGAAGGGAGAGGCAGTCAGCGGCCAGTTCTGGACTAACAGTCACGGAGGAAAGTCAAAGGAGAAAGCCAAGGGCAAGGGAGGGACACCCGGAGGGGAGGGAGGCGGTGCAAGAGGCTTCCACTTACAAAAGCCCAAGACACGTGGATAGCTGGGGAAGGAGGGGATGTGTGGTTAACTGCAGTTCCTCTTGGTTCTTTGAGAATCTCATCCTCTTGCTGAGGGGGACCAACTTGGCAGGCCAGAAAGGATCCATTAAAGATCATATTGGACTTGAGCATGAGGTGGGAGGGACGGAGACCAGGCCAGGGAAGGGGAAAGGCCGGGCAAAAGTAAGAACCTGCAGGCGCCCCTCAGAACCGCTGTGCCCAGGGCTCTGGCCGCAGAGGGTCCTGCCCACATCTGCCCTTTGTGCGCGGAGCCAACAAATGGATGTGGAGCCCTCTCCTGAAAGTGGGTGATGAGCTCACGTGACCATGGTGACGCTGCCATGCTCTTCCTAGGGCGAGACACGAGGCTGAGCTGGGGGCGAGGGCAAGGCAACCCCTTCAGGTCCCTGTCACAGTGCCTGTGGGCCTTCCCGGCTCCTGGAACTCCGGGAGGAGTCTGGAGGTCAAGGCCAGAGCATGGGAGTGTGCCGGGGCCGCGGCCTTGCGCTGCCCACCCTGTGGCCCCAGAGCCCTGGCTCAGCAGCAGGCTTCCAGACGGGGCATCTGCCATCGGCCACCTCCTCCTGGATCCTGAGCTGCACGAGCTCTGAGGGCTGAGGGCAGGCGGGCCGAGCCAGGCCGGAGGGCACGTGGCCAAGTAACCCGGGGGGCTCTGTCTGCTCAGGGATCCAGGGGGGTCCGTGGGGTGGGGGTCCACGCTCCAGGGGGCAGCTCAGGACAAGGACAAGCACGGCAGGCCAGCTGTAACACCAGGCAGGGGGCAAGGACGGCCCAAGTCATCAGCCGTCACACACGAGATGGGCGCTCTCTGAATGACCGTCCGGGGTGCCTGGGGTGACAGCTGGTGGCCGGGGGCGGTCTCCTTGAGCTCGGATGAGGTGACTACAACACTGGGATCCATTTCTTGTCCCCATTGTAGAGAAAGGACTGCTTTCCGGGGAATTCCGGCTTGTATGTGGCTGTGAGAGGAGAGAGAGAGAGACAGTGTTGAGAGAGAAAAGGCCAATTCTCAAGGTCCTGGCACTCGGCGTTGGAGCGGGTGAGGCTGGCGGGACCCCTGCACCTGACATGTGGGGAGTCAGGGAGGGAGGGACTGGGCCTAGGTCATCCGGCTCTGAACTGGCCCAGGCGGGACTCGAACTCCGGCTGCCCACCTTCTTCAACTCACTAACTTTTTTAACAGAAGGAAATTTACAAAAGAGTTTTGTAGGAAATTTGAAAAGAAATGAATAGAGCAACACTCTTATAGAAGCAAGGTGTCAGCTTAATGCGGGTTTGCTTTGATTTAGTTCAGAAATTTCGGGAAAACTGAAAGCCATCACAGTAGCGGCCAGGACCACGCAGGGCTCGGGAACCACAGCCTGGGGTGGCTGGAAACTCTCGCGCTGATGCTGATTTGTTCACGAGGGCCACGCACGGCCTCCGGTACACCCTCAGGAAGCTGCTGAGGGGTCCAGGTAGATCTGCGCCCACTGGAAGCCAAGAAGGCAGATGTTTGCATGTACTTACTCTGGGAGGCCCTCAGGGAAGCCCACCTTGGCCTAGGTGATCACAGCAGCAGGCCCTGGCCTGCACCTGCCCTCCAGGTGCCCGCATGGAGAAGATGCTTGGAGAAAGCTCCTAGAGGACTGGGCCAAACAGGGTCAGACAAGGATCCGGCTGGTCTCCGGGGTCCTGGCACCACCACTCCACGGGGCATTCGTACATTTGCGGGACCAAGCTGAGTTCTGCCTGGACTGACCAGATGACCCGTAGGTCAAACCTGTGCCATCTTATTGGCTTATCACTACGTTTCCAAGGACAGAGCCATGAGGATGCTATTCTCGCTGTCCCGCCTACCTTACATGTTACTCACCTGTGTGTGTGGAGGGAAGGGGACGCCTCGGGGGCCAGCACTGAGCCTCAGTCATCTTTGCCTCCGCAGGGTGGGAGCATCAGCGATGCTCATTGAGAGCCTGACTTTCACAGGCCTGCTGGCCACCTCAGCTCTTGCCTTCCCCCTCCCACGCCACCAGCCCATCAGCACACCTGTCATTCCCCAATGCCATAAACTCTGGCCAGTGTCGGGGGTGGTAAATAGCTAGGGGCTCCAGGTAGGCAGGGGAGTGCAGGGACCACCCACTGGAACAAGTCCCTCAGACTATCAGCTCTCAGGCAGATCCTGGGGGTAACTATATGGCTTGAAAGAGCTGCTCGGGTGGAGCCCTGTTTTATTTCATGACAGACAAGGCGTCGAGGCGAGAGAGTCTCGGCCTCTGCCCTCTGCTCACCCTCTGCAGGGCTATGACACCTTGCTCTCCGGGCCTTCCCCATCTGGGAGGTGACCCCGCCAGACTAGACCTACGATTTAAACATTCTTAAGAACATGCACTTTTTAGACAAAAGCTGTGGCTCTTTTCCACAGAAAATAATATCTGCACGTTCCAAATTTGCAGACGATTTCAGGGTCACAGACCTCCTGGAGCCCAGCTTTGTGTCTCTTGAAACATTCATGGTCCTCAGTTATAAATCCCTGACCTGGATCATCTCTAAGAGCCCTTTCACCTTAAAAAAATAAATTAAAAAAAAAAACAAAAACCCACCTTTCATACTCTGACAGTGTAAGCCGAAAAGTCTTCTAGATCCACTCTAACCCCTGTAAATTGTTTGGCAAACAGCCTATAAATCAGTGGTATTTGATGGCCCAGGAATGACAAACAATTCCAGGTTTGGTTTTTACAATCACTGAAAGCAATCCTCTGACCTGGGCCAGGCGAGCCGGGCAGGCCTGGCTGGGACGGCGCCACTGTCCACCGGCTGGTGTTGGACACGAAGGATGCACTGGAGACGAAGTGCTTGGGGGGCCCCGTGTAGTCCACGATCTCATACTGCCCAGGGCCTGGAAGAGGCGGCTTCGGGGGCAGAGGCAAAGGCTGGGCAGAGAAAGTTAGGATGGGGTTTCTCCTTCAGAAAAGACAAAAATGGGAAGATGTCCCTAAATCAGTCTATTGGAGAAATGGCAGTTTTTCGACATAGCCAGGACCTGCCCAGTGCCCAGCCATCTGCAAGAGGACTGGACGAGGCACTGGGAGACCTATTTCCTCTTCCGGCTCCACTGCTAGTGATCTGGGGACCCTGGACCCCAGTCTTCTCGCCTGCACAAGGGCAGTCATAACGGTACCTACCCTGTAGGCTTGTTTTCAGGGTTAAAGGAGATGACACACCTAAAACACGGTAGTCAGGACAGGGCCCAGCACAAAGTGAGAGCTCAGTACATTTGTCGTTGTGGATGACGGATGTCGTTGAGCTAATCAGGAATGGCAGAAGACATCGATGCCATGTGCCAACTCTGATCGCTTGGTAGTGCCTGGCTGGAGCTCCATGTAAAGAACTGAGGCCTCGTTTGGGCTGTATGGGAAGAGCATTGGTGAGCCACTTGTGATGTCTGCCATGGCCAGGAAATGGGAAGAGGAATTCCAAATTCCAAGGATTTGCCATCCCGAGACTAGCAGATCTTTAGAGGCCATTCTAGCACTGACATCTCAGAAACTTATTAAACATGTTTTTGGCAAGGCAGGAGGTAGGAGTGGAAAAATACTGGGCTGGAAGTCAAGAGACCTCTGAATAACGATCACCACTTAGATTGCAGTTGTTTTCAGGTCTGTCTTCCCCCCTTCAGGAAAGGGAGTCTTTTAAGCCTGTTCTCGAGAGAATAAATGAAACAGAGAACCTGTATTCGAGCCCTCACTCTGTTACTAATGCACTCTGGGACTCAGTCTCCCCATCTGTAAAATGAGGGGGTTGGACATGACGACCTCTGAGGTCCCTTCCAGCTGTGACCTCCCATCTGGCCTTGATTCAGAGAGGTCCGCTGGGTTGCCCAGGAATCCTGGGATTGTTAACAGGAAATGTCCTACCCTCCTGGCCATGCAATAGAAGGGCTGCCCACTTCTGCCTCACATCTGAAGCTTCTCCTAAGGTCTTTCACCAAAATGAAAGAGAGATTTCTCAGAACCTTGAATGGCCCCAGGAGACTCATCACAGCTCAAAGCCAACCCATCCAAACAGAGGAGGGAACTGGGATGCCCAGCCACTGGAACTCTGCTGCCCTTTGGCCAACACCTTCTGAAGCAGAGGCATTCTTAGACTCGGAGAGCTAGAGGAGACCTAGAGATGTCTTATCCAACATCCTTATTTTGCTTAAGAAGTTGGTGCCCAGAGAGAGAAAGTGAGTCACCCAGTGTCACAGAGCAAGTTCATGGTAATGCCAGCACTGGAACTCAAGTCTTGGTGACTAGCAAGATGGGGAGGGCATTGTGGCAGAGGAGAATTTTCGAGTTTTAGAGTCACACAGACCTGAGTCTGAATACCGGGCAGCCAAGTCCCTGGACCTCTCTGTTCCTGGCAACAAGGAGTAGTAACACTCACTCCTTATATGCGGGTTGATGACTGGAGAAAAGCTATGTAAGGTGCCTAGCAGAGCGTCCAAACACAGTAAGTCCTCAGTAAAAGCAGTTGTGTTATTACTACGATCCCTTGCAGCACCACCATCCGCTGTCTGGATGGGCAACAGAGCCTCAGGAAAGTGAGGTTAGGGGGCCTCTCACCAGAGTTACCTTGGGGCAGGGTGGACACTCCCACTGCCAGCGGAGGCTGCTGGCAGCCATCGTAAACCTGCGAGAGGCTCACGTCTTGGGATGGAGGAACAGCTGGCTTGGATGTATATATTTAGGATAAGGCGCCCACAGGAAAATGGGGGGAAAACGTTGCCTCCTTTCTTTCCCTCCAGTCTGCGTGGAAGAACTGGTTACAGTGTGTGATCCACCACTCTCCCCTTACAAATAAAAGCTGGCATACCCTTGTTCCGGCTGCAACACCCCTTCAGAGCACCCTCAGAAATTTGATCATTGAGAGACAGGCTTGACTCCTGGAAGTTAGAGGTGGAATGAGCCAATCACCGCATGAGGTTACTCCATGGGTCCGGGTCACCCTGAGTCTTTGAGGAAACTGTGAGATGTCTACTCTCCTGACCAGGGACAGCCTGCAGGGAGCTGGGAAGGCAGGGGTCAGCATCTCACCAGATTCTTTTTTTTTTTTTTTTTTTTTTTTTTGCAGTACATGGGCTTCTCACTGTTGTGGCCTCTCCCCTTGCGGAGCACAGGCTCGGGACGCGCAGGCTCAGCCGCCATGGCTCATGGGCCCAGTCGCTTCGCGGCATGTGGGATCTTCCCGGACCGGGGCATGAACCCCTGTCCCCTGCATCGGCAGGCGGACTCTCAACACTGCGCCACCAGGGAAGCCCATCACCAGATTCTTGCTGAGAGTGAGTGAGACAGGTCCCTCATCCTCCCCTCCATCCACATGCCCAGGAGAGGCTTTGCCCCACCAACTCAGCTCCCCGGACCTTCGGACAGTGTCAGCCCCGTGTGCAGCTCTGTGCCAGGCACTCTGGGGAGTCCAGACAGTTCTGTGCTAAGACACAGACCCTGAATGCCCCGGAGGGCTTAACAATCCACTGCCAGTGACAATCATGGCCGGTGACAACTTACAGGCTTTGCACTCAGACAGACTTGAGTTTGAATCTCTGCTTCCCCATCCACCAGCTGTGCATCCTTAGAAAAGCCTCTTAATCTCCCTAGGCCTCAGTTTCTTTATCTGTAAAACGGTGGATAATAATACCTGCCTCCCAGGGTTGTTATGAAGATTAACGAGTGCTTTACTGGTACCATTTTTTTTTTTTAACATGAAATGTTAGAATATAGGTGAGAGAGACTAATTCCAACTGGGTGAATCCAGAAATCTACCCTAGAAGAGGTAACATTTGCTCTGAAAGGTAAGCAGGAATTCTTTGGCTAGAAAAGGTGGAGGTGGGGGCATTTCCCACAGAGGAAACAGCAGGGGCAAAAGCCTGGAAGAGGGACAAGCCGTGCTCCGTGGGGCCGGGACTGGGGCACAAGGAGCCAGAGGCTAAGCCCCTGGACCGCCTTCAAGCCTCCTTCCACCCGTGAATTCTGGGCTGTTCACTTGGGTTTCCGACCAACCCCCGTTACAGGCCCTGAGGAGGAGCTAAAGGAAAACTACCAGTGGCCTCTCAGTGAAGCCTAACTCCCAGGTCATCTCCCAGAAACACCCAGCACAGGGACTTCCCTGGTGGTCCAGTAGTTAGGACTCCATGCTTTCACTGCTGTGGGCCCAGGTTCGATCCCTGGTGGAGGAACTAAGATCCCGCAAGCTACCCTGTGCGTCCAAAAGAAAAAAAAAGAAATGACCAGAAATACCCAGCACAGCGTTGTCCAACGACTCCATGCCTTTGCCGTGCTGATCCTTCTGCCAGGAGCACCTCCTTTCCCTACCAACTCTGATTCCCTCTTTGCTTCTCACCTCCTCCAGGGAAACTCCCTGGGCCACAATCCTTCCCCTTCCCTGCCTCCCTTCCTGGGCTCCATAGAGGAGCACGGATTTTGGAGTCAGGTGGACCTGGATTCCACCCTCTGCTCTACCACCGGGGAGAGTCTGCGTCCCCTGTAAACTCTATGTAACAATCCTGACCCGTGGGAGAGTTGGAAGATGAAGCTGTAGGAAGTCTGTGAAAACTCTGAGGGCTGGAAGCTGGCCCCTCAATACACTGTAGCCATTCTTCTCTTCTCTGCACAAAACACATTACTTTTCTATGCTTTTTACTTGTCTAGTTCTTTAATGCAGGGGATGGTGTCTTATCCATCACTGAGGCCCTGGTCCCTATTCCCGAGGACATTTGCCTAACTGCAGAGAGGAGCAGAGGGGTTGAAGCAAGTAGGGGAGCCCAGGCATCTGAACCCTACCTGACAGTTTTATCATCACCCGGGGATGGTCCTTCCATGTCCTCATGGGGCTGGGCAAATCACTGAGGTCAGACTGAATCAAACCCGGGGCAGCCACAGTGCATTGTAACCAGGGATTTTTATGAGCCTCATCGCCCAGTTTTAAAAGCCAACCTGGTCCTGCCCCGTGGAAAAAACATCTGTCAAAGGCTCTGACTTGGCCACAACTGGATTAAGTTGTGTTTGCAGCTTCCAGTGTGAGCTGTTTGCAAATCACCAAAGAATAATGAATGTCTCAGAGGACTCAGCAGGTCACTTGGGGAGGGCATCCGAGACCCTTGGGACGCTCCCAGGCACAGATTCACTCTGCCTCAGGGATTCCCAGGGTTGGGAGGGATAAAGGGGCAATTTTTTTCTCATCATTAAAGGGCAGCCGATTGCCTCTGGGGTGGAATGCGGTATCTGTTTAACAGGGGAGTGGGTGACAGATTACAGCTGCTTGGGAAGAAGCATCCCATATCTAATTGAAAATCCCAGGGGAACTTTAGGTGGGTCCAACGTAATTACCCAAATTGGAGTGGGGCCGATGGGGCTCTGGCTGTGACAGGACAGCGTGTCTGAGCAAAACCAGTGGTTTAAAAACTCCAGGAAGCAGATCAAGGGTTAGAAAGATGTCAGTGGGTGTTTCACCTCCCTCCTGGCGTGAGTCGGAAGGGAGCGCCTAGGAGGAAGTATTCTGATCTCCAAAAGCCCGCCCCCTGACTCACCCTGATCCGTTGAGTCAGCACTGTGACGGATGCTGGAGACCTACAGAAGTGAAACCCTGGCTGATAGCCTCCTCCAGAGACCCCCGGAAGCTGGTAAATCCTCTTAGCTTTCGAGTCAGCAACGTGGCCATAACAAAGACACTCTGTGATGCGTTCTTCAGCCGAGGAGCCCAGAAACGGCCACGCCAACGACCCTACAGCCCCTCACCGCATCTGTGCGGCAGGGCCACTCAAGAAACATCGGGTGAGTGCAGAGGGCTTGCTCACACGTTTCGATGAAAGTACAAATCACGCACATCAAAAGTTTACAATTTGCCAGTTATGTGAGTCATCTTTTTTTATCCTTGCAAGCGTGTTGTAAAGTGTGCTTGCCCCAACTCACAGAGGATGAATTTGAATTCCCAGGGAGTTAAGTGACACCCCCCCCCACCCCTACCCCCAGCCTCCCAGGGCTGGTGAGAGGGGAAGGCGGGAGTTTCAGCGGCCTGACGACTCCCTGCCTGTGCTTATGCCCTCGGTGCCACGGCCTCTGCAGCCGGTTCCCAGCTCAGGAGGCCAGCAGGGGTTGGTAACACGGCACCAGTGACCCCAGCGAGAATTAACATCTCCCCCGTTCTCCCTGCATCCTGAAGAAAGCAGAGCCGAAATACCATCTTTGCAAACTGGAGCCCCACCCGTGAATGGGGAGCCACACACTTCCAAGCAAGAGAAACAAGTGACGCCTGGGCGGCCCGTGCTTCCACAAAAGAAACACTGTGATGATTCTCAGATTCTCCACCACTGCCCCATGCAGCCCCCGGAGATCTGAGTATGATTAGGCTTGATGTAGACAGAGTCTCAACATATCGATGGGGAGGAAACAACGCAGACCTTCTCCGGGGCCTGACAACCCCAGGATGGGCCCTCAGGTGCTCCTGCCCCTCTCCCCCCTCCAGGGTCACAGGAAAGGAAACAGAATTTGAATTTGAGAGACTGGAGTTTGGATACTCCTTCAATACTATCACATTCGCTGTTTCTCTTCTTTATATCACATCCCTTTCTCCATCGTCCCACATAAACAGATGGATGCTACTTTGGAATAACCAACAGCACACTTTAGTTTTATCTCTTTGCTTTTAAATGAAATTACAGATTTCTCAACCTCACCCTTTCCATGCCAACTCAACAATATATACTGGACTTCCTCTGTGGGTCCTGCCTGCCCCCATGTTCACAGCCTCCGTATGCTCTCCGAAGTGACATGGTGAGCAAAGCTGGGGTCACAGAGTGTGAGAAATGGAAAGATTTCCCCTCTTTTCACAAATGGAGAAACAAAGGCTCAGGGAGGCGCTGAGAGCAGCCCCAGACCACAGAGCCTGCCGTGGAGGCTGGGGCACTGTCCACTCACCAGGGTGAGCCCAAGTTTAAGAGACACTGGGTTTGACAGGTCTCTTTACTGCGGGCCTTCTCAGAGCCTTTAATAAGCTCATGTATACTGTGATGCACCCGGGGGAGAGGGATTGTATGCAGTGCTTCCTAGGTTTATTAACCCAGGAGCCACCATTCACGAAGCATCACAGAGAGCCAGTGCGCCCCAGATACCCCCAGACACACCAGCACTACTGCACTGCTCCCATCAGAAAGCTGGCACCCTTGGTGGGGCAGTGTGGTCATGCAACCTTGGGGCCCACACGATCCGGCGTTTTGTGGCATGTTCCTCTGCCTTGCTCTGGAGTTGTTGCCAGGTGAGCCTGAAAGTATGGATGGTGCTCTGTCCACGTGAGCTCCCCCATAGCCCTCAGCACAGCACCAGAAACCTCCAGGGCCTGCTGACTGACAGATGCGAATGCCATAAAATGAGGCTATTTCAAACCACTCATCCAAACTCGGACGCAGGCCAAATGACACCACTCTGGGGAAGGCGGTTAAACACCGAGTGCCCCTCACCCTCCTCTCATTGTTTCCCTGAAGAAGCTTCCAGAGTCAGGGTGGGGGCTTGAGCCTCCATGCCTCAAAACAGCTGCATCCTCTATCGTCACATATCCTCTCTAGGATATAGAATAATAGCTGCTGTAATAAGAAGAGTGAGAGCTATTTTCAAGCACTTTCTCATCTAATCCTCACAGAACCCCCATGAGATAAGGTTCTTATCTCCACTTAATACATGGAAACATGGAGGCTCAGGGAGGAGAAGTCTCTGCTAGAGACAGAGCTGTGATTCTCACTCAGGTCTGCTAACCCCAAAGCCCATCCTCTCTCCCACTCCATTTGGGGGCAGCATAGGGAAAGGTTGTGTGTAGTGGTGCCCAAGCCAACCCAGAGGCAGGAAGTCCCTGACGTTTGGAGAGAGCCTGTTCCTGGAGACTTTCCCGCCCCGGTCCCGAGTCCTGCAGAACCCCAGATCCGAAGGGCAGAAGGGACTCAGCTGGTGGACTCCATCTGAGGTCTGAATCCCTTCCCCAGGTCCTGGGTTGGACTCAGCAGGCTCATGTCTTGCTCCTCTCCCTTACCCCTGACCCCTTGCCCTGGGCTCATGGTCCGAGTAGACCCAGTTTGCCAGCCTCCCCGGGCCACCCAGCCTCCTGACCCCCTGTGGCTCTGCGCCCAGCCAGCTGCCTGACCTCCCTGGAGGCTCCCAGGTGACCTCTCTGGAGGCCCCCAGGTGGCTATACCCTTGGTCCCAGCCCTGCTGGTCAGCCCTCACAACAGCCAATCCTGCTGAGAGTGACAGGACGGCTGACCTTCACGGCACTTAGTTCTAGAAGTTCTAGACCCATTTGAGGAATATTAAGCCCCGTGAATTTTTGAGCCTCTGAGGTGAAAGTAACATCAAATGTACAGGAGATTAAAAACAGTAACACAAATCCCTGTCTTTTAAAATTTGTGTTATTGACTCACTATTTGTACCTACTATATCAAATATATTTTTTAAATCAGAAAGCAACGTTCGGATAAATTATCCCCACTTTATAATCGAGGGCATGCAGGCTCAGAGGGGTTAGCACAGTGCTGACGGTCACACAGCATGAATATAGCAGAGCTGACGTTCCAATCTAGCAGGTCTGACCAACTCCAAAGTCTAGGCTGTTAACCTATCAGTACAAAGCTATGAGAGTTTCACCGCTTTCGTATATCCTGCCACCCCAGTGGAGATTTTATATTATAAAGATAGAATAATACCAGCACCAGGAGAGTACAGCATCATGGGGAATGTTGGAAGATGCAAACAGTCCTGAGCCTGAGTCCCAGGCGCATCTCAAGTAAGCTGTGTGGACTTACGCAAGTCTTTCAGCCTCGCTGAGGCCTGGCTTCCTCCTCTATGAAGTAAGAATAATCATGCCTACAATAGAGTTGTTATGATCATTGAAGAAGATGTTAAGTTCCTGGCATACAAGAGTTACTCAGTAAATACTATGTATTCAACAAGTATTTCTTGAGCACCTGCTATGTGTCAGCAAGGGCCCCAGGAGAGCAACTCGGCCTGTGTCTGCCAAGCTGTGACACCCCTTCCTTTTCTCCCCAGGTTCGGGTCCTTCCCCAGAATACCTTTCAGAAGAAATATCAGGATGATCAGGACTCACGGGATAAGAGTCTTTTTTTGAACTTCGATGTGACCTCCTGGGTTGTAATAACCGGGTCCTGGGCCTGTCGACATCAGTTTTAATCCACGGCCAGTTTTTGATTTAAAACAAGACATTAATATCTTCGGCGACTGCTTCACAAGGGATTCGTTGACATTATAATGCCCTGAGCAGAAAGAAATTTTAAAACAGAATAAAGAACTTCTCTCAAAAAAATAAAAAGCAGTAAGAATACATTTAATGACTATAAGGCAGTATCACTCCAGGATGGTCAAGTAGAAGGGGCCTGGAATAACTGAAAATAACGCTCACCATTTAGAGAACATGTGTCCGTGCATCACATATGTGGCTCATTTAATCCTCACGGCAGCCCTGCAAGGTGGGTATTAGCACCTCCATTCTAAACATGAGGAAATAGACTCAGAGATATTCAGTAATTTGCCAAAGGACATTCATCTAACCAGGGCCTAAGCCCAGCTTCCTCCTCCATAAACTAAGGATAATAATTCTTCCAACAACTGGGAGGCTATGGTAGAAAAAGAACATTTTAGGTTCCTGGCACATGGTAGCTGCTCAGTAACTATTATGTAATCAACAAATATTTATTGAGCACCTACTATGTGGACCCCTACCCACCTTTCTCCAAGGTCCATGCTTCCCCACCATGCCTTGTCTCAAGAAACTGTCAGAATATAAGTAATTTGGCTGTGCACAAAGCTTTAAGGAAGAAGAGAATGATCTGAGCTGGGGTAAAGAGGGAGCAGTCTCACCCTAAAGAGCAAGTAACCCTGTAAATGGGGGCAGGCATTTTGGGGTGCAAAGCGGCAGTACTAGGCAAAGGCCTTCAAGATGCTGCACACTTTGACCCTGGCTTCCTATTACTTGGAAGTTAAGGAAATTATTCAACATAATGCAAAAGCTCTAAGCCTAAAGATGTACACAACAGCAGTAGCTACAGTGTGAGAAACGATGAATAGCCCAAAGGTCCAAGTACAAGGGCACAGTTATGGGAAAACAGCCTAATCTCGTGGAATATCAGCCCTGAGGGTGGTAAATGCAAAGGCCATGAAGCCTATGGCAATGTTCTCAAAAATAAAGGTGAGTGAGAAAAGTAAAATAAAGCCTAACAGTCTAAACTGTATATACTATGACATCAGTGTGCAAATGGATACATGTGAGTAAAAATAGGTGGGAACCCAGAAAAGTGGGAAAAACTATATTAATGGTGGCATTGTGGGTGGGAAAAATATTTCAAATTTTCTAACCACTGTAAAGTTAATTTTTAAAAAAATAAAATCGACTTTTTCATTGCAAAAGCACTGAAAACAACAATATGGGACATATTAGCAAGATTTTATTGAAATGGTAATACTCATTGATGGCAAAGGTGAGGGAAAGCATATTTCTCATAGAAGCAGGAGGATAAATTATCTCTGTGCTGAAGGGCAATTTGGTCACAAATATCAAAAACCTTAAATATTTTACATACCTTTCGACTTAGCAATTTCACATTAGGCAATTTAGGTAAGGAGGTAATCTTGATTGTACACAAGTTGTGAGCTATAAGGATGTTTGCTCCCACTCTATTTATATGAGTGATCCATTTAAAACAACCTAAATGCCAGCAAGAGGGCATTTGTTCCTTAACTGATGGTACCACCAGATAATGGAATACTATGCATCCATTAACAGAAGATGTTCTAGGAGGATTTTTAATAACATGAAAAAATGGTCCCAATATATGCTAAAGTTAAAAAAAAAAAACAGATGTCCAGTTAGCAGCATTTATAATACTGGTATATATCTCTAAAATTATCTTTCTGGGTTTTTTACATATACATATATTTATTTTTTATTTTTATTCCCCCTACCATAAAAAATAGTTTAAAGCAACGCTTGATTATAAAATGTTAAAAAGCAGAAGCAAGGGGGAAAGGTATTCATGCTCTCAAGGCCCAGAATAAACCAGGGTTGAACTCTCTGCTGTATTTACCCCGGTCTTTCCATCGTGCACTGGACACTGTCTCATGGTGTTGGGCCCACAGAGTGGATTCGATCGTGTCACCCACATTTTTCAAGTGACACTTTACCATAGTTGTTTCCCCATGATCTAATAACTTTTTTGTTTTTAAGGAGAAATAGAGAGGAGGATGTTGGGGAAGTGCTTGGCCTTGTGTTTGATGCAGCCAGACTGTAGAAAATCCAGCCAGCCAACGTGTAAAGGTGAGCATTTTGCTCAGAACTGAAGGCAGACCAGACCCGGCCCTCAGCCCCTGAGCCTGGGCACTCTGGGTGGGCGGAACCCAGCAGGGATGCCAATCATGGCTCCACATCTGGTTTCTTCCCACAAGGGGGAGAAGCAGAAACCACAGTGTTTTTCTGATAGGTCAAAGCAGATTGTTTCTCTCAGAGAAGCAGATTCCCCAGGCTGTGGCCCCTGGCAAATGTGGGGGATGCGGGGAGAGTCCTGAAGGCACCAGGCGTCGAGCTGGATTCAAATCCAGCAGTGGGACCCTGGACTAGTCACCTGTTTTCTATATATCATTTTTGCTTGTAAAGTGGGGATATAATAATATTAATAATAACCCCCGCTCTCGGAGCACATATGTGCCAGGCAACCCTCCATGGGGTTTTGAAAGCTCCTGGCACACAGTAGGAGCTTAAAAGATGCTGGTTCCCACCTCTCCCCTTCCTGCTGTGTTACAAGGGGCCCCTTGGAAGCCTCCCAGAGGGAGGAGCTGCCCACTTCCCAGGGGCTCTCTGGTGGAACCTCTGGCCAAACCCCAGGGATGCTGGCTTTATTCTCCTGTATAAACAAACAAGGTGGGGTTTTGCCCGTGGTGATGCAAGGCAGGGAGCTTTAGCCAGGCTTAGCCTCCTAATTAGGGCTGGTTTTGTTATTCAGCCTCAGACTGATCTCAACTTTAATCTGGATTTGCTGAAATCTGACATGCGCTGCGATTTTGCCCACACCCCCATCGGAGAAGCATTATTTGCAGAGGTAAACCCTCCCTGCTCCTCCTCTGGGCTCTGGGGCCCAGAGCTCCCTCGGGGGTCTTCTGGACCTGTTTGGGAAGGTCTAGTCTAACCAGTGGTCCTGGAGTATGGACTGCTATGTCACCAGACCCCTCTGGAAAATTTTCACTAAGGCTGGGGTGGGGAGGAGGTCTGAGGGCACAGAACAGGTGCAATGCCTTTCCCCAGCCCAGCAGGGAAAACATCTGCAGGTGAGCCCTTGTGTGTTCCTGAATCCTGGAGGCTTCAGAAGTCACACTGGGATGACAGGGTTAAGAGGTTCCTCAGTCAGACACCTCTGGGCTTAGGCCGGCCATTTATTAGCTGTGTGATGCTGAGCAAGTTGCTTCAACTCTCTGGACCTCCATTTCCTCACCTGAAACACAGGACTAAGAGTGGCCCTATGAGGACAGATGTGTGAGGACCGCGTGGAAAAACGTAGCACTGAGTAGGCGCTCTGTAAACAGAGTTATTTCGCATCATTTGATGATAGATGATGAAGCCGCTTTGTAGACATGGGAGGAGAGGAATATTGCAGCCGAGTGTCCAAGGATCAGAGCGTATTGTGTGCCCCGCCTCCCCCCAGCGCCTGGGAGGGCACCTGGGGTATGCGCATGGGCACACTTCTGGCATGAGAAGCCCCTCCCCAGCTGGCTGCCCAAAGCAGGTGCTCTGGGTCTGGAAGGCAGGCCGCCGTGATAGGCCGCCCTGGGGTCCATTTCCAGAGCCGCCGTTCTTCCCCCGAATGGGGAGCCAGGCTTCTCCTCTTTGTACAATACCTGCCTGCACCCCCTCTTCCCTCAATGCCTAACTCCTTCCAAAGAGACTCCCTGAGAAGTGCCCTGCTGATCAGATCTGGTACAGGAAGACTTAAGTCAAGGCCAGTGCGAGGCAGCTGCTTACCTGGGGCAGGTCCTGTTTTAGTAATAGTGAAAAGTCCTCTCTGGGTTTTGGACATGAACCCGGCTCGGGCACAAACGTTGTTTGCCTGTTTGCAGCAAGAGACAGAGGCCTGGGGGAGAAAATAAGCACGGTGTGCTCAGTGTCTTGCCTTTCTTTGTCGTTGTTGTGTCTGGACGAGGGGCACTTTGGGGTTAAAAAAACAAACAAATTTAAACCTGTCTTCAGAAAATGAGCGCACGTGAGTGGAAAACGTCACACTGGCTATGCCTTCCCCTTCACCGCAGCTGGACTGGCGGAAGAGCTTGTCATCGCTAGCCAGTGTCTGGGGACCCAACACAACACGGAGGACGGTGGCCTGAACCAGCCGGCGGCCCTGGCTTCCGGGCTCGCTCCCCGCACACAGGGCAGCGTATCCTGCTCAAACGGATTAATTTCTCTGAATTTGAGTTTTCTCATCTGTAAAATGGATCAGATAATCCCTGCTCCACTTGAGGCAGAGTGCTGTTGGGTTGGGGGTAGGGGACAGCCGGTCAACACAAATCATCTGTTTTTCTAAAAAGTGTGTAACATTACATAGGCAAATTATTTTCATCATGTTTTCTACGATTTTCTTTCTTTTCAGAACACTTAGTCCTACATATCTCCACCCTGATTCCTCACTGCTCAGATAATCCTTCAATACACGTGGGATTTAGGACACACAAAGAAATTGTGTAACTTAAGATTAGGATCAGATTTGTAAGCACTGTCTTGACTTTTTTGGGCTGACCAGAAATTTAGAATTTTGGTTGACCCAGGCAATATACATTAGAGAGTGTCCAGTGAGTTCAGAACGCTAAAAATAATTTTGGAAAAAAAAAAAAAGAACCCTGAGATCATTCTTATGATGAATCATAAATATTTTAAAGGCTAATTTGCAGTCAGTCTCCTGTATTCATTAGATAAAAGATGCAATAAAAATTGTGCCTGCAATGGCTGGAATATTTACTGAATGAGTGAAACTATTTGCTGAGGCCAGGATGCTTGATTTTCTGTGCTACTCCTTTGTCAAAAAAAATGTTTCTCGAGAAATGCAGATGGCATTTTGATTTTGTGTTGACAAAGGCAGAGGAATTTCGCTTTTCCCAGGGTCCTGACGGCCAGACTGCCTGCCGAGAGGGCAGACAAAAAGATCAGGTGGACCAGGCTAATTACTGGACACGGGGAGAAGAGCCAGGACGCCAGAGAGGAAGTAATAACAGGTACCAAGGGAAAGGCTTCCAACAGAGAAGCGGGGGATCCCAGTAAGCAAAGGTAGAGAGGTCTTGACAGCCTCAAAGCACAGTGTGGCTAACAGGATTACCGCATTTCTGCTCCTCGCCAGTTGACTCAACCATTGTTCTCCAGGTCTGAAAAAAGCCTCCTGTAGACAAAACACTACTTCAGCTTTATTCCTCGCCCAGACAGAAAAGCAACAGAAAAAGGGGGCATTTTTGTATACACTGAGTGTGGGTGTTACTGGAAGATTTCACCATTAGACTAGGAAGAGTCAGCTCCACTGGCAGGTTAAAAAAGAATGAAGCAGATTCATTGTATTGCCATGGGCAAAAGCAAATCCCAGATATAATTAAGTAGAAAACGCACGCATACTGTGGACAGCATAATCCCAAAACCAAGGGAAGGACCACTGGAGGAAGAGAATACGAATGATATTGACCCCGTTTTTTTTTTAATTTTTTTTGCGGTACGCGGGCCTCTCACTGTTGTGGCCTCTCCCGTTGCGGAGCAACAGGCTCCGGACGCGCAGGCTCAGCAGCCATGGCTCACGGGCCCAGCCGCTCCGCAGCATGTGGGATCTCCCCGGACCGGGGCACGAACCCGTATCCCCTGCATCGGCAGGCGGACTCTCAACCACTGCGCCACCAGGGAAGCCCTGCCCCCGGTTTTTGATGTTTGTTTGCAGAGCAGAATGATGAGGGACTTCCACTTTCTGGCTCATGGGTTTCTGTGATGTTCGAAGATATTTTATGATGAGCATGTATTATTTTCAGAGCCACATTAAAAGAATAATGAACAAAAAACATGCAAACTAAAATTGATCTGGTGGCAGAGTCCTGACGTGGGGAATGGTCATTTCTTGATTAACAAAGGAAGTTATTCCTTTGGAGTCATAAACATTTATTGCATGATTACTGCATGCCAGGACCTGAGCTGGGCCTCGGAGATAGGAAGCCAGGGTGAAGAAGCAGTGGGCTGGGGAGGTGAAGGCACGAAGCACTAACACCACAGTGCCCTTCAGCAGCCCCCAGGAGGACGCAGAGCGGGCGCTCACACGGAGACAGTCTGCACTTGTGTCTGTCTCCCAAGGAACCCAGCCCTCTCTCAGGAATGGCGACGGCGCAATGGCTAAGCACATTCATGATCACTTGCCTGGACCAGACCTCGACCTCTCTTTTGTTATCGTGACAGCTTCCTAACTGTTTTTTCAAAATCCACCCTTAACCCACACTGCAGTCCATTCTCCACACAGCAACTGGAGGGATCTTTTTTAAAAGGTACATCAGAAGACATCACTCCACACCTCCTATCCTCCTCAAGGAGGGCTCCCCAGCACACAGAGAACAAAATTCGAACTCCCTCCCTTTAGGGCCTTGCATGAACTGGTCCCTGCCTATCTGTCTGGCCTCTCCTCGTCCCCTCTCCCCCGAGCCCCCTAGTTCATTCTACTTTAGATACTTTGGTTTATTTCTGGCTGCGTCACACGTCTTACAAGATCTTAGTTCCCTGACAAGGGATTGAACAGGGGCCCACGGCAGTGAAAGCGCCGAGTCCTAACCACTGGACCACCAGGGAACTCCCTCTAGCTACCTTCTTACAGTTCGCCATGGGCTAAGGTGTTTGCTGTCCCAGGACCTTTGCACATGCTGTTCCCCGTCCCAGGACCTTTGCACATGCTGTTCCCCCAACTCTGGCTCTTCCCTCAATCCTTGTCTCAGGACCTTCTCTGACCACCCAGTCTAAAGTACACGGTATTGCCAACCTCCACACACCACACATACTCTCTTTCTCAGGCTCCAACTGTTTGTCTCCCTCAGAGCTGGCCACACAGTAAATATTTTGTTTGTCTGTCTCCTAGTTCTCATCTTGAGTTCCCCACTGGGATCTAAGCTGTATCACTGGTCTGGCACAGAGCAGCCACAGGATTTATGAAGGGAAGCCCGGCAGGGCTGGAACATGGGGACTCTGATCGCTCCCCAGCTTTATACCTTGGCACCTGCCCATGCTCACCCATGTGGGAACAGTCCCTTCAAGCTGGGTAACTTTGGGCAAGTCCCTTCCCCTCTCTGAGCCTCAGCTTCCTCTTCTGTAAATTGAGAATAAGAGAATCCACTTCCTGGGTTCTTGTGAGTATGAAATAAGTGAGTACACAACTCTTAGAACAGCACATAGACCGTGAAAAGTGCTTCATCATATCATCATCATTCTTATTTTCAGGCTCTGATTACCCTAAGAGAAGAGTATCTAGAGCTATACAACCCCAAACAGTAGCCACTGGCCACATGAAGCTATTGAGCTCTGCAAACGTGGCTGGTCCACATTCAGATGTGCTGCAAGTATAAAATATACACTGAATTTTAAGGACTTAATATGAGGGAAAGAATGTAAAACATCGAATTAATAATTTTTATATTGATTAGATATTGCCATATCTTGAATATATTGGGTTAAATAGAATCTATAATTAAAACTAATTTCACCTGTTTCTTTTTACTTTAAATGTAGCTACTAGGAAAACTTAAATGATGTATGTGGCTCCTGTTATACTGATATTCCTAGCAGGCACTTGTATTGCTTTGAACATGTTATAATTGATTGGATTCATCATAGAAGGTAGGCAGGATCTTTGTAGTCAGAAAAATCAATATTATTTATAAATATTATAAAAGAAAAAGGAAATTTAAAATGAAGTATTCTAAGACCAAAATATTCTTAAATATAGTATAATAATATTACTACCTTATGTACAATTCATGTCTTAGGTATTTCAGAGTGCTTTCATATTTGTAGTCTCATATGCTTCTTATGATAACCCTGTAGGGCAAGTATAATTAATTCCCTTTTACAATTGAAACTCAAGAGGTAACGGGGCTTCCCTAAAGACAGTTCTACCAGTTTTCATGTATTGTAGAGTCCTCGTGCACCAGATATTGTGCTAGGTAAGCACTCAGCCTAGACTATCTCATTTAATGTTTACATTAACACCATGGAGTAGACATATAACCCCACTTTACAGATCAATAAACTGAGTCCTGAAAGGTTAAGAGACTTGCCCAAAGCCATACACAGTTAGAAAATGGCAGAGTCGAGATTTGAACCTGAGTCTGTCTCTTACCTGTTAACCACACCATTCTGCCTCAGTCACTACAAAGTGAGGGGAAATGGTGAACCACTGCTGTTAAAAAAACCCAATTTTCTGATATGGGAAGATAGAAGTTTATTTTCCCTGTAAGAATAAAATAGTGTCAGGGCTTCCCTGGTGACGCAGTGGTTGAGAGTCCGCCTGCCGATGCAGGGGACACAGGTTCGTGCCCCGGTCCGGGAAGATCCCACATGCTGCGGAGCGGCTGGGCCCGTGAGCCATGGCCGCTGAACCTGCACGTCCGGAGCCTGTTGCTCCACAACGGGAGAGGCCACAACAGTGAGAGGCCCGTGTACCGCAAAAAAAAAAAAAAAAAGAATATAATAGTGTCTGCAGATAAAGTGGTACGTAATATAATCATTGCTACAGATGAGAAAACCGTCCCAGAAAACTTATGTGATAAGAGTAATTGCAGTAAGTATTTTCCGGGGCAGTGGTCTTCCCACTGCTCTATACTGACCTCCGTGTTGCCCACATTTTTCTGCAAATTCCCTGTGAGAATTTTGCCCAGCCTCACGTAGCCATTGGGTAGTCAGCAAATGCTAACTGGCTTACCAATTGCAGTAAATGCTATTCCCCAAAGCTCCCCCCTTCCTTTCTTTTATTTTAGCAAACCATTAATTCAATATATATTTAAGAAGCACAGGCAGTGTTCTTACATTGTAATGGTTTGGTGCGGGAGTTTCAAATTTGAGAACTTTCATGAAGCTTGGCAACTGGAACATGCTGGAACAGGAATTACTGAAGTCTTTCTTCGAAACAAAACGTGATGGTATAGTGTACGCATTAGCTGCAGGGTATTTAGAGACGATGGTGTCCAGTCGTTCACACTGTGAGGAGGAAGTCAAGGGAATCCACATCATCACGTATCTTATGGCTCCGAAGGGCCGATGTCAAAAAGATGGTGCCCAGCACCAGGTCTAAACACATTTTATAAAAGGTGAAACCCTGGCAGGTAACAATGATAAAATGACCTTGGGCTTTGAGAATTTGCTCTTGGAAAATGCAAGTTCAGACCTGTGTTAACTTCTGTAAACTAACTCTAATTATTCATCTCATGTTTGGGACTTGGCAAAGATAATTCTTCCATAAAAGCATTTCCACCCAATCTCATTTCAGGACACTTATACTTGACTCATCAGCTGGTGGGTGATTTATGTGATGGGACGCTTTAGACTTGCTTCTTCCAACCTTGGTTTTCCTTTGAGTAAAACCCTCACTTTTTGTTTCTAAGTTTAAATAATCCAAATTTCCTAAATAACAAGTTTGCTTCTAACATCTTAAGGGTACAAGGCTCCATAGGGCTTGCCTCCCACCCACACCTCCTATCCACCACCTCATCACTGATTTCATAAAACTCTACGATATTTTTGCTGTTTCAACAGAAACCAATCCTACTCCTTCCAGGAAGCCATGATAAACTATTTTCAGTTAAAAAAAAAAACAAACAGAATCAATGTTTGCCAAATGAACAGGGACAAAAGCCATAAAAACTCGGCGATAACATCACCTTACCCTGGGATAGTATGGCAAGTATTGAAGTCTGATAAGACAACAACAAAAAAATGTCATTATTTTATGGGTAAAAGCTTGAGAACATTGCCCTGGGTTTCCTCCACTTGACAGGGGTCAATAAACAAGCACAGAAAGTGGGGGAGGTGTGGGAAGGCATCAGCCCCTCGCCTGACTTCACTCTGTACGTGGCGGCAATGGTCCTCACCATCTGGTTCATGGACCACCAGTAATGTGGGTGGATGTGCCACCAGAAGCAGGAGTGTTCTTTCCAGAGTCTTAGCTGTCCTGAGTCTAACCTGGGTTCGAGTCCCAGCTCCACCTCCTCCTAACTGTAAGGATTCATTGATGTTCCCAGAAGTAAGGTCACCCCAGCCTTGGACTCACCTTACCTTTGCATTTGGGGCAATAGTTAACCCAGTACTTTGCAGGGGCGTTGCATTGGATCCTCATGACAACCCTGGCTCGAGGATATTATGAATATCCCCACTTTACAGATGAGGACCCTGAACTTCCTCAGCTAGCGAAGTGTTGGAACCAACATTCTCGCCTCCATGAGAGGATATGGATCAGATATCCATTGTGAAGAAGAATGAGCCGAGAGGAGTCACAGCAATGCGTTTGCATCTACAAGACGAACAGCTGATAAATGCCTGTGGGAGGTTTTAGCTCTGGAAGAATCACTACCCGAAATCTGCTGTGCCCGACGGGGCAGACACACCTCTGCTCTTTCCTTCTCACTTCTACAGAAGAAGGGTGGCAAGGTCAGACCTTCCTTGGTGCTGCCATTTGTAGCGTGTCTATCCTGAGTCACCCAACAGAGTGGGCAGAGGGTGTTCTTCTAAAGCGCTAGTTCCCAAAGTGTGTTCCTCGGCCTTCCAGGTCTGTGAGATAAGGTTCTGTTGGTGGTAGCGGCAGCAGGGAGAGAGTTCCAGGGTCAAATAAATTTGAGACGTTTCACACCATGTTCCCATTTTGAAGATTCATAACACACGTTGGTGTAGTAAGTGCTCTGGGAAGGTCTGCAATAAGGAAACCTCTCTAGCTTTGGGGTTTTTTTTCTTTTAATATTTATTTGTTTATTTATTTTAGTTGCACTGGGACTTAGTTGCAGCATGCAGGATCTTTGTCGTGGCATGTTTAGTTGCAGTGTGCAAGCTCTTAGTTGCAGCACGTGGACTCCTTAGTTGCGGCATGCACGTGGGATCCAGTTCCTGGACCAGGGATTGAACCCAGGCCCCCTGCATTGGGAGTGCGGAGTCTTACCCACTGGACCACAAGGGAAGTCCCATGTCTAGCTTTGTTTAAACAGCCTTCCCCAACCTTTCTCCATCATAGAATCTTTTGGCTTAAGATACCTACTAACATACCCTTTGGGAAAAACTGTACTAAAAAATTCCTATTTGAGGCAAAGTTTCATAAAGCATTGCAGTAGAATTAGTCTGAGTCTAGTTGAAGTTGACGGTCACTCAACAACCCTCCCCGCCCCTTGGCTTTCTTTTCATTGCCAGGCCTCCGGTCTCCAATTTGGCCACATGCTGGCATTTATGAACCTCTGTCCAGCTCTTCCAGAGCCGCTGCTGCCACCACACAAATACAGAAAGGCCATGGACGCCTCCTCCCACCTGCCCCATTTAACTTCCTAGTCCGTTCCGTGAATAATTCTGGAGCAAAGCTTTGGAATACCGTCGTGACGCTCTTCAGATGATTTGAATTTAGGCGGATGACAGGTCCTCTCAAAAGGCTGGGCGCTGTTGCTCCAAGAGTCATCAGGAAGTTTTTAAAGCGTGTTGACCCCCAGAGTCTCTTGGTCAGCCTCACCCAGAGAGACACGCTCCTGCTGGCCATGCTGGCTCCAGTAAGGCAGACCTTTCTCTGATGGGGACTACTTTTAATTCCCTCAGGGAATTGGGATCCGGAAACAAGAGGCACTGAATGTGAAAGGCAGCAAAAGAAGGGGAGGAGGAATGAAATTCTCGTCCAGTTTGGGAAGGAACGAGGCGAGATGTGGGGATCTCCTGACAGACTTCCACCAACCACTTAAGGTCCCTTCCCAAGGATATAGGAACTTATGTGTTTACAAACAGAAATAGAAACCCCCATATCCATCACAGCGGGCAGAGGAAGCCTCAACAACTCATCTTCTGCCTTCTTTTGGGTTTGGTCTGAATTTTTTAAAGACCTGATTAGATCCTGTCATACACAGGATCCTGTCACACACAGAGCTTCCCTTGGACCCCTTCTTCTCCAGGTGGCCCAGCCACGTCATTTGGAAAGTTACTACATGTAAAGCCTAGCAGGGAACTGATGGTGTGCTCTGATTCAGTGCCTTCTCTGGCACCAGGCAGGGATGGGCAGTGCCATTATTTGGCAACATCTCAGAGAGAAAACCTAGGTGCTGCAGGAAGTCTTGTTTGTGACTCAGGTGGTGACAATCATAACATTCAACATGTTTATAATGCTCTGCAATTTCAAAGTCTATTTTACTCATTGCAACGTCAATTTGCCCATCGCCTCCAGGGAGTCTCCACTCGATGAGGCAACTGGGACACAGAGGGTGACGTGCTTGAGGTCACATCGAGAACCCACGGCTGAGTCAAGATTGGGTCTCAAGTCCTGTCTCCTGTGCCAGGCCATTGGGAGGGGGTACTTCTTCTGCAGATCGCTTTGGAGTCTCTTTACTCACAGGGCTTGGGACAGAAGGAGAAGTAGAGGCGTGGTTATTCTGTGAACTCACTGGGGGCATGTGCAACCTCAACGTCTTTGTTAATAAGGAGTTAACTCCAAAGTCGGTTTTCTCCTTGAGTATTCAACCCTGCCAAGCTTGAATTCCAATAAGTGGCTGCATTCAGTGTGTCTTAAATGGTCTCTTTGTGTGTGGTTTTTTTTAAAAAAAAAAAATCAATTCCAGTGTCAGGTATCATAATACATTTTTGCAAGAGATTATTATAAGTTTTAAAGGGACAGACGGCATATGTGTTTTGTTAATGCTGGAGTTTGGGTTTGCTTTCTTTTTCACTTTCCTCCCTCAGCTAGTCTTACCCTACTTTGACCCTTTCTCCTTGTTATATCTATTTTTCTTGGCAACTGAGAGGTGTTCAAATAAAGACTATCCTTGCCCAGGTCTGGTCAGAGACATTGGAACTTCGTTTAGCTACTTGACGGTTGTAGCCTTCCACAAAGATAAAGACCCACATCTTACAAAGGAGAGAAATGGGGAGGAGAGGAATATCACTAAATTACCTGCCTGCTGCCTGTTTTCTTTTTGGTCCCATCAGATTTCTCAGTAACTCGAATAACCCAATTAGATTAAGCAGTGTAAAAAGTCCTATTAGGGCAAGATGTATAATAATAACTTTTTTCCTGGTCTGCCTAAAAATCTCAAGAAAACATCTGTAAGTCCATTCCACACTGACAACATTGGTTTTGGATGATCAGGTTCTGAATATTCTTCTAACTTCTCTTCCCACTCTGGCAACACTAGCAGTGGGGAAAAAAATTCCTTAAAGACATAGGCTCCAGTTTACCTGCAGGAAATTTGAGGAAGCAGTTACTCTCCTAATTAGAACCACGGGCCTTTGGAGAGAAGGGACCAGTTGTCCAATGTATGATTATGCAATGAATGAAGGAAAGTACCGAGCAGTTAATGTTCAGAGAAGGGGTTCTCACCATAGAGGGAAAAGTACACGTCCCTTTCCTAGACAACGACACACTGTCAAACACAGGTGACTGGTGAATGACGTTGTAGAACCCAGGACCTGGGATATCATCCTGAAAGGGAAGAGAACGTAGTGTCATTGGGATACTTTCAATTCCATGGTGCTTTTCTGCAAGTTTTACATCCATTAACACTAAGCCTTACTGTAACCCTCTGGGACAGGCAGGGATGCCACCTCGTGGATGACAGCCGGGCTCCACCAATTCCTGACCTGCCCAGTCACCATCTCAGTTAGCAAGCGCTGGGGCTGGAATTCCACCCCGGGTCTGGGACCCGCCCCCACCCCAGGGCCCTTGCTCTTTCCACAGTGCTGTACTGCATTCCAGGAGAATGCTGTTGTTTCTTTGTGCCATTAGAGGTATGAGCAGAAAATGCAATCCTGAGCGCGGCAGCGGCTGTGCAGTGTGTGTGTGCAGTGTGTGTGTCAGTGTGTGTTGACTGGGTTCACCAAACCCACGGCGAGGGAAGGGTGACCGATTTCATGTTCACCACACCCCACCTGACTCAGCTTCCTCCCCAGCCTTTCAGAAGAGAAACCAGGGAGTGTTTCTGATAATAAAGCAAAATGAAACAAAAACAACCTTCATCCCAAACAAGACTATTTCTAACTCTCAGACAAAAAGAGGCGGGTTCATGGGGCTCAAGTCCTAAGTGATGCCGGTACGTTAGAGAGGAACAAACAAAAGCTTGATTTCTAAGCTCATTTCTGCCGTCGTCGCAGTTAATTGGGCTTGGGTCTCATTTCCCATGCTAGTTACCAGGGGGAAGTAAACGTTGACAAAAGTTGGCCAGGCAAGTGACATGAAAGGATAAGGATGCCCCCCCCGTCTCGAGAGTTTACCGGGTGCCTCCTTGGTGCCAAGAGCTTTTCAAAGGTTGTCTCGTTTAATCCCCCGGTGAGAAAGGGATGCCCCCATTTTATAGATGGAGACACTGAGGCACGTAGAGATGAACTTGCCCGAGGTCCCACTGCTGTCCGTGGCAGCACCTGAATTCAGCGCTTCATGATGGTGTACACAAGCCTTTTGCAGTGGGGCTATTAGCAGGTCCAGTTTAAGGAAAGCGAAGCCCGGAGACGTTGGGGCCGCAGCTAGTAAATGGTGAAGCGCAGATTTAAACCCAGGCAGCCTGACTCCAGAGCTTGCTACCTCCAAGACCTGCCACCCAGGCTCCTCCTGTCCCCACCATCCCTACTACCTTCCTCAGAGCAGAGAGAGAGCTCAAGGCATCATCAGGGCCTTCAAGGACTCTCCAGTGTGGCCCAAGCAGTGTGTGACTATGGTTTAATCTAAGGGCTATTAACAGGTTCTGCTGTGCTGAATTTTAAATGCAGTGAGCCTTTGAGCCTTGCAGGTGGAGGCAGGGGAGCTGATTCCTGCCTTGTAGGTGATTATGGTCCCTGGTGGACAGAGGGGGAGCTGACTACCAGGAGAGTGAGGCAGGAGATGCAGGAGATGCAGCCCGACCAGAAGAGCCCTGGCATGTGGGTGCAATTTGAGGTGCTACAGGAAGGAACAGAAAGAGGTTTTTCTAGGGGGCTGTTTGCAGGACTGGCATATGTTTTTTTTGTTTGTTTGTTTTTTTAATTAATTAATTTATTTATTTTTGGCTGTGTTGGGTCTTCATTGCTGCACGTGGGCTTTCGCTAGTTGTGGCAAGTAGGGGCTACTCTTCTTTGCGGTGCACGGGCTTCTGATTGCGGTGGCTTCTCTTATTGCGGAGCACGGGCTCTAGGCACGCAGGCTTCAGTAGTTGTGGCACGTGGGCTCAGTAGCTGTAGCTCGCGGACTCTAGAGCGTAGGCTCAGTAGTTGTTGCACACAGTTTTAGTTGCTCCACGGCATGTGGGATCTTCCTGGACCAGGGCTCGAACCCATGTCCCCTGCATTGGCAGACGGATTCTTAACCACTGCGCCACCAGGGAAGCCCGTGGCGTATGTTTCTTGATGGTCACTGCATGCCGGGCACTGTTCTGAGTACTTTATACACACTAGCTCATTTAATCCTCATTTTAAAGATGAGAAGACAGGGCCCAAAGGGATAAGGACCAAGGTCACGCAGCAAGTAACAGAGCCAGAATTTGAACCCAGGCAGTGTGAGGACAGTCGACTCCTGACCACTAAGCCAAACTAACTCTCAGACGAGTGCACTATAAAATGTGCAGGATGAAAGGAAAAACAGTCCCGCTGAGTTTTGAATTATTAGGATTCTAGCATCAGTGCTGCTACCAGCTAAGTAACCTTGATCTAGTCACCTCTCTAGACCTCAGTTTCCTCATGTGTAAATCGAAGATGTTGCACTAAATGACTTCGGGCACCTTTTAGCTTCCAGAGTCCCTACAGTGAGGGAAAGCTGAAGCAGGAAGTGTAACTGCGACGCTTCTAGGTTGAAAGAATAAACAGTCTTGGACATCTCCAGCCCCCAGACTGCTGCCACACTCCCAAAACCAGCATCAGCTCACAAGAATTTTCTGGGCACCTATATGTGTCTGAGGATCTAGGGCTGCCAGATGAAACACAAGCCTGCTCCATCCCACCCTGCCCAGTTAAATGTGAATTTCAGATAAACAACAAAAAGCTATTTTAGTATAAGTAGGTCCCAATCAATATTTGGGATATACTTATACTAAAGTAGTTTGTTATTTTTCTGAAATTCTAAATTAAGAATCCTGTATTCTTATCTGCTAAATCTGGCAACCCTACTGGACCTTAATCACATTTTAATTCTGCCACATTGCAAACTGGTTTGAGTCCAGGACAAGTAGGAAGAGAACTGTCACCTCTTAGCCTGGAGGGAGAGCATGCTGCCTGTTTGCTCTTAATGAATATCTAAGAAGGGTCCTCCAGGCAGCAGGATGCTGGGGCTTGCCAGTGGTGGCTCAAGAGGGCGACTGTTAAATATTTTCAGAAATGTTGCTCGTGGTAGCTTGAAATTGACCAGGTTGGGGGGCGGTATTTACACCACAGAGATTGGCCAATGCTCTAAATCAGAACTTTCCTTGTGGAGGAGAGAGCTGGTTTACCAGCACACCACCACCTGCACTCCACACCAAGTAAGTTTCAAAGCTGCCTGGAGGGAAAGGTCCGGCTGTAGGGGGTTCAAGCTTTCTCCTGCAAAAGCTAGAGGTGGTGGATGGCTCCCTGGGAGGGCAATAAAAGTCCAGCCTTTGGCCTCTGGGATAACAGCTCATGTGACTAATGTTATAGGAGGTTGATGAGTTCTGGCTTCTCAGCATCTCCCAGAGAGCGAGAATCCAAGTCGAAACTGGTGTGAACTCAGCCAGCCCTCGGCCGAGACCACCCCAGAAGGCAAAAACCAAATAAACCAACCAAATAAAACGGGTGTGGGGAGGGAGAAGGGAAGAGAACTATTCATTTGAGCTCTGCTGACTGCCTGTTGCGTGTTCCACGGGGAGCTCTGGGCCAGGGCTACACCCATTGTCCCCTGTGCACGTGAGAACTGAATGAGTCAATGCACGTCCCACCGGCCTCACCATTACCAGTCCTCAAGTTGCCACAACAGCCTCAAGGGAGCAGGACCTTCCCTCGGCGGTTAAAGGCCCTCAGAGTGGGATGGAGCAAGAGATGATTGATGTTGCTGGGCAACATTTGGTGGAAATGCACTTTGAGAGCTCTTTTGAAGGATTAAAGTCCCAAATGGGCAGCACGTGCCAAGGGCGGGACACAGATTGACATTCACTTGACCTTGGGATAGGTTTAGAGAGGTCATGAGGAGGAGGGGAAGAGAGGGAGCAGGGCATTTACCCCCTCACCCCAGACAGCTCCTTAGGGTACGGCAGGGCCTAGTGTCCACAACCGGGACCCGGTCACATCTGCACACAGCCTGGATTTTCTAGTCCCGATTTCATAGATTCTGTCCAATTAAGACTTTCAGGTCTGTCAACCCATTTCCAGGTTGGAAAATGCGGTCTCTGCTGGATCACTGGCCAAAGCCCACAACACTAGAGCTGCCTTTTGACTCTTCAGGGATGTTCCGCTCTGCTTTGGTCTCTTATGGGGGTGGCCAGCTGGGGTTCTCAGGAGTGCACAAGATGAATGAAAACTAAGTCTGCGGAAGGGCTAGCGGTATGTTACAGGAGGAAGACACGCCTGAGGTGGAAACAGAGCCCTGTCCTGTGGTTAACCCACTGGCACAAGTGCCCGGGAATTTGGGGTTCCTGCGGGAACAGTTTCCTTTTACAAACACCTCTGGTCTTAGGGTCTCAGGACAAGGCATCCATCCACACTTCTCTCAGGCTGATGTGGCCAAAGTGGTGATAGCATGGGCCAGTGTCTGCCCCCAGGGCACGTCCCCTCACTGGGCCTCAGCCCTCTCATCTGTGAACCTGCAAAGAGGCAAGTGCGGGTGTGGAGATCTACAGTTTTCAACCCCACTCCGGGCCTCCATGAGGAACTCAGGGAAAGGGGGCCCGATCGGCAGTGGCTTCGAGCAGCAAGTCCCCTTTACCCGCGCCACCGACGGGCCTCAGCATGGGATGCTGTCACAGATGGGGCCCCTCTGCTGAGCCCAGGGATTTCGGGGTCACTGAAGCCCTTCTGGTTCAAACTGTCTACAACCCTGAGAAGTGCCCCTTGTAAGACGCCCTGCCTCCTTTCTGCTTTCTCCCCTCTCCCCGCCCCAGCTCCATACACTCATGTCTGGCATCAAAGTTTCCACGCCTCTGATAGCAGAGGAGAAGGGAGAGGCAGGGAGCGTACTTCAAGCAAGAAAATGACACTTTTTTGTTCAGAATGGGGATCTCAGAAATAAAAGATCCCTGGGCGCCCTCAGGGAGCAACCAGGAAAAGCGGGATGAGTTCTCTTGAGGAGATTGTTTCTTAGTGGCCCAGGTGAAGAGCAGGTGTGGGGGAAGCCCAGGGACACTGGCCACCTGGGCAGATGAAAATGGGGACCAGGTCTTTGCCCATCGCTGGTCTGGCTGGGTTGGAAACACAGTCAGACAAGAGAAGCCAAACCTGCATTTTCAAAGCATCGGCTTACGTCAGTAGCGTCCCTGAGCACCCGTGGTCCTCTTTGGCCGACCCCTCCTCTGTTAACTCTGGCGTCAGCTCATTAGCAGCCCTTGGAAATCCCCTGAGTGGAATGTGCGCCAAGACTCAATTCAACAAGCACACACTGAAGTCTGCTGTGGGCCAGGGCCCGGGCGGGGGAACCAGGATACAGGCGGTCGGCAGCTTAGATGTTCTAGGAATGGGATGGAGGAGACGCAGCAAAGCAGTGCAAGATGGGTGGGACAAGTTCCCGTGGCTCGTAGACTTGAGTTGGGATCATTCATTCGACCCACTTTTGAGGGGCTTTGGGGGTCTGGAAAGGACAATGACTGCTGCCCGAGGAGTTCCGGCTGGGTGGAGACAAGATGCGCATGCCCATTACCACCCTGCCAAGCAGGAGGTGCTCGGGCATTCAGGGGAAGGTGTGCTGGCTTCCACCCGGGAGACGCGAGGAAACAGTATGGGAGCCTGGAGCTGCTGCCAGGGTCGTCCTCACTCTGCCTGACCCTGGCTGTGCCACTTACTCAACCCTCTTTGTGTCCCAGAGTCATTACCTGAAAAGTGGGGATAATAACGGGACTTAGCTCCCAGGGTAATCGATTATGGGGATTAAATGAGTTCATAAAGGCAACATCTTCAAGGGGAGCCTGGCACACTGTCTGTGCCGCCAAGTGTTTGCGATTTCCACCAGCGTGTCCTGCAGACCCCTGAGGAAGGGGTGCTGGTGACTGATATGGAAGTGGTCAGGCTTCTAGAGCAGGAAGGTCGGGCAGACCCCACTGTGGTTCAAACACGCAGCTGAGTGCACATGTGGGGAAATTATCCCCCTGAAGGTGGCGGTCTCTGCAGACTGAACTTCCTTTCATTGAAAAAGCTCTGACATTAAAAAATTCATTTAAAAATATCCCTGGTCTGGTGCCTTATCAAGGCAATAAGTGAACCGTATTAACTTTGTACAATTTCACCGCAAATTAAACACTGTCCTGCTTACCGCTGGGGAGGGTGGATTTGCTGTCAGGCTATGTTTGAAATTAACATGTATTTTAAAATTGTGCATCTAGAGGAAAGGGTGTCTGTATCCTACCAGTATCCCTTCATGTATGCCTGGAAGGGATTAATCATGTTTAGGATCATAGAATAGTCATCCCTGGCAAGGGCCTACCTATTATAACATCCTTATTTTTAAGATGAGGAAACAGAGATGCAAAGACTTTAAGGGAGTGTCCTTAGTGTTACACAGCTTGGGAAATAGTGACCACAATCCAGGGTGGCATGGGGACAGAATCGGGAGGTGGGGGAGGAAAGTGTCCCTCGGGTGGCTGGGCTATGCTCTGTCCCAGATTAGGCATGTCTCTTCATGCACCCAGTGTCAGCAGCACATCTGTACATAACTGTAACATGTTCAGGGAAGCAGACTTCATTTCTAGCAGCCAAAATTGCCAGCCCGGACGCCGAGCCCAGTGAAGGATTCCTCGTACACAGCAGTCAGAGTCTCATGGGGAATGGGAGCCGGGCAACGAGGCCCTGAAGTTTCTCTCCAAAGTCAGCCTGATAAGGTAAGTGCACATTTCAGAGGGCACTGATTCTCTGTGTTAAAGGTGTGCTAGATGGGTCACAGAACGAATGTGAGGACACAACCAAGTCATGAGATGAGGCACAGGGTGTGTACGATTAATGTCATAAGAAGGGTGGTGAGACACCAGAGTTTTAAAATCTGCTTTTAATTTGTATTGCCTCACTAAATTATTGGGTGATGTTAAACAGAATTCTTAACTTCTCAATGCCCATTTCTCTCAGGAAGAATGAGAATAATGAGCAGGCAGTAAGACATCTTCTTCCTGTTTTTATAGCTTGAAGAATCTAAAAAAGTATAATAATCCAAACTGTACATTTCAGTTGAGGAAACTGAAGCCCGGAAAAGTCAAGTGATTAGTCTAAACCCGGTCAGCTAGTAACAGAGCAGAAGAAGAAATGGAGGGAGTCCTTCAGGCAAGAGAAAAATGATACCAGTTGGAAATCTGGATCTACATAAAGGAATGAAGAGCTCTGGAACTAGTAAATATGTAGGTAAATGTAAAATGTAGAACCCCGAGTATAAATTGATGCATTTAGATATAAACATAAAATTTTATATCTAAAAATGCATCTAAATTGATGCATTTAGATATAAACATAAAATTTAAATCATTTTTTAAATAATTGACTATTTAAAGCAAAAACAATAACCCAGGGGCCAGGGTTTATGGATCCCATGCCCTTTCTAAAAAATTCCATACTTATTTACAAAATGCTTTCAAGTGCTTAGATGAACGTTTTCACATCGTCAAACCAACGCAGCCACGTTTGAATAGTACTAATCAAATTTCTGAGCCATTTCTCTCTGTATCGGATGCTGCCTATAGCTTTGGCTGGCTGCCACCTTGGTTCCTTCAGCAGAAAAATTTCTGAAAAGTAATAGTCGTTTAAAATGTAAACTTTAAAAGCCAGACCATTCAGTTTCTGGATTTGAGTCTTCAGAACATGATCATGTAGAATGGGGTCTACACACACGACATCTTCCCCTATCTTGAGTTTGGTCTGTTTGGCGGAGGCATTTTCAGAAACGCACTCGCTGACTTTCATAGATGGACTTGATGGCTTTGCGGGCCACAGAGGGAGGTGTGGTGCCAGGTGTGGACAGAGCATGAGCCTTAGGAGTGAGCCGGGCCTGGGTTTGAGGTCTAATTCTTTCAACGTTGATTCAGCAGATATTCATGTGGGGCCTCTTATGTGTCAAACCCTGCATTGTGAGACCTCGGGTGGATCAGTCATTTAACTTCCCTAAGCCCGGGTTTCCTCTTCCGTTAAATTAAGGTATAAACCCTTCCTCTTAGCATTGTTCAGAGGATTAGAAATATGGTCTAAAACTGGTTTCACACATAGTAGGGATCGGTAAATGGTGGCTGTCATTATTTTTATTGGAGGTTGGCTGCAGATATCTGAGAGATGGACAGTATATTGTCGGTAAATTGACAAATGGAAAACCAGACAAAAAAGAGACAGAGAGACAGACGGACAGTTAAAACATAGAGAGGAAACACCTGAGTGGATAGCTTATTTCTCACCGTTGGAGAAAACCTGCAAGTAATTAAAAATATATGTATGTGTGTACACACACACTATATTCTTTACTATTTGCTTTCTCGGAATCCTAAAATATCAGAAGTGGAGGGAACTTAGACATTCTCTAGCTCAGCGCTCTTATTTACAAAGGAGGAAACAGGCCAAGGGGCACAGGGCTTGCCGAGGACTCACCTGCGTCCAGGACCCAGCTCTCCCCATCCCCTCTTGCCATCTTGGCGAGGGGGTAGGATGAAAAACATTTCTAGAATGCAGCAAAAGGTAACTGACATGATGACTCCCCAAAAGAATGTTATTCTAAAGGTCCTAGTTAAACGAATAAAGGAACGAAAATGTTAAAAGACTCTTGCGTCTGCGAGTTGCTTCCTCCCCCTGCTGGTGAGAGGGGAGAACATCAGACCTGGGCTTTCAGCCGGTGAAATTACAGAAGTTATGTGAGGACCCACCAGGACCCAAGCAGAACGTTCCAGATCAAAGAGAAAAAGAGACACAGGTATTTGGGGAAGAGGGTAAGGAAGGGGGAAATGCAGGAACAGTTCTAACACATTGTCAAAGGAAGCTTAAAAAAGAGGGGGGTGTCATCACAAAGGTAATTTTACGTTTATTAGACTCGTTTATTTTTCCTTTTATGTTATTTGAAGAAAGTCTTGTTCTTCCTGTCATGTTTTGAGTGAGGCTGGGGGCGGGGGGAAGGATTTTTATCTTTTACATCATACGTCTGGGATTTTTGCATTTTTGATTTTTATAGTAATTTTAAAAATACATTTCTTGTGAAAAAAATGTTTGGTTTCAGTGTGGCCCCATAAGTCCAGACATGTTTTCCACTGGATTTAATATCTTTCCAGCTCATTCCTACAACCCAGTCAGAGCGCACAGCTGGAGAGGGTGCTGCAGCTCCTTGGGTGACACTGCCCTCTACTGGTCACAGAGACAGACGCACCAGCCAGACTCGCGTATCTGTCCCCTGAGGCTAAAATCCAGACTAAAAGTAAAGCATCTCTAAGACAACGCCATTACCTTTTTTTTTTTTCCCCTCGGTTTTAAAAACTCATTTAATGTGTTACTTTTCGACACAAAACATACCACAGGCTAAATTGATACAAACAACTACTACATTTGATTTTAACGAAAACGCCAAGAGGCGCGCCATTACCTTTTTATGGTAAAACCTCTTGGCTTGACTATTAAATCCTTTTTTTTCTGATTCTGGAATTCTGGAAGGCTGATATTTAACAGGAATGGAGGATTGTGTTGTATACACAGCAGTAAAACCTAAACAACAAAAATAGAATAAAAAATAGCACAAAACAGAGAACTGACGAATGCACAAAACACAGAGCTATCTGTTAACATTTTATTTTAAATGGAATAAAAAGAGAAACTTGCCTTTTGACAAGAGATAAACATGAAACTGGGTTTTTTTTTTTAAAGACCTTCTTGGTAATTTATTGGTTCCCGCCCGGCCATCCACCCCACCTTTCCAAGCACCTCCAGCTCTTAAACTAGTGAGACTTGGTCACACAGCTGAAGCGTTATCAAGGGAAGAGGAAGGATCCGACAGGAAAGGCGTTCTTGCCAAGGAGGAAGGGGACACAAAACCATCTGGAGCAGCCTTGGAAGAGAGCCAGGCAGGGGAACAGAGCAAGAGACCTCACTCATCCTCAGCCCAGAATCACAGATCAGCGAAGCACCGTAAAGATACAGAGAGGTCAGGAAATCCCAGAGCAGAGTGGGGCTTGCTCTCATTCTTCAGGACACAGTGCAACACAAGTGTAAGTTTAGGTTTCTGAGCAGACCTGGGGTGAAAAAGCAGAGGATCATTTATAGAAAATCAAGTTAAAATTTTATATGTCTGGGTTGTGATGTATAAATGATATACAAACTCCCCCTTTTACATTCCTTCCAGTGAATGGTGCAGAGAACCAGAGCAAAGAGAGCTATACAGAGAAAGAGTTCCGGAGACGTGCACTAGGTTCCCCTCAAGTAGTTTCCTGAGTATCAATCAGCCCAGGCATGTGAGAAAACTCCCCAAGGCTGGGGAAAGATTCACCTGAAAAAGTTAGGGTAAACAATACCTGAACACTGGGAACAGGAATAGCTCCTGTTCCCACAAGTCAGAGTGGAAAACCTTATAATTCATGGGACACAAGGAGAATATGCAGAAGGGTTTTGCCTCAGAAATAGGGTAAAATCACCCCTAGGCTAAATGCTTCTCTGGTTCCAGCTAACAAAGCTTAAAAGCAAGACTTGAAAAGATCAAACTTCCCAAGTAACTTAACTGCAGCCCAGAACAAAGCACAAGAATTCATAGGACTACTAAAATGTACAGCACCCAACAGGTAAAAATAACTGGCATTTGATGAAAAATTAATGGGTATACAAAGAAGGGAAAAAATACAATTCACTGGGCTTCCCTGGCGGCGCAGTGGTTAAGAGTCCGCCTGCCGATGCAGGGGCACAAACAGGACACGGGTTCGTGCCCCGGTCCGGGAAGATCCCACATGCCGCAGAGCGGCTAGGCCCATGAGCCACGGCCGCTGGGCCTGTGCATCCAGAGCCTGTGCTCCAGGGAGAGGCCACAACGGTGAGAGGCCCGCGTACCGCAAAAAAAAAAAAAAAATACAATTCACAATGAGGAGAAAATAAACAATCGATCAGATCCAACTCAGAAATGATAGAGATGATAGAAGACAAGAGCATTACCTTCCAGTAATAATCGCATTTGATATGTTCAAGAAGCTGGAAACAAGATGGAACTTATTAAGTAGGTGCATGGAAGATATAAAGAAGATCCAAATCAAACTTCTACAGATGAAAACTAAAAAGTCTGAGATTAAAAATACACTAGACACTACAGAAAAAAGACTAGTGAACTTGAAGACATTGAGATACAAACCAAAACAAAACACAGAGAGAAAAAGGACAAAAAATACAGAGTATCAGTGAGCTTTGTGAAAACTTCAAGGAACCTAATATATGTTCCAAAGAAGAGAGGTGGGAGAGAGGAAATAGAAAAAAATCTTTCAAGAAAAAAGTGGCTGAAATTTTCCAGATTTGATTTAAAAAAACATAAACCTGCAGATCAAAGAAAGGCAGTGAAACTCAGCACATGAAACAGGGATTTAACTCCACCAAGGCACATAATAATCAAATTGCTTTTTGTTTTTTTACTTTTAATTTGTTTTTTAACAGTTTTTGGCCTGGGCTTCCCTGGTGGCGCAGTGGTTGGGAGTCCACCTGCTGATGCAGGGGACGCGGGTTCGTGCCCTGGTGCGGGAAGGTCCCAAATGCCGCGGAGCGGCTGGGCCCGTGAGCCAGTGAGAGGCCCGCGTACCACAGAGAGAGAAAAAAAAAAAAAAGTTTTTGGCCTCACCACTGTAGCATGTGGGGATCCCAGTTCCCTGACCAGAGATCGAACCCGTGCCCCCTGCAGTGGAAGCACAGAGTCCTAACCACTGGACCGCCAGGGAAGTCCCCATCAAATTGCCTTTTTAAAGTGATAGGAAGTCATAAAATCAGGCAGAGAAAAAAAGACACATTAAACACAAAGCAACAAATGTAAGAATAACAGCAGATGACCATCAGAAACAACATCTGTTAAGGTGCCAGAAGGGAAAAACTATCGCCCTAGAATCCTGTACCCTGTAAAAATATCTCTCAAAGATGAAAGCAAGATAAAGACTTTTGAAGATATACAAAAACTAAAAGAATTAATCACCAGTAACCTGGAACTACAAGAAATGGAGGGAGTCCTTCAGGCAAGAGAAAAATGATACCGGTTGGAAATCTGGATCTACCTAAAGGAATGAAGAGCTCTGGAACTAGTAAATATGTAGGTAAATGTAAAATGTAGAACCCTGAGTATAAATTGATGCATTTAGATATAAACATAAAATTTAAATCATTTTTTAAATAATTGACTATTTAAAGCAAAAATAATAACTCTATTGTGGCATTTATAACGTATGCAGAAGTAAGATGTTTGACAGCAACAGTGCAAAGGCAAGGAAAGAAAAAATAAAAATATACAGTTGTAAGGTTCTTCTAGTATATGTGAAGTGTAATAATATCACTTGATGGTAGAATGTGATAAAATTAAAGATGTATGTTATAAACTCTGTAGTACAGATCAGCAAACTTTTTCTATAAAGGGCCAGATAGTAAATATTTAAGGTTTTGCAGGCTATATTGTCTCTGTTGCAACCATGCAACTCTGCCATTATAGAGTGAAGGAGCCACAGACAACACATAAACAAATAGAGGTAACTATGGTCCAATAAAATTTTATTTATAGAAACAGGCAACAGGTCAGATTAGGCCCAAGGGCCAAAGTTTGCCAACCCTTGCTCTAAAGGAACCATGAAGAAAACATTGCAAAGAGTTATTCCTAAAACGCCAACCAAGTAGACAAAATAGAAACACAAAAATATTCAATACAAAAGAATCCAGAAAATGTAAATAAAGAACAGATGGGACAAATAGAAAGCAAATAGATAGATGGTAGGCTTAAACTCACACACCAATAATCACATTAAATTTAATGTGATTATTAAACACATTATTTAATTTAATGTGATTTAATGTGATTATTAAACACACTAAACATCCCAATAACAAGACAGAGATGGTTGGATTGGCTAAAAAAGAAAGACCTAACTACATGATGTCTACAAGAAATACACTCAATATAAACCCAGGAACAGGTTAAAAGTAAAAGTATGGGGAAAAGATACACTATGCTATCAAAAGAAAGCTAGGTATTAATATCAGACAAAGCAGATTGCAGAGCAAAAAATATTACCTGCAATAAAGAAGGTAATTTCATAATGATAAAGCGGCCACTTCCTCAAGAGAATGTAACAATTCTAAGCACTGATATACTCAATAACAAGAAATTCAAAATACAGGAAATAAAAACTGATAGAACTGCATGAAGAAATAGAAGATTCCACAAACATTGTCAGAGATTTCAAAATCCCTCCCTCAATAATTTAAGCAAGTAGATAGAAGATCAATAGACATACACGACTTGAACAATACTATTACCTAACTTGACCTAACTGACATTTATAGAACACTCCACCTATCAATTCTATACAATCTATCCTAGAAAACTGAAGAGAAAAAGACATTTCCCAAATCATTCTATGAGGCCAGTTACTACCGTGTTACCAAAGCCAGACAGAGTCATTACAGAAGGTGAGAGGGAATCACTATAAATCATTAACCCTCATAAATATACGTGCAGAAATTCTTATAAAAATGTTAGCAAATTAAACTCAACAATATATAAAAAAGATAACACATCATGATGAAATGAGGTTTATCTCAGTGATCCAAAGATAGGTTAACATTTGACAATCAATGTAATTCACCATATTGACAAACTAAAAAAGAAAAACTATATGATCATGTCAATAGAGGCAGAACGGAATCATACAATATGTACTCTTTTTTGTCTGGTTTCTTTCACTGAGCACAGTTATTTTGAGATTCATCCATGTTGTTCAAGTATCAATACTTCATTGTTTTTTATTGCTGAGTAGCATTCCATTGTATAGAAATGTGACAATTTTTTATCCATTGTTGATGAAAATTTGAATTGTTTCTAGATTGGAAGTATTACAAGTAAAGCTATTAACAACATTCAATCCCAAGTCTTAAAATGGACATAAGTTTTCATTTCTCTTGGGTAGATACCTAGGAGAGGAATGGCTGGATCATACTTTAACTTTTTTGAGAAGCTGCCAAACCCTTCTCCGAAGTTGTTGTATCTTTGTATATCTCCACTATTAGTGTGTGAGAGTTACTGTTACTTCACATCCTCAACAACAATGGGCAGTCTTTTTTTTTTAATTAATTAATTAATTTATTTTTGACTGCGTTGGGTCTTTGTTGCTGCACGCGGGCTTTCTCTAGTTGCGGCGAGCAGGGGCTACTCTTTGTGGCGGCGCGTGGGCTTCTCATTGCAGTGGCTTCTCTTTTTGCGGAGCACGGGCTCTCGGTGCACGGGCTTCAGTAGTAGTGGCTCATAGGCTCAATAGTTGTGGCTTGCGGGCTCTAGAGCACAGGCTCAGTAGTTGTGGCGCACGGGCTTAGTTGCTCCACGGCATGTGGGATCTTCCCGGACCAGGGCTCGAACCCGTGTTCCCTGCATTGGCAGGCGGATTCTTAACCACTGCGCCACCAGGGAAGTCCCATGGACAGTCTTTTTAATTCCAGCCATCCCATTAGATGTGTAGTGGTATCTCATTGTGACTTTAATTTGCATATCTCTAGTGACTAATGATGCTGAGCATCTCTTCATATGCTATTTGCTACCTGTTTATCTTTTTTTTTTTTTTTTTGGTAAAGTGTCTGTTTAGTAGATGGAGAAAGCACTTTGTAAAATTCAGTGTTCTTTTATGATTAAAAGCAAACCCTAGCAAACTAGAAATAGAAGCAAATTTCCTTAATCTGATAAAAGGTATCTATGACAAAAGCCTACAACCAAACATGATACTGAAAGCTTTCTCTTGAGATAGAGAACAAAACCAGGTTGACTGCTTTCATACTTCTGTTCAACATTGTACTGAAGAACTCTAACCTGTACAAAGGCCAAGAAAAATAAATAAAAATACATAGATCAGAAAGGAAGGAAATAAAGTTGTCATTATTCATAGATAAGATTGTATATGGAGAAATTTCAAAAGAATCTATAGATAATAGAGGTAATAACTGAATTTAGCAATGTCAATATACAAAAATCAATTAATTTTATTTCTATGATAGCAGCAAACAATTAGAAAATGAAATTAAAATAGCACCATTTACAACAGCATAAAAATCAAATGCCTAGAATAGATATATAGAAGATATGCAAGGCCTCTACATAGAAAACTATAAAACATTATTGAGAAAAATTTAAGAAGACTTAAATAAAAGAAAGGATACACATAGATTGGAGAACTCAATATTGTAAAGATGTAAATTATCCCCAACTTGATGTCTAGAATCAATGCAATCTAAATCAAAATGACAGTAAAGATTTTTTTAGGACATTAATGTGATGATTCTAAAATTTATATGGAAATTCAGTGTGGCCAAGAGTAGCCAAGATAAACATAGTACATAGCTGAAGGACTTATACTAGATAAGAAAAAAACTTGTTATAGAGTTACAGTAATTAAAGGTGGTATTTGAACAGCATAAAGAATCCGGAAGCAGACCTGCATATACATAGACATGATTTACAACAATGATAGCACTGCGGAGCAGCAGAAAAAGAACACTCTTTCAATAAATGGTGCTGGGCAATTGGATATACATACTGAAAACAATAGATTTGGACATCTTCATACCACGCACACAAACAATTCCAAGTGAATCGTAGGTCTAGATGTGAAAGGTAAAATAATACAGTTATTAGAAGAAATTATTTTGGGATAGGCAAAGATTTCTTAAATAGGACAGACATTATACACTAACTATAAGGGAAAATATTGATAAAATGGCCTATAGTAAAGTCAAGAGCTTCTCTTCATCAGCACACCATTAAGAGAAGGTAAAGGAAAGTCACAGACGGAGGGAAGATATTTACTTTACCTACAGCCAACGAACGGATACATTTCTAGAATGTTTTCAAGAACTCCTAAGAAAAGAAAAACCCAATAGAAAAAATGGGTAAAAAATGGGAACAGTCACTTCTCCAAAGAGAATATCCTAAAAGTCAGCCAACACATGAAAAAGTGCTCAATCTTTTTGATCAAAGGACGATGCAAATTAAAACCCTGATGAGCTAAAAGTGTTGGTGAGGATGTAGAGCAACTGGAATGATCATACATTGCTTGTAAGGAAGTAAAATTGGCACGCTCACTTTGGAGAACTAGTGGTATCAACTGAGCTGATCATAAACACACTCTATGACCCAGCAATTCTCCTAGGTATAGACCCAAGGAATGTATACATACATGTCCCAAAAGACATGAACAAGAATAGTCATAAAAGCTTTTAGTCATAGTACCTCAAGACAGGAAATAATCCAGATGTCCTTCAATAGTATAATGGATAAACTAATTGTGGTACATTAGAACAAAGAATGTTATGCCATTTTACGGCAATGAAAATGAACTAATCACTGATACACGAAACATGAAGTTAAATCTCTCAAACATGAGAGAAAAAAGCCTGAGAGAAAAGAGTTCATATTGTATGATTCCAATTTATATCAAGTTCAAAACAGACTAAAGTAATTAATGATATTAGAAGTCAGGACAGCCGTAGTGTTTACATTTGCAGAGAAGGGGGATAATGCCCAGGAAGGGACAAGACAAGGGCTTCTGGGATGCTGGTGTTTACCACGGGGTCTGAGAAGTGATTCCATAGGTGGTGGTTTCTTTGTGAATATTCATTAAGCTGTACAATTATGATTTACTTTCTGAATATATATTAAGCTTCAATTTAAAAGTATTAAAGAAAAAGAGTACTAAATCAAAAGATGGGAGGAAGAAAGAGAGGTCCAGCTGTGGGTTTGAGAGCAGCAGGGACTCTAGAGGCCCACCAGGGAGGTGGTAATACCCCTAAAAGAAAAAGCAGTGGAGTGAGTGAGGATCTTGGAACGAAGTTTCCGGCCTCAGCAATGATTCCCCAAGCCCAGAGGTAGTCCCGGATTAGTGCATACTAACAAAAGCAAAGGAATACATGGGCTGAGACAGTGGAGCTCTCACCTGTCTGGATGGATGACCCATGATCTGAGTACCTCTCCCCTCCCTCACCCAGACTCCCATCATCACATCACCTTTTTCTACTGAGAAAGGTCCAAAACTTGAAATAAGGAGGAATAGCATTTGTGCCAGTAATGGCTGGAGTTTAACTTTCCAACAACCTGGCAGAATGGGGGCTTGGGTTAAGTTTTAGGAAATAAAGTAAGATCTCTTCCTCCTTCTACCCCCCACCACCATCCTTTCTTCTCATAGTTTCTTCCCAATCATCACCCTAGAGGCAGTGGGAGAATGACCAAAGCAATCTATTTGATATACTTAAGAGTGGCCTTGTGGGTATAACCCAGGATTTACTATATCCCCCTAAAATTTGCTCTTATGTACTAAAATGAACATATGTCAGGAGCTCTCGTCCCCAAAGACCTCTGTTATAAAATTCACTAGACCTTTCTGTACTTTGTCAGTCTTTCTGGAATATTTTTTGCCAGAGTGTTGGTCTTTTTGCATGGAGTTGTCCATCTTAGCAAAGTTCTGTGATATATTCCATGTGTTTGATGAAAAACTTGACTGCGTGTTCTTCTAAGCACCTGAAACAGCAAAATACAGCATTTGTAGGGATCACTTCACAATCTTGGTAAGTATGTTGATTGGGTTCTGTTGTATCTGCAGGATAAACTGAGAAATCTTGTGGGTAAAGGCTGAGATTTACCAAGTTCCACGACCCCAAATCCCAAACACATTGCACTGCTTGTAGTAGGAACTCTGTAAGTGGTCTCTGTTGATGTTGCTTACAGAGCTCCTGTAGGCTTGAATTTTATAAATTTATTTCTACTGAGATAATTTACATACAATATAATTCATCGGTTCAAAGTGTACATTTTTAAGTTTTGGCAAGTGTTTACAATTGTGTAAAATACCACAACAATTAAGATATAAATATATCCATCCTCCGCCTCCCCAAAGCTCCCTATGTCTCTTTGCAGTCAATACCCTCCTAACCCTGGCATCTGGAAACCACTGCTTTTCTTTCTGTCACAATAGTTGCCTTTTCTAGAATGTCATATATGTGTAATCATACAGTATGTATACTGTTTTGTGTCTATTTTTTTTCACTTAACACAATGCTTTTGATTCTCCCATGTGGTAGCATGTATCAATAATTTGTTCCAGTTGCTACACATTCTCACCAACACATTTGGTAAGTCTTACTAATTTTAGGCATTCCAGTGATTGTATAGTGGTATCTCATTGTCATTTTAATTCGTATATTTTCATGTGCTTATCTGCCATTTGTTTACCTCCTTTGGTGAAGTGTCTGTTCAAATCTTGACTATTTTTTAAACAATTGGGTTATCTCACTATTGAGTTATAGAAGTTCTTAATATATTCTGGATACAAGCCCTTTATCATATATGTGTTTTAGAAATATCTGCTCCCAGTCTGAGGCTTGCCTTTTCATTTTCTTAACAGTGTCTTTTCAAAAGCAGAAGTTTTCATCTTGATCAGGTCGAATTTATCGATTTTTTTTTATGGTTTGTGATTCTTTTTTTTTTTTTTTTTTTTTTTTGTGCTACGCGGGCCTCTCACTGTTGTGGCCTCTCCCATTGCGGAGCACAGGCTCCGGACGCACAGGCTCAGTGACCATGGCTCATGGGCCCAGCCGCTCCGCGGCATGTGGGATCTTCCCAGATCAGGGCTCGAACCTGTGTCCCCTGACTCGGCAGGTGGACTCTCAACCACTGCACCACCAGGGAAGCCCTGTGATTCTTTTTTGTCTTGTCTAAGAAATCTTTGCCTAACTCAAGGTCACAAATATTTTCTCCTATGTTTTCTTCTAGAAGTTTTATGCTTTTAGCTATTATGCTTAGGTCTAAGATTCATTCTGAATTAAATTTTATATTTGGCATGAGATATAGGTCAGGTTTGTTTTATTGCATTTAAATATTCAGTTGTTCTAGCACCATTTGTTGAAAAGAATATCCTTTTCTCTATTGAATTATTTTGGCATAGTCATCAAAAGTCCAAGAATTCTGTTCTTTTGAACTATATGTATACCCTTATACCAACAGCGCACTATCTTGGCTTTGTAAGTTTTGAAATCAAGGTAGTTGCAACTTTGCTCATTTTCAAAATTATTTTGACTATACTAGTTCTTTTTAAAGTTATTACTATATAAGTTTCAGGAGTACAGAATTGTAATTTGACATCTGTGTACACTACAAAATGATCACCACCACAGGTCTAGTTACCATCCATCACCATACAGTCGATGCCCTTCACACATTTCACCCACCCCCCCAACACACTTCCCCTCTGGGAACCATTGGTACTAGCCCTTATAAGCTCTTTCGAATTACCATGCAATTTATACAACTAGCAGATCAATTTCTACAAAAAACCTCTTTGGATTTGAATTGGGATTGCACTGAACCTATAAAACAATTTAGAGAATTAATATCTTAACTTTGTCGAGTGTTATGATCCATTACTGTGGTATATTTCTCCAATTATTTTCAACATTAAGTATGACGATGTTAATTGTAGGTTTTCTTTTTTATTTATTTATTTTTAATTTTTTTTTGTGGTACGCGGGCCTCTCACTGTTGTGGCCTCTCCCGTTGCGGAGCACAGGTTCTGGATGTGCAGGCTCAGCGGCCATGGCCTATGGGCCCAGCCGCTCCGCGGCATGTGGGATCTTCCCGGACCGGAACACGAACCCATGTCCCCTGCATCGGCAGGCGGACTCTCAACCACTGCGCCACCAGGAAAGCCCTGTAGGTTTTCTTATAAAAGCATCTTATCACTTCCAATTCTAGTTTCTTCAGAGTTTTTAACAGGAACAGGTGTTGAATTTTATCAAATACTTTTTCTGCATCTATGGAAATGATCATATTATTATTCTTTTTGAATATTCTAATGGGATTATATTGATTGATTTTCAAATGTTAAAACAATCTAGTATTTCTGGAATAAATTCTACTTGATCATGATATACTATCAATTTTGTATATTGCTGAATTCAAGGCAGGCGGACTCTCAACCACTGAGCCACCAGGGAAGCCCAGTGGGAAGGTTTTTTAATGACAAACTCCATTTGCTTGTTAGATATAGGGTCTTCAGATTATCTATGTCTTCTTGAGTGAGCTTTGGTAATTTGTGTCTTTCAAGGAAGATTTTCCATTTCATCTCTGTCGTGTAATTTATTGGCATTAAGTTGTTCATAATAGTCCCTTATTATCCTTTATGTCTGTGAGTTCTGTAGTAATATCTCTCCTTCATTTCTGATATTGGTAATTTGCATCTTATATCTTTTTGTAAGACTGGCTAGAGGTTTATGGATCTTTTCAAAAGAAAACAGCAAGGGGTTTCATTGATTTTTTTCCCATTTCTGTTTTCTATTTCATTTACGTCTACTATTACCATTATTATTTCCTTCTTTCTATTTACTTTAGGCTTCATTTGCTCTTCTTTTTCTAGCTTTTTAAGATGGGAGCTTAAATCATGGAATTTAGACCTTTCTTCTTTCTTAATATAAGCATTTAATACTATGAATTTTCCTTTAATCCCTGTTTTAACAGCATCTCATGTATGTTGAAATGTTGTGCCTTCATTTTCTTCCTAAACTAGCTTCTATTTTCTTATCTTTTTTTTTTTTTTTCCTTCGGTACACGGGCCTGTCACTGTTGTGGCCTCTCCCGTTGCGGAGCACAGGCTCCGGACGCGCAGGCCCGGCGGCCATGGCTCACGGGCCCAGCCGCTCCGCAGCATGTGGGATCTTCCTGGACCGGGGCAGGAACCCATGTCCCCTGCATCGGCAGGTGGACTCTCAACCACTGCGCCACCAGGGAAGCCCCTTATAATATCTTTTGACATATGGTTTATTTGGAAGACTGCTGTTTAATTTCCAAGTAGCTGGAGGGATTTTGAGTTTTTCTGTTGTTATTGGATGGAGGTTTTTTAAAATAAATGTCAATTAGGTCAAATTGGTTGATAATATTGTTCAAGTCTTTTATATCCTTATTGATTTTCTCTTTATTCATTCTATCAATATGGAGAGAAAAGTGTTGAAATCTCCCACATTATATTATTGGGAATTTGTTTATTTCTTTTTTAAGTTTTGTCAGTTTTTGTTCCATGTATTTTAAAGCACTGTTTGGTGCATGCACATTTATAATTTTTACCTCTTCTTGGTGAATTGAACCCTTTATCACTGTGAAATGCCCCTCCTTATCCCTGGTAATATTCCTTGTTCTGAAGTCTATTTTTTCTGATATTAATATAGTCACTCCAGTTTTCTTTTGACTACTGTTAGCAAACTGTATCTTTTTGCATCCTTTTACTTTTAACCTATCCGTGTCTTTATATTTAAAGTTGGTTTCTTAAAGGTAACATATAGTTGAGTTGGATCTTGGTTTCTTAAAATCTGTTCTGGTTATCTCTTTTTTTTGAAGAAGAAGAAGGAGTTTATTAATTAATTAATTTATTTTTGCTGTGTTGGGTCTTCGTTTCTGTGCGTGTGCTTTCTCTAGTTGTGGCAAGTGGGGGCCACTCTTCATCACGGTGCGCGGGCCTCTCTTGTTGCGGAGCACAGGCTCCAGACGCGCAGGCTCAGTAGTTGTGGCTCACGGGCGTAGTTGCTCTGTGGCATGTGGGATCCTCCCAGACCAGGGCTCGAACCCGTGTCCCCTGCATTAGCAGGCAGATTCTCAACCACTGCGCCACCAGGGAAGCCCTGGTTATCTCTTTTTGATTGGAGTGTTTAAAATTTTTACATTTAATGTAAAAATTTATATGGTTGGATTTAAATCTACCATTCTCCTATTTGATCTTTGTTCCTTTTTTCCTTCATTCTTTTGGATTAAATGAGTATTTCTTATGATTCAATTTTACCTTCATTGCTGATTTATTAGCTATACCTATTTTATTTTTAGCAGTTGCTTTAAGGTTTAGCGTTTACATCTTTATCACAGTAAAAAAAAAAAACACCACTTCACATATAATGTAAGAACTTTACAATAGTATACTTCCATTTCCCACATTCCATACTTTTGTTGAGATACATTTTAGTTCTACATATATTATGAATCTCATGTTATTATTTTTTTTAAAGACTTGTTTTCATTTTATTCATTTTTTGGCTGCATTGGGTCTTTGTTGCTATGCGTGGGCTTTCTCTAGTTGTGGCAAACGGGGACTACTCTTTGTTGTGGTGCACGGGCTTCTCATTGCAGTGGCTTCTTTGTTGCAGAACTCGGGCTCTAGGCATGCAGGCTTCAGTAATGCAGCACACGGGCTCAGTAGCTGCAACATGTGGGTCCTAGAGTGCACGGGCTTCAGTAGTTGCGGTGTGGGGGCTCAATAGTTGTGGCGTGCAGCCTCAGTAGTTGTGGCACATGGGCTTAGTTGCTCTGCGGCATGTGGGATCTTCTCATACCAGGGATCGAACTCATGTCCCCTGCATTGGCTGCCACCAGGGAAGTCCCTCGTGTTATTTTTCATTTAAACAGTCAATCATTTTTTAAGGAGATTAAAATAAGAAAAAATGTATTTTATATTTACCATTGTCAGTGTTCTTTAATTCTTTGGGTTTATCTAAGCTTCTGTCTGGTATCATATTCCTTCTGTCTGCAGAACCTATTTTAACATTTCTTGTAGTGCAAGTCTTCTGATAATGCATTCTCTAGGTTTTTGTTTGCCTAAAATAATCTTTTTTTCTTTCATTTTCTTAGTCATTTTTATTGGTAATAGAATTCTGTGTTGACAGTTTCCCTCCTCTCCTCGACTTTAAAATGTATTACTCCATTGTCTCCTAACTTGCATAGTTTATGATAAGTGATCCACTGTACTTCTTATCTTATGTCCTAATATATCTTTTTTACCCACTATTTTTAAGTTTTTCTGTTTATCACTTTTATTCAGAAATTTGATTTTGATGATGATTTTGCATCATTTTATTATTTTCTTTATGTTTTTACTATTTTGGATTCATTGAAATTCCTGAATCTGCAGATTTATAGTTTTCATCAAATTTGGAAAATATTCAGCCATTATTTTTTCAAAAAATTTTGAGCCTTTTGCCACCCTGGCTTCTTTCCTGGAGCTACAAGTATACGTACATAGATTACTTAATATTGTCCCACAATCACTGAGATTCTGTTCTTGCCCCTCCCCACCCACTTTCATTTGGACAGTGTATATTACCTTTAAGTTCAATGATCTTCTGTAGTTTCTAATCTGCTGTTAATCCCATCTATTATATTTTTATTTCAAATATTGCATTTCTCATCTCTAGAAGTTACATTTGGGTCCTTTTAAAAAATATTTTCCATTTCTATCTTCATTATGTTCATGTTTTCCTTTACATATTTGAGCATTTTTATAATACCTGCTTTAATGTCTTTTTCTACTAATTTTTTAAAATTTATTTATTTTTGGCTGCATTGGGTCTTCGTTGCTGCACACGGGCTTTCTCTAGTTGCGGTGAGCGGGGGCTACTCTTCATTGTGGTGCGTGGACTTCTCATTGCGGTGGCTTCTCTTGTTACAAAGCACGGGCTCTAGGCGTGCAGGCTTCGGTAGTAGTAGCTCAAGGGCTCTAGAGCATAGGCTCAGTAGTTGTGGTGCATGGGCTTAGTTGCTCCGCGGCATGTAGGATCTTCCCGGACCAGGGCTCGAACCCGTGTGCCCTGCATTGGCAGGTGGATTCTCAACCACTGTGCCACCAGGGAAGCCCCTTTTCTACTAATTTGATGATCTCTGTCATTTCTGGGACTGCTAATATTGACTGCTCTTTCTCTTGGATATGTGTCATATTTTCCTGTATTTTTCATGTCCAGCAATTTTGTACTGGACGCTGGACATTGTGAGTTTTACACTGTTGGGTACTGGATTTTGAAGTATTTCTGTAGAGTGTTGCATTTTTTTTTTTCTGGCACAATTTCCAGTAACTTACAGACCCATATGCTCCCTTCCAGCTTTTTAAGCTTTGTTATAGTGAATCCAGAGCAGCTTTTATTCTAGGAATAATTTATCTCCACTACTAAGACATGATATTTCTATAGACTCTGCCCAATCCATCCTCATCTGATACAGTGTCTCTCTATTCTGGTTTATGGGACCATGAAGTAGTCCCAGTTCTGTGTAAGGCCCAGAAATTGTTCAGCCTACTGCTTTCTGGTGGTTCTTTCCCCCGTCTTAGTTTCTTCTCATGCATGTGCCCATCATTCCTCAGCCAAAGACTTAAGGAGAACTCTCTTCCTATTTCTGAACTTTTTATGTGCAGGTCCCTCCTTTATGGTGTTCTACCTTGTAAATTCCAGCTGCTTTGGTCTCCCTGAACTCTGATTTCTATCTCCCCAGCTCAGAAACTGAGGTTTCCCTCACCCTGAACTGTGGCCTAGAAACTGCCCCCAGCACTAAGCTGGAGCAATTGTGGGGCTCACCTCGTTTTTCTTCTCTCAGGGATTACAGTACTGGGCTCCCTGTTGTTCAATGTCTAAAAACCATGTTTCCTATATTTCTCTGTTTTTTCAGTTGTTAACAGCAGGAGCATGATTTAATTTTCATAGAAGTTAATCTTTCATGAACAGACTTGAGTTTTATTTTGCTCACCTTTTTTCCTAAGGAACTTACACCATTTATAAATACTAAGGAATGAAGGATTGAATAAATGATGTTATGCTCTACCAATCCTTTGCTCCTTCAGTATTTACTCTTCACTTTATTCTATCACCCTCACAGCAGCAATTCTCAATCATTTATGGTGGACAATCTATACTAAAAACTTAATATTTAATATAATTATTGGCAACACACTCAAAGAAATTAAGAAATCAAAAACAACAGAAACAAGTCAATATCGATCCCAGCACAATCACTACTCTAGTATAAGAATGTCTTTTAGGATCTATAAACACAGCCACTATTCACTTATCACATCTCAGTGCAGTGTTGTTGTCTTAGTAATAACCCTCTACTTCCCTAGCTGCAATAAAGCTGTTATTTTTTAAATGCATTAGTGTGCTAGAATTATGAGTAATTAGAAGAGGTTTAAGCTTCCTATTACAATGGTTATAGGTACATATTGTCAAATTTTTGGAAAGATAAATTTAAAAGATTTAAAAAAACAATCCATATTCCTACCACCCAAAGACAACACTATTAATAATGTTTTCCAGCCTTGTTACTGCATACCTGTGAAGCCAGGATGAGAGAAGGTACAGCCCAGGTGTGAATGGAGCACTGTGCAGATGTGCCTCACTAGTGCACTTGCTTGTATAACTGTTCATGATAGGATGTCAGGGGCCTGGAATCTAAGAAAGAGCAATGAAGATATACTAACTTCCTAATCAACAGCATATGTTTAAGCAGTTCCCAGGTGAGGGCCAGTGCAGTGATCAAGGGTATGCAGTCCTCTGTTCAAGGCTAATAGTCCTGGGTTCTGCCACTTAATAGTTCTTATTTGGATGAGTCACTTGACCTTTTAAATCCATTTCCTCTTCCATAAAGGGAGATTGGTAATAGTACCTTCCTCTCAAGTTGCTTGTGAGGATCAAATACGATGATCCACAAGTAGTAGTTAATGCTGCCTAGCCTACAGTAGGCTTTTATTAATATTAGATTTTAATACATGCACGGGGATAATGTATTAACAGCTTAAAATAATAGCTGTCATTTCTTGAGCCCTTACACTCCTAAATGCCTTGTATAGAATACTTCACGCAACCCTTACAATAATCCAGTGAGGTATTATCCCCATTTTACAAGATGAGAAAACTGAAATTCAGAGGGAGGGGTTAAGTGACTTACTCAAGGTCACACCAGAAGTAAGAGGTGGGATCAGGCTTTGACCCAGGAAGTCTGACTTCTGCTTGCTCTGAACCACTATAATAACCTCTAAGGTAGCACACACTAAATGTTAACATGCTAAATGTTGACATTTACTATCCTTGAGTATGTATGGTTGTTTTTTAAAAAATTAGGACATTGCATAGAGTCCTACGCAATGTACTATGCAAACAGAGTCCTATGCAAATATTTAGGCTGTCTTGAATTTTCACAGGATGCTGGGGGTCCCCAAAACTCAGTTTGAAAATTCCTGAGGCAGTTCACTGTTGGGTAGTTCTAACTGCTAGAAAGTTCCTGCGTGAATCAGCTCAGAGTAAGTCTCACTCCTCTTCCACCTTGGTGAGTTCTGAAATGCAGGTCATAGCTTGTAGTCTTTTGTGAAGCTTTTATGTGCATGTGTATGTGTGCTGGATCACAATATAAAACGCATTTCTTACCATGCGTCACAGTCAAAAAGTTTGAAAGCCACTGTTATATATGACTATTCTTCAGGTATTTGAAGGCAGCTGTCATAACCCACAACCTAAAGACTAATCCTCTTCTCCACAAGGGACCTCTTCAGCTTCTGCAATACCCTTGTAACATGGGGATTCCTCCCTTATACTGGGTACCATCCTCTGGCCCTGTCACCAGATTCATCTGGGCCTCTCCTCAAATTGCCTTTGGGATGACTTCCTTGACCACTCTCTCTTCGGAAGCACCACCTATCTCTCTCTAGTCCCTGACCCTGTCTTATTTTTCTCAAAGCACTTTTCACTACCCAACATCATATTTTATATGTAATATGTAAAATATTCTTTTATGATCTTCATCAATAAGATGTTCATCACTGAATCCCCAATCTGTTTCCTGGCACATAGCAGTTGCTCAATAAATATTTGTGGACTGAATGAATGGATGAATACTAGGAGTAGACACATTTTATCCATAATGTATATAGATGTACTCATAATATTAAATACAACTCTTTCCATTAGGAGCTACATTCTAGAAAGCTTTAACTCACAAAACTACAACTGTAGGCATGTTTTCATTCTACCATCTCTATGTTTTAAAAAACCCTTATTATTTATCTTATAGTATTATCACATATTTCATATATTTATGCATGTATTTTACTGTACAAGTATATCAATATATACTACCTCGTGTATACTGTTACCTTTATGTGGAATTTTATGGGACTTGCATGAGTAGTTTTGACTATATGAGATTTTTATTGATTCAGTTACAATGCTATGGTGCATCTTGGAAGTATTTTACATTTTTCAAAGCAATCTTGGGTAAATAATCTATTTGATATTTTTCTGAAGCCGAGAAAGTGTGTCGGAGAGCTGGAATAAACTTCCGCTGGCTGCCGGCTAGTGACCTCTAGATTCCAATCACAGCCTTTCGTTTCACAGATGGGTAAACCGAAGCCCCGAGCAGGGAAGGAGATGGAGTGGACCTGGGATTAGAATTTAGCTCTTTGTGGTCCACCTGCTGCCAGACGCCCCCAAACGTTTGTCCACTCGCCGGGGCTGAGGCAGGGGAGTCAGATGCCCACGCCCCTCACCGGAGCTCTATGAGGAAGGGATGCCCTGGTTATTATCACCACTTTTCAGGTGGGGACTCTGAGGGCACACCTCCGGGGAGGGGAACCTCCAACAGTGGCTTCTTCCGGCCCTCAGGGGACCACCTAGCTCGGCAGCAGAATTCCGCACGCACCGGGTAGGCGGCGGTCTCAGTGGGCGTCCCATGCGGCGCGCCGGGTCCTCCTCCCCACGACCCTGGCATCCGTCCCCCAAAAGGGACATCTTCCTACCTTGTCGGCTCCCCCAGGGCTGAATCTGGCCTGTCAACCTCCCTGTCGCTATGGCAACCACAGGCCTAAACGTTCTAACTTCCACCTCTGCCCGCTTCCGGATGAACTCGAGCCAATGGTGTCCTCCGTTTCTTAGGCGTGAAAAGTTGTTGGCCAATGATCAGAGGCATTTCAAAAACCGCTGGGAAGCTGCCAGAATTTTAGGGTTCGGGTTAACTACGTCAGGATGGGTGGGGAACCTTAACAGGGCTTATCTAGGCAACCCCCCAAAATCTTGTGATAGACCCAAAGCCTTAGACTTTTGATCACCCAGAAATCCTACTTCAAGGAATAAACCTAGAAGAACTAACATTCATCGAAGCCCGGTTTATAAGAGCCAAAGAAAAAAGACTGAAACGGGCAACATACGGGGGCAGCCATGTAGTGTTCCAGGAGCCCCTCTTTACACACTTAAGAGCAATCACAGTGATCTTGTCATTCGCCCTCTTAGAACACTCCAAGGGCTCGCCTTTAAACTTAGGATGAAATCCAAACATCTTCATATAAGCTGTCCCTTGCCCGTCCCCCTCCCCCTTCCCACGCGCCAGAAAAATCTCGCACCAGCCACGCTGTCCTTTGGGCAGTTCCTACAATATGTCAACCTCGTCCTGCTCTCGGGTGTTCCTTCTGAGTTCGCTTGGTGTCAGGGTCTGAACCACAACTGCCTCTTTCTCATCATCGAGGTCTCTGTCCAAATGTCATGTCTTCACCTGTAAAATGGGCATGAGCCCAATGTCTCGCTCAGCGGGTTGTTGAGAGGATCTGAAATGAAATGCACGTGAGTGAAAAAGCAGAAGCTCCATGCACGTATTAATTATTTTTTAAATACAATTCATTTTTTAAAATTTTTAAATTGAAATATATTTTCTGTACAATATTATATGTTACAGGTGTACAGGATAGTGATTCACGATTTTTTAAGGTTTATACTCCATTTATAGTTATAAAATATTGGCTATATTCCCTGTATTGTACAATACATCCTCGAGGCAATCATAATTATTACACTTGTACATTACGGAAGCATTCAAGTGCTGGGCTTACTGGTGGACCTTAAGTATTGCTGAGCTGGGGACGTACCGGGAGGGTTGGTATATTGTGCTGCCAACAGGTGTTCCGGGAGGATAGGCAAGGAGAGACTTTTATGCCCCGCGGCTTTGGGAGGAACCGGGCCTTGAAAAATGTGTAGGATTTGAATACCTGGTGAGAGCGTGGGGGTGGGGCAACAGCAGGAGCAAAGCCCGGGAGGGGGCTCTGAGGATAAGGAGGCAGGACACCTGGCAGGCTGCCCACCTGTAGGGCAAGTGGAGTGAGCAAGTCACCGGAGCTTTCCAGACACAGCCCGAGGAGGGAGCGGAGTTTTGTTCCAACGTCTTTCCTGTGGCCGCTAGAGGGGACCCTCTCCAGGCGAGCGCAAAGCTCCTGCGGGGCGCCGCCTCCTCAAGGCTCTCCCCCTACGCTTCAAGCAAGCTTCTCGGCGGAGCCAATGCCGGAGGTCTGTCCCGCCCACCCCCTCCTCGCAGCCACTCGCCTGCGCCAAATGCCTGCCAGCTTTTGACTGGCAGGCTGTCTGACAAATCAAATCGCGGCCTTGAAAGCAAAACACTGCAGCACTCGGGCTGCTCTGGGTTGGGGAAGGAATCTGGGAGGCTGTGCCTCCGGGTTGCGCGAAGAGTCTAAGTCATTGCTCAGAAACCTCTGATAGGTGGGCCTTAGCGGAAACGCCGCCGGTGAGTAGTGATTAAGACTAAGGGCGGGGGAAGGGGGACTTGAATTCACCCTTCGTTTCAGGAAAAGCGAATGCATTTGTGATCATCTACCGTAAATATCTTCCTTGTCATTTTGGGTCTCATTGCCTCAGAATGCTTTTTCCATTTTCGCATCGAGGAGAGGGGCATGGATTTGCCTTAGTAAAGGTGATGCCAGGCGTTACCAAATCAGGAAGTGAACTAGAGTAACTTCGCCTAAAATGTACTTATACACGCCGGCTTGGGCGATAGCAGACGGTGGAGTTATCAGGTGGATGAGAGAAGGCCTTCTTGATCCATGTTGGCCTCTGGAAGTTGTTTCCTGCGCATTGGGTGGGGACTTTAGCGTGTAACCCTTTAGTGAGCCAAAGCCCAGGAAAGGGAAAGCGCTTGGCCTGTAACTGGCACTCAGCAACCGGAAGCTGAATTTGCAGGTGTTGGGAAAGGGCGTGTTTGAGTTTTTCAGGCAGAGCCAAGACCCGACTCTTAGCAGCCACGAGCTACGTTTCTCTAGGCTGGGAAACCGTATTCTGTGGGTCAGTGAAGTAATTCATTGAGATGAGGGCTGGGGGATGGAGTGGAAGCCATCACCTAGTGAATTATCTTTCCTTTTTTGAGTCAGCAACCCTGTGCTCACTGGTGGCTGTGAGGGGCCTCAAAATTAAGGGGTGGCTGGCAGCACAGAGTTGGCTCCTTGCCTCTAGGGCATATGTTAGTCCTGGAAAAGTGCTTTGAAGTAAGGAAAAGAGAGTCGCTGGGCAATGTGTGCCTTATAGGAAGGGCAACTTGCAGAGAGTTCCTCCAAGGCTTTTAGTCCCAAGGGCTACCCAGCTGAGGGAGAGTTTTCTGTCTTTGCAGGCCATGATGCCTCAGAGGCCTGGGTTTCCTGAGGCAGAGAGGGAAGCTGCTTTTTCAAAGCGAATTAAATGAGAGTAACCACAGCCGCTACAAAGGAGGGCAAAAACAGAAACCCACCTGGAGGAACCAGCTGATCCAAAGGAGGTTAGTTAGGGGCCTGGATTCCCATCAGCCTCTTGGCACATCCCTGAGGTCTCTCTGACGTGCTGTGGGCGGGGCTGGCTATACGGGCTGTATCTCTGGAGTCGTGGTTGGTTAGGCCTGAGTAATCCGTTCTCTTCTTGCCCGTGAAGCAGCCACGGTGCACCAGGTGCTTCACAGGCCTGTTTATAGCCAGTCAGCAGGTATGTATGGAGGTCACCGTGCCAGGCTCTGGGCTAGATCTCGGCAGGGAGCAACAGAGCAGGGGATTCAGCAAACTGCTTCCCAGAATTTGTGCTCCAGTGCCCCTTCACCTCCAGGCCGAAAGCCTCTAAGAGGGTCTCAGAGATCAAGGGAACCCTGGGCCACCCTTCCTTCCTAAGGCATAAAAGTATAGTGAATAATAATTACGCTTTTCACAAGATTACAAACAAATATTCATAGGGCTTTACAGTCAGGGAGGTCTGGTTATGGGATGTGAGTTACAAAGTTGTCTGATGAGTGTACTTCAGGTATATATATACTGAATATATAACCTCATCTAGAGGCAGAAGCAATCATTTAACTTTGAGGCCCTTTGACAAAGTGAGACCCGGGCTACATTGTCTAAGTGTTGCCCCTGTGCTAAGCCCTGCATCTGATGTCTCCTAGATACTGGACTCAGTGTTAGTCCTATAACATAAGACTGTGCTGTTCACACCAGGAACCAGAATTCCTGGGCCTAGGGCTAGATAGCAGAAGGAACTGGAAGCTACAGGAAAGATAGGAGGCAGCTTTCTGACACCTTGAGGCACAGCAGAGACTTTGTTTGGCACGCAGTAAGCCCTCAAATATTCGTTGCTTGAGAGAAAGAAAGGTGTATTCATAGGCAAATTAAATAATTAGACCGATAATAATAAAATTAATACTAATAATAACTGACATTCATTGACCATTCACTGTGCACATATTTTATATGCATTATTTCACCAAATTCTCAAAACACATGGGCTTCGAATATCCATATTTCACAGCAGAGGAGACTGGCTGAAAAGTTAAATGACTTGGCCCAGGTAAAACAGGTAGCACATGGCGGATCAAAAGTAATTTAAAATATTTTTATATTAAAATAAACATAGGGCTTCCCTGGTGGGGCAGTGGTTGAGAGTCCACCTGCCGATGCAGGGGACACGGGTTCGTGCCCCGGTCCGGGAGGATCCCACATGCCGCGGAGTGGCTGGGCCCGTGAGCCAGGGCTGCTGAGCCTGCACATCCGGAGCCTGTGCTCCGCAACAGGAGAGGCCACAACAGTGAGAGGCCCGCGTACCGCAAAAAAAATAAAATAAATAAACATAGACTTTGCAGTAGAATCCAAATTTGTATGATTTTTTTTTTTTTTTTTAATATAAGAAGACGTCAAAGAAACCCTTAGCACTTGCAGAAGGTATTTTGGCCATGCTTCCTATAACACTAAGGGCGTACTTCCTCTTTCTCAGTTTGGTAGAAAAGCTTGAGATGCCCTGAAAATATCATTCCAATGAAGTTAATGGGAATTACCGTCATTGCTTGTTTTACTTGAGGCCACATTTTACCCCTGTTCTACAGATGAGGCAACTGAGACTCCAGAGGCAAAATGATCTGGTCACTTAGGTCTTCCCCCTCCTGGTCCAATGTTGTATCACCTGTGCTAGGCTGACCCTCAGAAGCAGGACAATTCTTCCATCTTCCATGGAGATAACTTTTCTTCTCATCTTTCTTTCCTGCATCAGAATGTAGATGGTTCCTTTTTTATGGCAGTGGGATTTTTTTCTTTCTTTGGAGTCCTGGAGAAGTAGATGTAGGTAGTGTTCTACTTCTTATGTAGGGGAGCCTATAGAAAAGTAGCATTTAAATTAGGATATGATGGAAGGAAGGAAGCAAAGGAGGCGAGGGATGGGGTTTTTAAAGGACCAGGAAAAGACTTTGAGGCAGGTGAGCCATATCTTTATTTGAGATGATAATGTTTCAGTGTTTCATTGTACATGTAATGTTCTTCCCCACCGTCTAGAGCACTGCGAGAATCAGGAAACGCATCCCTGTCTGTGTGCCTGGGAAGAGACCTAGAAACTGGCACGTCTCTGAGGGAAGGTGAGGAAAAGGCTGTAAATTGGCCAAAAGAGCCTTGAAGTACTCCTTCCGCGTGGGAAAGTGATGGCTGGTGGAAGGAGGCGAACCCCACAAGGAAAGATGGCTTAGCAGCAGCTGCAGCTGCCAAACCAGGCCTGGTGGGATGTGCCCTTAGACCACCATGGACGGAGCCCACAGAGCAGCCCTGCAGCTGCAGCAGCTC